GGTTCTATTCGATTAATACTCTTTCCAATTATGAGGATATAATATGACCTAATTCTGAGAGAAACAGAGGATTCAGTATCGTGTTTCAAGATAAGAAAAATATTTTTCCGTCGACCTCGTATTAACGACTAAGTTTAATGTATATGAAATCGTTCATTAATGACCCCTATTAATGGACGATTTGTCTATTAATGCACGATTGTTTTATAGGCAACCAAACATACACCGCGTGCATTCATTGTTTATGCTATAACTAGCGGAATCTGCATTTAAATCGAAAATATGGATTTCATCGACGATTTTCCGTAAACGGGTTCGCCTTTATTCTAAGTTTCTGACACGATTTTAATCCCTGTTTTCTAACAGAAGGAATTTATTTCCTATGTTGATCATTTCGACAAATGTCAAATGACACTAATGTCAGTAACAAGGCTACTGGGTGATTCTTAGCAGTTTCCGGATGGATGATGAATTCGCGAACCAAGTTTTCTTCATTGCAAGAGTAAATGAGAATTATGGTCGATGGAAAAATTTTGTAACCAACTTGTATATTAAAAGGCGATTAATCGTCCTCATTAATACACTAGTTGGTTAAATAACTATTAATTACTTGCTTTTCCACACTAGGTCACCTGGTTTATGAAAATGAATTGAAATATCTGTTTTAATATTTTCGTTCTTATCGAATTTCTCAAAAACGTTTCATAATGTTGGAGTTGAAATTTTGGCATTATAATGATACTTTTCGATGCATTTGTCACTAATTATAAGTAGTGTTATTATTTTTTGTTTCAGATTGTGCAACTGACAAACAAAACGACAATGACAGAAACAATAACAGAACGCGAATATCTGCGTAATTGTTTGAAATAACCCTACCAAACCCAGTATCGATGAATTCGTTATGACAATCCTTAACCGATTATGGAATACAATACAGGGTGTCCAATTTGAAAATCCAAAGTTGGGGTCGTTTCCAGTAAAATCGTAAGTGATAGAACAAATATTGTTTCGTCAAATACTGTCTGTAGGTTAATCGAGGGATTTTCTCTCCTCGTTTCTGTGAAATAAAAATGTTAGTATTATTTCAATATATTTGTAGTGGGACAAATCAGATGATTTGTCCCAAAATGTCACTGCGTTTAACGAATTTTTCTATCAGGGAGTCTGAAAGAAAAATCCAGTAGCTTGTCAGTGGCAATGTGCTCGAAAAAATGTTCGAAGGACAAAAATATAGATTTATTGAGAAAATATCGAATTTTTACTTATCTTTGGACGTTCCGGGACCGAATCTGCTCCCGTTCCCAACATGTGAATGCAAAATATTTTTCTTTGAAAGTTTTGCTGCTTATAGTTTGACACTTTTCAGTGTCATACTGATGTTGACATATGAATGAGTGATTTTAGTCTACAAATGAGTTACAGGATGTTTTCATTAATTGATCTTGAATCTACCATTTTCATGTTCAGTTTTCAGTAGTAAATAATAATGATACGAATATTTTTATTTTATAGAAACGAGGAGAGAAAATCCCAAAGAATCAAGTAAAATGAATTGTTTCGTCAATTAATGAGCAATTTGGTATACTAGCTGCCCACCAATTTTCAAAACCCTATCTCGAATAATTCAAAAATTACAGTCTTGACCGTTTTTTGTGCACTTCTCTGTATATCTATTTTATCTTGATCATTCCATGTGATGGAAGTATTTGATACACTCATGCTCATCATTTGAATTCATCACATTTTTTTTTTCAATGATCAAAATAACGATGACCGATAAGCACTATCAGTGATTCATGGCTAAAAAAACAATGAAAATATTTCCACATTCTTGCACACATTGGCGTAGGACTTTTCTCAGTTTTGAAGAAGTTTCAAATAACATGTAAAAATAAAAAAGAACTATGATAATTTTCTGAGGTTTTCTCTCAAATGAACACTGTTTAAAACAAACGACTTGGCTTTCGTCTTTTATTATTGCTGAAAGTATTTTTCGGCAACCGTCTCTTTCTTTGAGAAAGTAGCATTTTTCCAAACCAGAAGTACGATCTTCTCGGAGTAGGCCAAGAAGTATCACATGGTTGCTGTCACTGTAACTATGAAAACCTTGGTAGATATGGTTCTGATAAATACAGATGGTAATTACCATAGCAGCGAAATATCGGCTGACAGCTATTTGACATGAAATTCCCTAATAGCACACAACGTCCCAGGGAAGTCCCTATTTGGTACAATTCAAGTCCGAATGTCTTGGACCAAAAATAAGTCTCCTTGGGACGTCGCATCCCGTATACATCTCATGCAAGGACCGAGCAAGAACGTCCACGGAATGTACTAGCAGGTACATCATTTCAAATGTTCTCGAAATAGCATCCCATAGACGTCCCACATGGTACATATTGTAGAATGTCTATGCATGACTTCAGATCTTATATAATGTCCCTTCAAGACAACCATGAAATGTCCCTGATGGTACATTCCTTCGAATATCGCTGCACAAACGACCTTAATATTTTCAGGATCGTATAACAATCGAAATGTCCCTTAGGGACATCCTTCGAATGTCCCTTAGGGATATCCGTCGGATTTCTCAATTGGTAGATGAACTGTACTCTTCCAATATCCAGTCGGTACTTTCAATATGTTCTCCCTGCGAGGACGTTAACTTACACCTCGCCGACGAATGATTGCTCGTAGGCTATGAATACTCCCCGTAATGTCCTTCACGTAAGTCCAATGGACATCCTAGGAAAACATTTTCAGGATCTATTGGGGACCTTCTACGGACCATTAACTTAAGTGGATGTCCTCATCAGTTATGCAAGATCTGGTCCTAGAGGGACCCAGAAAAATTCGAATTCAAGAATAATTCGTACGTCCCTGGGACATCCTATGGACATCCAATTGATATCCCTCAGATGTGCTGATAGGTTGTCCTACAGATGTCCTCCGTAGTGCTTGATGAGGAGAACTGTAGGATAAAGGTATTCGATAGTTGTCCCAGGGACATTCCTCAAGGACATCCCTAGTTGGTCAAGTGGGACATTTGTGCGTCCCACAGACGTCCAATGGACGTTCACGGTACCAAATTCGAACGTCCTATGGACGTCCTGAATGTCCCATGGGACATAATTGTGTTATTAGGGTTAGTTGTTATTTTGAATTTTGAAAGTTTGGTCACAATTATCGCAATATACTATCGAAAGCAGCTGCGATAGTGACTTTGAAAATGTCCATACGAAATTTTCAATGTAACAGTTAGTAGAAATAGGTATTCTGTTCAAATTTCAGTATTTGAGAGAAATGAGAATTAATGAAGAAGAAATTGTATTCTACAAAGAAATATAATATGGAAATGTGTCTCATTGCTTTGTTATTTTACATGGTTGCTGAAAAAAATAGTGTATTTACGCAACACGCCCAAAAACAGTTTTTTTGGACTCGCAGACTTCCAGGACTAGCCTACGGCTTGGCCTAGAATTTTGTCTACTCGTCCAAAAAAACAGTATTTTCCGGACTTGTTACATAAATTACTATTTCAGGGAAAATGTTATAATCGCTGTGTAAGCGAATTTGATATCTTGTTTTTGGGCTATCTGGGGTGGGCTCAACATCCTGGAGGGAAGGGCGTGCAACATATGAGTCGTATTTTATACAGGGTGTCCCGAAATTAGCCTGCCAAACTTCACCAGCGGCCTTCACGACCAAAAGAAAAAAAGAAAACTTCCAATGAACATGAGCCGAGAAATGTCGGCTACTCCTGAAAGGGGTCTCTGAAGATGATATTTCTTGAGTATTTCCGAAACTTCATGTGATAAAAAGATGTAATCCGGTGCAAGAACTAACCTTTCCATGCCCAATGCAGTGAAAATAAAATCTTTCAAATTTCAATGAGGAGTGTATAATACAGGGTAGGACTACATTAAATATTGCTCAAAATTTTTTGTAGGCATATTTTTCCAATTTAATCCTGGATTATGAAATTTCTCACCTTTTCACAGAAAATAGGTACTCTTGTTCCGTGACGATCAGATGTATTATTATCGAGTAAAAGCAATTTAAAAATATTGTTACATCTCAGATATTATGCATAACATTGCAATGAGGCGTAGTGGAGATAAGAGAAAATGCACGAAAAACCGAAGTATTTTTTTCATCATCATTTTCCTATTTTTCGCGGTTTTATGATATTGTTCGATAAAAATGAGGTACATTATTTTTTTATAGCCACTATGATTTGAATATTGGCAAAGTTATGCATAAGATGTGAGTGTATCAATTATTTTAAATCGATTTCACTCGAAAATGATACATATGATCGGTGCGGAACAAGAGCACCTTTTTTGTGAAACGGTGTGGATTTTTATAATCCCAGATTGAATTGTCAAAAAATATGCATACGGAAAAGTTTGAGCAATATTTAATGTAGTCCCACCCTGTATTATACACTCCTGAATAAAACTTTGAAATGATTTTATGTTCACTGCATTGGGCATAGAAAGTTTAGTTCTTGTACCAGATTGCATCATTTCGTCACTTGGCGTTTCGGAAATATTCAAGAAATATCATCTTCAGGAGCCCCTTTTCAGGGGGCCGTAGCTTCCTTAGGAAACATTTCTCGACTCATGTTCATTGGAATGTTTCTTTTTATTTTTGGTCGAAGAAGCCGCTGGTGTAGTTTGGCAGGCTGATTCGGGACACCTTGTATAATTGCAATGTATTGAATGTGGTATCTGACGTCACACGCTGCCCCGCGTTCTTCATGTTTTGGAATATACTTAATTACAGATGTTAAAACTTCACAAACTATAAGATTTCCACAGAAAAGACAAAAAAAAGTATACTGAGTTACATTCGATAACTATTCAAAAACGTATATGCAGAGCTCTGAGGATAAAACAGTTTGGGTTAGTACTTGAAAATAATGAAATAATTCGTCATCATTGATACGTGAATAAATTCAAGAATCTTAAATCACGTGACTATAGTCAATGTCCATAACCTTGAAAAATAATATATGAATCAAATCATACGCTCTGTTGACAAATATACCATATAATATGCCAATGATTATAAATTATTACACGTCTCTGTCAAGTTTCCGGCAATCTTCAGAAATTTTAAGGTATAAAATCACTTTTTACACTTCAACAATTTCCTCCTAATGATTTGAAAATATCATTTAGAACATCTAAACTTTCCACATAATACTCCGGTTTATACTCCTCAGGGTATTGCCAGCATCGAACATCCTGTATGGTGGTAACTCCTGTCAAAACCAGGAGTTTTTGGAAACCAGCCATTGCAGCCATATTCATGTCTTGGGGTATCCTGAAACATAAGTTGCATAGTTTAATGAATATATTATTCCGTAAATAAAAACTAAAATGATTAGTTTGCATCATTTAGCAATTTTCACAATTTTGTGACTATAGACTGTATACTTTAGTTCCTCAAAGAGGGATTAAAGTGGAAATGTAATCCCTAGGGGCTGAAGTAGGAACTTTCCCATTTCAGATAAAACTGGCAAAGTTAACTGATAAATTGACAAATTGAAATGTAAAATACAGTTCACCTGATTTTAATGGTGATTTTCCTGAAAATGCACCCAATAGTATGTATGTCTTAAAAAAATATTCATTTCGTTGAATGCTATATAATTGCAACATAATTCTATAATCTCTCCAGCATTGCCCTCATTCTTTTAACAAAAGTATTTCCGAATGGTTTAGTTAGACTATATATGATTCTTTAGCAGAACCATGCATGGGATTGGGCATTTTTGTGGAAAAACCTGATTTATAAAACAGAACTCTTTTTTTTAATCGGGATGTTTATATTTTTGTTTTGATGTATGGCAAATTGATATTCATTATACAGGGCGTGGAAAGAAATTCTGAATTGAGAAAATCCAATCACGAATCTGTGATTAGAGGTCTGTATGTTCTCAGATATTTACATAAAGAAAGACATTGTGAATTCTCTTTTTGGAAAATATTAATTCTTTCTCAACATATTCACCAGGAATCGACTACTTTCCTGACTAACATTGAATTACATCTATTGAACACACACAATAAGACTTCGAAAATAAAATCTTCTGAAGTTGAGAATCTGCATTCTCTTCCATATAAAATATATATGGATATCATTCTGAATATTCAACAGAAAACAACTTTTTTCAGGCTATATATATATTCAGTAGTGAAATGAAAATTGAAGTGTATAGGAGAAGTAAATACTTGTTTGTACAAACTCTGAACTTGATGAGCTCAAATCTTATTCCAAAATTCATTCGTATCAGTGATGTGGGGATACATCTCCCACAAACAGGTTATATATGACTTTGCAGAACACAACTTTGTTTACAAAAAATACTCACGAATCTCCAACAAATAGGACTCGTTTCGGATCTGATATTCCAAATTTTTCAGTGATGAAATCTGCGAAAAACTGCGATGGCTTGGCTATCGGTGTTGATTTTCTGCTGCTAATTTCTTCGATACATCGAATATTGTGATAAGTGCCTGAGAAAATGAAGGGTAAGGAGATGTGAGGGCAACTCTTGATAATCAATGAACTTCAATAATAAATAATAATGATAATAATACATTACACTGTTTTACCACTAACCAAACCAATTTTTTAACGCGTCGACACGTGTTTCGCTAACTATGTTTACATCTTCAGGAGAAGATTAAAACACTTGTCGAGGCGTTAAAAAATCGGTATTATCGTGCCAAAGGTTCCAGTCTTCGATATATAATAATGATAATGTCAAGAAGTATAAATGCCTATGAATTAACATCACTCGAGCTCTCGTTCATTTCAAGATCTATCATTAATCAACTTCTTCGAATTACAATTTTCTGAACTTTGTAGTTTCGATCAGGTCAGCGGGGTTCATAGACGTCATTTCCTTAATAATTTGCAAAGAAAACGCTTACTGTACGATAATACCTAGGTAAGCGGTATCGAAAGGTAACGATCGTTCCCATTGTGGAAAATTGCGAAGCTATAAATGTTAATTTTATATGAAAACCGTCCGGTCTCTTCATTTGGGGATGAATAGGGTTGGATGGTAAAATGATCAAAACCTATCTCGTCAAAAAGCCAAGCGAGTAGCTAAGTCACGACCATAGGAGGGTCAACATCTGAGTTGCGACAATAATAACGATGGTAATAATTATAATAATAAACTTATGCTGGTCTGGAAGACCCGCTTCACCATAACAGCAGGTTATGCGAAAGTTCAAACAGAGCAGGCCTTCATAAGGAGAGGAGTATTTCAAGGGGACTCCCTCGACCCTCAGCCCTCTCCTATTCTGCATCTCAATGCTGCCACTATCCCTTGATCTTCGAAAAATCAAAGGATACAACTGCGGGTCACCCACTTAACGGAGGCATGAGGTCACTCACTTATTCTATGTGGAAGACCTTAAACTTTATGCCTCTGGTAAGAGGGATATGGACCAATCTCTCAGGGAGGAACAGAGTACACACAGGCAATTGGAATGGAATTCGGAATGGACAAATGTGCACTGGTTCATCTCGAGAGAGGACGATGCGAGAACTACGACACGGACGCGCAGCTCGTGGACATAAACATCCTACATCACCTGGATGCTGGAGAGACGTACACCTACACCTGGGTGTAGAGGAAACTCACATTCAGGGGTGAGAGACGCTCTCCGCAGACAAGTATCGGCAGCAGCTCCGACAGATCTGGTCGTCAGAACTGTCGGGAATGAACAAAGTCGCTGCTACTAACGTGCTCGATGTTCCGATACTGCTTCACTTATTTGGAGTGTTAAAGTGGACTCAAGTCGAGCTGCGACAAATAAGTTGACGTAAGTTCTCGCAAGATGATGCATCTCTATAGGAAATTGCATCCAAATTTGTCTGCTCCACGGTTATACATACCAAGAGACCAGGGTGGCCGTGGACTCTTGAGCTTGGAGTATATCCATGACAGAAGGGTTCTGGACGGCGCCAGCAAAGTTGTTATCGGGGCAAATGGTTAAGTCCCATGAAGAGGCAGGAATAGGAGCTTTTCTTTTTCAGGCAGCACGTCAAGCAGCCGATGAATCATCTGTGATTTTTGACTCTCCGAGCGTGAGGCTCAGGACTCAATTACTGAGCCAGAGGCCGGTCGAAAAAAGGCCCGTATTGAAGCTGTAGTTTGAGAATGCTCCTGCAGCTTCACATGGATGAGTCCATGCATTCAGTCTACTTCAAGGCCATTGGAGACTGGAGCTCACACATGCACCTGCTGCATAATGGCCACAATGCGGCATTGCGAGTGCTTTACTATCATCCGAGGCATTCGAATGGCATAGATGAGAGTCCAGTGCTGCCCTATGCTCCGGGTGATATTGATTCCTTTGTGTAGAATAAGTGGTGTCGAATTCATTGGAACTATTTATATATTTTTACTCAAACCTCTGTCAATGGAATCCATATTTATTATGATTATTATTAGTATTAATAAAGAATAATAAAGATGGATTACAACCAGCCCCTTACATGAGATATATTTGAAGTAAACGAAAGAAAGACACTGTTTGGAGAGGAGAAAATAAAGGACATCATTCAGAGAAGAAACACATACAATCGATGTTCGTTCATACGAATTGTTGCATAGATTTCAGGAAGATATCTGATTCATAGCTGCGTGGCATTAGCCAGTAAAGTTATGTTGTTGTTTTTCTTCCGTGATCTATTTAACACTTGGGGAAATGACCTTGAGTTTTCACTTCATTATTGACATTTCATTCCACTTTGCGCATTTTGACTTCTGAATACTTTTGTAGTTGATTATATCTCAAGAACGTGGGCGAAACTTTGTAATCGGCATTTATAATAATTCAACTCACCTATAATCGGCCCCAAAGGACCAGCAGGAATATATTTGTCACCAGGGCCAACTATGTAATGACAGTCTTCTCTCTTCAGGAAGGTCGCCATCCTTTGCATCTTGACAAATGTCAAATTCGGATCAATATTCTGAAAAACCGCTCCAACATTCTCATCGTCTTGCAAATGTTCTAGTAAACTTGGTATCGCTTCGTCGATTACTTGAGGCTGAAAATGTTTGATGTACAACAACTCTATGACATATTCTGAATATCATCCACAGTAAATAAGTAAATAGCATTGAGTATTTCAGTATCTCCAACTACACTGTTTCACCACTAATTGAACCGATTTTTCAATGCCTCGTCGACACTGCATCTTCAGCAGAATATTGATACTTCTGAAGATGCTGATATAGTTAGCGAACCACGAGTCAAGGTGTTAATTAATCGGTTTGGTTATAGTGGTATAACAGTGTGGTGTGATTTTTGTGCCAAAGTTTCCAGTCGTCGATATTTTCAATGGTTTCCAATACAATTCAACTATGCAGGGTGTTCAATAAACTCAGAGTTGATTAGAACATAATACTATGAGTTAATTTTCTTCATGAGTCGGTCCTTTCTGAGATACTCGCCTTTGGAGGTGAACATCTGCATTGGTCGATAGCTCCTAAAGGATATCCCGAAGAAGACTACTTGACGGTCGATTTTTGAAGAAGGTACCTAATATCGACTGAAATTATTTCTGTTCGCCAGGAAAATCGATTCAACTGATAAAACAAGTTTCACCATAATTTCTGGTGTTTGACAGAGATGAAGAGAAGAAGGAAGAAAAATAAAAATGCAAAGAAGAAGAGAAGAAATAAGGAAAAAAAGGAGAAGAGTGTGTTTGCTCGTAATTCTTGGATTCTATCGAAATTCCTCATATTTATTATTTGTTTGTTTTTCTCAAAGGTATTGAGGTCGAAAGAAATTGTTCTTGAATAAGTTCGTATATAGTAATGACTCCATATTTTCGATCTTATTTTGTTCTCACTTGGACTGTTTTTGATCTGATTTAGCATTCTCTATACCTGAGTTTAGCCGTTTTCGAGATATGCCGATTTTTTCCATTTTTTATAGTTTGCAATTTTCTTACCAAAAATCGGTAAACCTGTGTCATTTTTAACCCCATTTTATTAACTTCACTTTTATATATGTATGTAACCGACTCTCTTGGACTCAATTTTGAATTTGAAATTGGGCAGGTGTAAATAGTTTGGGTGGCAATGCATCATGAAATTTTTGTTATGCAAAAAAAAGAAATGGCGGCTCCAAAATGGCAAATGAGTTTCGTCATTATGATCTGATTCTATTCTATCTATGGTATCTATGGGTTTTCGGGGTCGGAGATTATGATTCTTTGGTCAACATTTGGAAATGCATTACGGCAGAACCAATATGGCGGACGAGTTTTGTTATTATGATCGGAATCTATATTCAAAATTTGTATCTGCAGGTTTTCGGGATCAGAGATTAGGATTATTACGTCAGAATTTCAAAATTCAAGATGGCGAAAAAGATTTGTATTTATGATCCGATTCTATTCAATATCAAAATCTGGGGTTTTTCGAGGTCGGAGATAATGATTCTTCCGTCGAAATTGGCAAATTCAAGATGGCAAATCCAATATGGCCGACGAGTTTTGCAATTATGATCCGATAATCTATTCAAAATTTGTATCTGGGACTCTTTCATTAGCTCCACCTGTATGTATGTTGGTGACATCACCTACTTTGGGCTCGATTTTGACCCATTTTAAACGGACCGATTTATATGAAATTTGGCAGGTGTACATAATTCTGGTGGCAATGCCTCATGAAATTTCTTTTAGACGAAAAAACAAAATGGCGGCTCCAAAATGGCCGACGAGTTGTGTAACTGGGGGTTTTCGAAGTCGAATATTATGATTCTCTCGTCAAAATTGGTAAATTCAAGATGACGGATCCAATATGGCAGACGAGTTTCGACGAGTTTCGTGATTATGATCCGAATCTATTCAAAATTTGTATCTACAGTGGTTTTCGGGGTCGGAAATGATGATTCTTTCGTCAAAATTCAAAAATTCAAGATAGCGGATCCAATATGGCGGACGACTTTTTAATTTTGATCCGATTCTATTCAAATTTGGTATCTGGGAAATTATTATGCTTTTGTCAAAATTGGCAAATTCAATATGGCGGATACAATATGAGGGACGGGTTTTGTAATCATGATCTGATTCTATTGAAAATAAGTCTCTGGGGGTTTTTGGAGTCGGATATTATGATTCTTCCATCAGAATTGCGTACTCGCAATAAATATAAAAACACTAAAAAATACGCTATTGTAGTTAGCAGTTAGCCGAACTAAAACAAGAAAATAAATAGTCGTTTGAAAAACTAAAGAGACACCCTTTCATAGATAGCCTAACTGAAAAGAAGTAGAAAATAAAATAATATAAGTCCATAGCTTCAAGTGTAGTAGAATAGTTATGGATTTGGGTTTCACACAAACCACCTATATCTACGGTGGTCGATCTGATGAAACGCTATGAGGCCTAGTGACCCCTTTCTTAACTAACTGAAACAACAGTGTTGTGCTCTTCAGTTTTATTTTTGTTCACTAGCATACCTATTTCACGGGAAGGAATGTTGTTTTTTATTCTTTCCTAATAACACAATTATGTCCCATTGACATTCTTAGGACGTCCTGTCGGGACATTCAGGACGTCCATAGGACGTTCGAACTTGGTACCGTGGACGTCCATTGGACGTCTGTGGGACGCACAAATGTCCCACTTGAGGACCATCTAGGGACGTCCTTGAGGGATGTCCCTGGGATAACTATCGAATACCTGAATCCTACAGTATTCCTTATCAAGCACTACGGAGGACATCCTTAGGACATCCGTAGGACAACCTATCAGCAACGCTGAGGGCTATCAATTGGATGTCCATAGGATGTCCCAGGGACGTACAAATTATTCTCGAATTTGAATTTTTCTGGGTCCCACTAGGACCAGATCTTGCATAACTGATGAGGACATCCAGTTGAGTTGATGGTCCGTAGAAGGTCCCCAATAGATCCTGAAAAAGTTTCCCAAGGATGTCCAATGGACTTACGTGAAGGACAATGACGGGGAGTATTTATAGCCTACGAGCAATCATTCGTCGGCGAGGTGTAAGTTAACGTCCTCGCAGGGACAATATATTGAAAGTACCGACTGGGACGTCCGTAGGACGTTATTTCTAGGGCAAATGAAGAGTACAGTTCATGTACCAATTGGGACATCCGACGAATATCCCTAAGGGACATTCAAAAGATGTCCCCAAGGGACATTTTGATTGTTATACGATCCTGGAAATATTAAGGGCGTCTGTGCAGAGATATTTGAAGGAATGAACCATCAGGGACATTTCATGGTTGTCTAGAAGGGACACTATATAAGATCTGAAGTCATGCCAGAATATGTACTACTCAGGACATCCGATGGATGTCCCTAAATCATATTCCATCAGGGACATGCCAAGGACGTCCTTGCATGGACATTCTACAATATGTACCACGTGGGACGTCTAAGGGATGCTATTTCTAGGACATTTGAAATGATATATCTGCTGGGACATTCCGTGGACGTCCTTGCTCGGACATTGCATGAGATGTACGGGATGGGACGTCCCAAGGATACTTATTTTTGGTCCGGGACATTCGGAATCGAATTGTACCAAATAGGGACGTCCCTAGGGCGTTGTATGCTAACAGGGTTACTCACTGGATCTGGGTATACATTCAGTCCCGCTTTCCTCAGTTCCTCCTTGAATTCTTTAGTGCCTACAGCAAAAATAGCCTTCTTAATATTTTCTCGTTTCAAATAAGCGATGCCGGATGTGATCGGTGTTGCCAGATCGTCGATTTCTGCATCGAAATTGTTCTTCTTCAAAATGTTCCATATGTTCTCGACGGATACTAAACCGTTATTGGTAATATATCGGATTTTTTTGCCTTGTTTCTTGAGGCTATTGATGAATTCGGCTGCACCTGGTAGGGGTTCGTAAGTAATCCATATGACCCCTGAAAGAAAAAATCATGGAAAAAGGGTTCTTATAATTTATAATGGGAAATGAGAAATGACAAGGTCAATTATACAATCCAACAAGTTTTCCCAGAATAATTTCTAACTTGTTGGTCATTACAATGATGTCATCACAATTTGGCATGCCAGGTGTACCAAAATATTTCTCTAGGCAAAGAATCCTAAAACTTTGCCCTTCTATATAGACAAAAGAGTTTTAGAAAAGAATTACATTTCTCGAGTTTGAAGACAAAAGATTGTGCTAAACTTGTCGAGTTTGTCAGACTGGTAATGCTGGTGATGGCAGCAAATACATCGATGTGCCGTGGATTCGACTCAGATTAGAGTTCTGATAATATATACCATCCAATTGGTATCGGATGGCATCATTCTTATCTCGTTATTAAATCGCGAAATCAGGTGCAGATTACCGCACAGGAAAGTGTCATTCTTTTATCATTTTGCTTAGGATAGTGATCGGCAGGGTCGATAAAATTTAATAGCGACACTCTAGATATTTTCAAAATGTCAACTTTGCTGGTTATCATATTGTTGTTGACATCGAAAAGTGATGTGCCTTGAAAACGTTGCTATGCCGTTTGAAAAAAAGCCAGTATTCGGTTTTAATCCCTGAGGGATTGAAAGTGCCACTTAAGTCCCTAGGTACACTATAGACAATGTAAAAAATTGTTTTTGATAAGAATCCAAATAATGATAAAACAGTATAATATAATAAGATTATCTACCTAAGTCTGAAAACAAATGCATATATGTGTATTCGTTCGCTATTTTTGTATTTACTTGTTCGTGAATAATTATTATAAAAAAAATGTAGATAGGTTGTCACTAGATGCAGAATTCAATGTTTGTATGCTATATATATATTCGAAACTCACTCGATTAACTTCCTTTTCCATGAGTTTTTTTCTGAAGTCAGTTTTATTTTCGTTTTATGTTAACAACAAATTGGAATCTTGCAATATTGAAATATTTCATTTATATTTAATTTTCACTTCATAGAATCTTATTCAACTTTTATTCAATTTGATATCTTATGGAAAATATAGCTGTTAAGTTGGAATTGCATATAAATTGAATATACATAATTTCTATGAAGAGACCGTAAGTTTTTCATGGTCGTATTCAGCATTTTTAACTGCAGTGAGTGTGCCAAATTCAAAAACCGCTTGAAAAATAAATCAAAAATGTATAAGCGTAATATATGATGTGACCCTCTGACATACGATGCTTTCGAAGGATAGATGTAGTATAGGTGTGATATTGAGAAAATATTTTTCTCACAGTTTCTCGATGGATGTACACCATGCTAGTGAGACCAATGATCACCTACGGAGCAGTAGTGTGACAAGGAAAATATCAGAGAAGGTGCAAAGATTGGCATGTCTTTGCATAACAGGAGCAATGAGATCAGCTCCAACAGCAGTACTACAGATCATTCTGGATCTCACATCTCAACACATCGTGATGAGGAGAACTGCCTATGGAGCACATCTCAGGTTAGCCAAGGTCGGACTAAGAGGGAAAACGCACAGTGCAAGGGGCTCACCCCCCACTGAGATTGCACACCTCGCCGATCTTCCAACAGACCAAATCATTAGGAAGTTCAGTTTTGAGAAGAACTTCCGAGTGGAACTGAGCAACAAGCGCGAATGGAGCATAGAATCTATCGAACCGCTGGGAAGAAACACCATTACTTGGTATACGGACGGGTCTAAAACACCCGAGGAAACTGGAGCAGGAGTCTTTGGACCTCGCACCAAATACTCCGAATCCATAGGACAATTCCCCAACATTTTTCAAGCGGAAATACACGCCATAGAAAGATGCATTCAGTTCAACCTAGACAGGAAATACCGGAAGAAATACATCGCGATTTTATCCGATAGCCAAGCAGCAATCAAAGCGTTGAGCTCTCCTAACATCAACTCGAAGATGGTATATGGGAATGCCTAAGCTTATTGAATGAGCTAGGCAGCAACAATGAAGTGATCCTCCTCTGGGTGCCAGACACTCTGGCACGACAGGGGGCTTTAACGCCACTGATCGGACCAGAGCCATTCTGCGGACTTGGAAATTCCTATTTCCAAGGAGAACTTGAGAAGGCGGAAGGAGCCTTGAAAACCAGACAACGGAGAAGACTTCCAGGACTACGGCAGGCTGATATAGATGGAGTGTGACGCAGTGCATCACAAAAGATTGAACATACTGGGAACACACCAGCTCACTGTGGAAGAAATACCACAACTAGACCCCATCAGAATCCTCAAATTCATGGAGGAATTGAATCTCGAGGGGCTGCTATGAACAAGGAATCCTTGATATAGCAGAAGCAGATGGGGCACAATAGATCTAATTAGGTCGCACCGCATCTGTCACCATCCAACCTATAACAATACCAATACCAGTACCCATGACTCGAGAAGATATTATATTGAAATCAGAGAATTATTGACGTGAAATTTGATGTTTTTAACAGGAATTACACCTGCGTTGCAGGCATCTTCATCATTCTTTTGAAGTAATCAGATATCTGTCAGTCTGAGTCTGTGTTTTGATTTAAAGAAATTGCGGAGTGGAATGGAAGATAAAAGGACTTGCAGTTCTTTGTCGGAGACGGTGTAATTGGTTTATTTTTGGGAACTGACACAATAGCGCACCTATATATCCGGGAAAAAAATACACATTTTTAACCCTTGGGCAAAAAGTAATTTATGGAAAGTCAAATTTTGTCACCTGTCAACAAAGATAAAATTTCTAATTTTTTTCCCGTCACAGAAAACACAAATTGCCTTCGAAAGGAATTATTTTCGAAAAATTGTTTATCGAAAATATGTTTTCGAGAAAATAGGTTTTAAAAACGTTGCTTTCGAAAAAAAGTTCGCGACCCCTATTTGAACATTCAACCGCCACTATACATGCTACGAACCCTGTATTCGAAATTTGAGCTATTTACTAAAAATACTATACTCACCATCCAGATCAGTTAAAAAATGGTCGAAGGAACTGAAGAATCTACTCTGCTCTTCAGGACAGGCTTCAGCCAAATTCTTCAAAAATTTCATGATTGATTTTTTGCTATTAATCCTACTATCACTGTCTAGGTGACAACGCATACTAATCTGAATCTCGAATTACATGAAATAATTTTTTCTGCTGATAAAAGATATAAGTTGGCAAACAAATTCCATCGATGAGTTGATAGACTGTGGTTTTAGTCGATTTAGTCATTTTATTGTTTATACAAACATCTCGCGATTATTTTTGTTTGTATATTATTTAACTGTGTGTAAAATGTATTCATATTATCGCGAACCTGCGTATGCCTACCCGATATTAAAAAAATGTTGGTAAATAATATACCAAACTTTCATGCGCTTGTAAAAATGAAGTTAAACGCTTTTCAAGTTGAAAGAACGTGTTTATTATGGAATATATATTCAATGAATATTGATAGTCATACTTTTTATTTCTGTATTTTGAAGAACTATAACCCGAACTTGTTCACTGTCGCAGACCATTATTTTCTCAGAGCTCTGAGCATTTTTCAATTAATTCACGATATTTCATTCTTCTTCTTCTTTTGGGTTTATTGGATCACTGTCTCCTTTTGGTAACAATTTCTCCAGATCAGGTAATTAATTTTTTCAAGAATTATACATGGTGGCATTGAAATAAGTGCAAATATTTCAAACACTGAGAAAGCTCGACGTGTACTATCGAATGGCACTAATAAAAAAATTTAGGGATCAAAATGAATTTCACGGTTAGATCCCTTTTTCCACCCTGTACAACTAGCATGATGACATTGAATGCCAGATTTGAGTTTGGTCTGGTCTCGTATCTGTCAGGGTTTTGTTTCTGTTAGAAAACGCAAGTTGGAGAATCATTTCTCTAATCTAGTCTATTTATCAATCCAATCATTCCCTATGGAGTCTTTTCCATCAGAAGGAAGTTTTCATGGTTTCCCATGCGAGAATTCCCAGGACAAGGAAGATAATCTTCGACATTCTATACTGTAGCAAATCTGACGTCACCTCTGTTCAAATTTCCATGCGGTATAGGCACAATCACGCAGAGTTCAATCATTTAAATTGTTTTAAAGTGGCGTACTCGATTTTTTGTTCGTATTTTGTTCAATTTTTGGGATGAAATTTCTCGTTAATTAGAAAAATTAGAAAAAATCTGATATCATGGGAATATTCCTTAGACTGTATCACATTAATGTGCTGAATATGTGCATTTATTTCAAAAACACCTTGTATATATGGTTATGTGATAATATTATCTCTCGACTCGAGCACTAAAGACACCGTAGTCCGCCACCATGCCCGGAAGCCGAGTTCGTCAATGTTCAATATTCTATCGTATGTGCTCCTGCTCACTGGAGCACGTTTAATTTCAAGTATGGGCCTTTCACCCGATGAATCCGTCATCATCCGGCCTCTATACCGGAGTAGAGATAAAATGAATATTTTCTATTCCCCTTCACTAAAACTCGGGTTTTCCTTTTCTCATTTATTTCTACTAAAAATACATCTTCACAATTTATGATGAAGAAAAACAATGAATCCCTATTTGCGACAACAACTCCATGACAATATCTCTAAGCTATCTTTACCTACATAAATATACCAAGTATTTCAACAAATTTACACACACACTTATTAAACTTCACAATGAATATTGAATTTTAATCCAGATCAGGTAATTAGAAAAATGTTAGACTTCCATGGTTAAAGGGCGAAATGCACGATATTTCATTGTTCGTAACATGAAAAACGCGAGACAGTGCGTGACGTCATAAACCGCGATCAATCCATTGCAATTATACAGGGTGTTTGGTTTATCGACGAATATCTGAAAGGGGGTGATAGGTGAGAAAATTTCGAACATATTTCACCATATATGATATTATACAAAGTGTAACAAATTTCTTGATATCGTTTTATCAAACATTTTATCTGATTGTATCCATATATTCATTCCTATAAAGTATAAAAAAAATGTTCTCAATAAACAAGACTTTTTCTGCCTAGGCATTGAAAGTACACCTTTTCTGCCTGTTAAGCGGCAGGAAAAAGCCAGTATCCCTGCCGCTTGGAGAAAAAAACCTTTATCAGTCAGATCAGCCTTCACGATCGCAAATGTTTTTGTTTTTCACCCAGTCGTTAAGACATAACAAATATCGTGCATATTCATTAGATGTTTTCTTATAGAATTCTTTCTAAATATGTTTTATTATGAATGAAATTCTCAAGTCTGCAGTCGGCACGCAGAAATATTTACCTGTGAGGCCCTCGCACGAGACACGAGAAGTCTTGCACGGGACTCGAGACGAGACCAATAAAAGTTTCGTCTCGTCTTGTCCGAGTCTCGCCTCGAGTCTTGTCTCGAAAACGAGACGAGACCATGCGAGACTTTCGAAAACGAGACTCTTGCGGGCACCACTAGTAAAATCACATTCTAGTGGTAGAAGAAAGATATGTAATCTAAATTAATGAGTGAGTTCGCAAAAAAGTACGAGGTGGCTAAATTAGGAACGACCTCCCAAAAGAGTCTGTCTCTCTGTAGGTATCCAAAAAAACTCATTAGTCCTAATTATAGAGTTTTGAAGTATAATACTTATGTGTATCATATTTCAATTTATGAAAATTTTGAAAAAAATCTTAAGAAACACAACAAATAAAACTTCGATACCTTATATGCAGCATAATATATGTTTACATAGGATTTTCGTCTTGAAAATATAGGGTATTAGTGCTGTTCTCTGGTGCTGAAATGCCTACTACCAAAAACTGACTCACTCTGAATAATAAAACACCAAACATATATACGAAAGGTCTATAATAATAATAATATGTCTCTTTTTACACATCATTTTGAGGATAATCCAACTTCTCACAAGAGGCAGATTATCAATTTTTGTAATTTTGAAATGACAAATAAAGTGAAAACTTATATTGAATCAATTCATGATTTCGATCGAATGAGGAACTTTTGTTCGCAAAAGAAATCCATCGGGAATATTGAGACCAAGTCTGTCCAGCGATTTGAAGATGTTGTTCAGAACATCCAAACTTTCTACGAAATATTCTGGTTTATGTTCCTCGGGGTACTTCCAGTTCTGTACGTCCTGTATACTGGCAGCTCCTGTGAGAACAAGGAGTTTTTGAAACCCGGCCATGGTGGCAATGTTCATATCTTCGGCAATCCTATTAAACACAGAAACATCAAGCATCATCAAACGGCATCAAGCAAACACAAAATTAAATATTTCACGGAAATTATGATATTGATATGGGATAATGTCATCCTAAGGAAAGTATTATTGTGGTTTTCTTGATTCATATTGAATCTACAGCGAAACTACATCATTTCAAATAGATCATTCTACACGAAAAAGGTTCCATTTCAGAACAATATTCTCCATGATAGACCCCCTCCAATAACGATTGAAGAAAATTACTCTCTTCTAATGTTCTTATTTCTATTGAAACGTAACATGTAAAGATACAATTACGCGGAGGTACAATTAATGAAGACTGGTCGAGCTAAATGATGATCTAAGTGCCAAAATCCAAAAATTGACAGAAATTAAGAAAACGGTCCCTCGACAAAAATAAAACGAATGATGTGTAAGATTCAATCGAAATCCGGCTGAATTAACAATCACAAAGGTGAACTTGAAAATGTTTTGATATCAAGACAACGAGAAAACTTGGTAAAGACAAATAAGTAAGTGAAGAAAAAACCGCCTAATAAGAATGTGAATTTATTATCCAATTAGGCAATATATCTTCTGCTTTTATTTCAGAATGTTCCTCTTTTTTGCCATATTCGTTTTTGTCAAATGATCTGCGTACATAGAAATAAAACATGATCAAGAGTCTAAAATAGAGGTAATGAATGCTCAAGGTCATTTTTCTTGCTTCTGTTTAATTGCTGAACACTTGACAAGGCTAAGAGCTCAATAGGCTCCAAATTTTGGAAAGTTACACCCTTTTTCAAAACACGGCATTTCCCCCATCCTATAATGTCACAAATTTTTTTTGTCCAATACTATTCCTGGCTCTTCTTTCGTCACCCGTATCCATGATTTCGGGTAATGCCAAATTTAGATATATCTAAGCACTTTGATGATATTTAATCAAAGTTAAAAAAAAGAACATTCAGCCATATCATTTGTGTGTCTTAGGGTTTCCCATTTAACCTTGCCTCTGTGTACTTTCCCCTTGGCGATTCTTCTTCTTTTTATCACCAAATGCACTTTATGGAAGGAAATTCATTATATTCACTTCAAGACACAAATAAACATTACCTAGTTTGAATAACATCCGTTCTAACGACAAATTTAATTTCATCCTGCAATGCATATCATGCAGCTCCAACTTTGGACTTGGGTGAAATTGGCCCTTAGATCTCTTTTAGTGGGACATTGGCGCCGGCACATAGATCCGATTGACGAAAAAACAGTGTTTCTAAGATTTTGGCATTTAGATCGCTTAGCTTGGCTACTCTTGACTCAATGACAAAATGACAACATATACGCACATATACACAATATATCCAAAAATTCAACGGGTGATTCTTTTTGATATTCTAGCAAATAAAGTTCATATAAACATGTGTCCTAACTTGCTCCGTTTTTGAGATACAGGATGTTGAAGTTGGAAGTATTACTTGTAGATTGTATGTAGATTGTAGATGGGTCGTATAGGCTGGGAGACCTCTCGATCACTGCGACCTACAAGATCTATTGTGATTACCCTTATCTAATTTTGGTCCTCTAACCCTAGACTTCTGATGAAGCCTACAATTTTCCTGACGGTTAGATTTTCCACCTCAGCAGGGGTGAGATAGACCTGTTGTAGGTGGCGGACTAATACTTTACATGAGCAAAATATGTGTTCCGCGTTGTTACAAAAGCGGCAAGTGTCAGTCTCCGCCAGGCCCATCTTTTTGAGGTGGTACCTCAGAGGGCCGTGTCCTGTGAGAAAGCTTTAGCTCTGGTTTGATGAGGCTGAGTAGCTCTTTGGCTCGGTTCTGCGAATGGATGACGAACCTTTTCGCTTGTCGTTGACCTGGAGTTGCTCTCCAGTAGGAGGACTTTTCGATTTCTTCCCATTTCCTGAGTTCTTCCTTTAGGTGACATTTGCCTATCCCACAAAAAGGCTCAGGACCAAAAAGTGCAGATGCTGCACCTTTTTTTGCATGGCGATCAGCTGCCTCATTTCTTTTGATTCCTTCATGCACTGGAACCCACATAAGTGTGACTTCGTTGGTCTTTCCCAGTTGCATGAGTGTTGAAAGCAGCTTGTTTTTATTTATAACCCCCCTATGAGCTTTCATGGTGCCAAAATTCAGTATGGTCGGAGACTGAAAAAGTACCAAAATCTCATAATGGTTCTAATTGGTGTTATTGAGTAACCTCAATGGAAGTCTTGTAAACACGCCTACATTAAAATTTGAAGTCAAATCGAATTTTTATTGTTTCCCGAAAAAATAAAGCTAGATACAAATATTAAACAGGGGATTAAAAACATGTTATTTCAATAGTTTAATCTAATAAACTTATGGAACTCAGAAAGCCGGTGGCGTACAATGACATTCGCCATAAATATCGATAAATTTACCCACTGTGACGCCACTGGAAATATTATTTGGAATCTAATTGCGCCAGAAGAAGCCTCATATTACTATCAACAAAACCACAACATTTTATTGGAATTGATGAAAAGACAACTGAGTAATGAAGAAAAAGAAAAGATTTTTCATGGAAATATTATTACCCTGCATCTTGAAAACGAAGCAAGTTAGGACACATGATTATATGAACTTTATTTCCTCAAATATCCCAAGGAATTACCCCTTGAATTTTTTCGGTGTTATTTAGATACACCCTGTATATAAAAAATTGGTTTGGTTAGTGGCAAAAGTTCCAGTCTACAATAAACAGGGTGTCCGAAATTACACGGAAAGATCTATGAACGAAAGTAGTATAGTAGTTCACACAAACATGGGTCTAGAAATGGCCCCCTGGGGAATTATAGCCATCTGAAGGGGAGCCTGAGATGATAGTTTCATGTGAATATTTTCAAAACTAACTGTGATAAAATAAATTTTGTATATCATATTCCTAACTTCTTATGACCGTTTTGTGAATGAATGAAGATGAATGATTATCACGCAGCAGACTTTTGAATGATTCATCTCGAATATGGTGAATGCTATCGGAATTCAACAAAAGTACTATTCTTGAGTAAACATTTATGATATTTCAATATATTTGTTTTATCCCTTGGAGCGCACGAAAGGCGATTCCTATAATGTTCGAAGAATAACGTGCGCGTACCTATTAGGGAGTATTGGGAGAGGAGGTAGTAGTACTAACTGCCGAAAATTGCATAAACAAAGAATTGGGCACATGTTGAAAATTTGGTCATTATATCACAGAGGGTTTCGAAAATATTTACAAAAAAACATCAACTCGGGGTCTCTTTCAGATGGTGAAAACCCCCCAATTCTGGACCCATGTTTTTATGAACTTTGTTTCACTACTGTATACGTATAAATGACATAATCGTTAATCGCCAGTGATATACCGGGTGACACAGGAAATAAGTAACAGCCTGTAGTTTTTTTATTTGATGAGATAAAAAATTGAAATTCACAAGGGTTGGCGCTTCCCTCGAACAAAATGACATCAATTTTCTTCAACCACCTCTTTGATTGGAAGTACACCCAACTTTTTGAAATGGCACCCTGTTTATTTCTATAGTCTATCTTATTCACCTTAAGATTCTCTATTCAACTATGTATCACAATTTGATATTCGTTCATTAGTTGGCTATTAAATTGCATTGAATACAATGACATTTTGATGCTTGATAGACTTAGAAATCCAAAGATCATTACTTAGACGATATTATCAAAATATTTTCCTTACCCTAATCGGTCCCAGATAATTGCCAATCATTTCATTGAGTTTGAAAAATCATCCGAAAATAACTCACGATATCGAGAAAACTAAGATAGAAACTCAGTTCTTCTCATTTGGCTACTTGTGAAGAAACTATTTGTCTTTCATTTTTGCAATGTAGCCATAATATGATCATCCGTTTGGATACATGAAACTGAAATTCTTGTAATAATGGGCTTATATCACAAAAAAATTTTATTTCATAATTCGATAGAACTCACCCAAACTAGCTCACCACCACAAATCGTTTCTTGCTGTGAGCTCCCTACGTTTTATAAAAAGTTGTTGAAATCCCCGATTTTTCGGACCTCTCAAAACGAGGCGATGATGTGACGTCAAAATCCTAATACTGAAACAAGATTATTCCAGACAGAGATGAATGATACATGATTTCTGACAGAGTGAATTTGCGCGAGATCACAGTTGAAAGAATTAATATATCAGTTGCCTCAGTCTCCGTCGGGCGTTTGGTATTTTCTTTCAACTATGGCGAGATGAGGTTTCTACGTCATAAGAGAGGGTCCGTTTTCAGAAGGTACTATTATTTATGTCTAAAAATAAAACATTCCAGTTAATTTTTCGATCGAATTATGTCGTCAATCATTATTTATGTATAAAAGGATCATTATAAACATAGTTTGAGTTGAAAGTTCTACTAAGGTGTACACGCCCATTGTTGTATCGTCCCAATTCATCTGTTCATGAGTCTGCATTAGTGTATTTTCAGTATCATTTCGCTCATCAACTTGTGATACATAGTTGAATGAAAAATTTTAAGGCGAATAAGAAAGGCTACAGAAATATACAGGATGCCATTTGAAGAAAAAAGTTGGGTGTACTTCCGATCAAACAAGCGGTTGAAGAAAATTTTCATTTGGTTCGAGGGAAGCACCTCTTCTTCTTCTTCTTCTTCTTCTCTGCACAGGTGGGCGGGTGCGTAGACCCCTGCACTCAGGCCTCTTCAGTCGGGCCCATTGTGCGCCCACTTGTCCTGTGAATCAGCTCGGCATGCCGATTTCTTTGACGAAATTCAGCAGCTTCCTCAGCTGAGTCACTTTCACATCTTTTGGGTGCGGTACAATGCTCCCAAAGGCAGCTTTGCTGTGATGCACCAGCGCGGGGCATTCAGTGAGTATGTGTGATGATGTTTCATCATCATCCAAGCACCATCTGCAGAAGGGATCATCTTCAATCCCTATGAGTTATAGGTGCCTGTTGAGTAGTTGTGCCCAGTTAAGAGCCCAACTACCATCTTGAGATCCCTTCTATTAAGTGACAGGATCTCTCTTGTGGAGGAAGCACCATCATCGATAATATAACTCTTGTGAATTTCAAATTTGTATCACTTCAAATAAAAAAAAACTACAGGCTGTTTCATGTCTCTTGTATCACCCTATACAGCTTGCCAGTATCAACCTATCATGCCTCCCAACATTTTTTCGGTGTGTATATCACTGACGATGAACTCATTCGATCATTGAGCTTCCATAGAGCCGGCTGTGGTAGCTCTCATCAGGCTCTTGCAAATTTCAGAATTGTAACATTATTGGGTAATATGCAAGGGTGTATCCATCAGAAGTGTACATTGGTACATTGGTATAGTGACTGCCCAAACTAGGTAAAAAACAATTTGTTAAACGGCTTCACGAAAATATGGGCGAAAAACTACACTTTCAGTGGGTTTTTTCATGTTCTGGTTCCCAAGGAAAGGGATATCCTGTAATGTTCAGAGAACATCGTGAGAACCAAGGGAAATAAGGTAGGAAATGGTGTTCTTCCTGAATTTCTGAAGGTTATATGCCTCGGGGAACACCTCCCTCGACATATGTTTCATAGCCTCGCTGTTCGTTGGATGAACGAGTCTTTGGAGAGATATGTTCTGCAGGTCTCCAAAGTGACCACGAAGGGGTGCGAAGCCCCAACTCGACGGGTCAAAAATTGTTGATATTTCAGAAGATCATCGTCTATGAAAATATCTATAAAGAGCCAGATCGCTAACTTTTTTACGGTGTTCCAGAGAAGTGAGTGAGTTTGTGAGCGCGGCATCACCCACGAGACGAATTGCCCTTTTTTGAACAGAATCCAACAGTTCCAGGGTATGTTTGGGTGCTGCACTATACAAATATGGGAACAGTATTTCAGGACAGGTCGGATCTGTGTCTTGTAGATCATAAGCAGCTGACTTGAAGTAAAATCGCTCCTGGCTCGAAACAGAAAACCAAGTTTTTGGGATGCACTTTAGCAGTTGATCTCACGTGAATTTCCCAAGAAAGATTATTGCTGATAGTAATATCAAGCATCGAAATAGATGTCTTCAAAGGTATGGTTACTCCTGACAAGCTTATGTTGAGCACATTGAGATCGGATTTTCTAGAAAAAAGGCATGCTTGTGTTTTGGTTGCATTGTTGCCAATTCCATATTTATGTTGTCAACATTTCTTCCTCGTTCGTTTCTGATTTGCCTGGCTGGTATTGGAGTCCGGGAAGAGAAGGCGGTATGGAGGGTACTATCATCCGCGAAGCTCGACTGCAAGGTGAAATGACTTGACGTTTAGACACTTCTCCATCACATTCATGGGGCAAATAAGAGAGTTTTCGTCCATATCCTCGTTGTCGTTTGATTCATATCCAAATAATTATTTATACTTATTTCTGTTCTTTGTTGTTTGTAATTGATACTGTACACCCAGCATATAAACCTAAAATATTCAGATGTTGATGTTATGACGTAGTGTATACGTTACCTTATCTATTCACCAAATGGACATACATAATCATATTGTGAATTGTTACCTGCATATATCTCTGATGGTTACTTCAACATAATATTCCGGTGATTTACCTCCTTCCGAAGAGATGGCGTTATGTTGAGTTTTTTCAATATTCACCTGAAGACGATTTCAGATAATTATTTATTTTAAAATTTATACTTCGTAAGCAGAATTGTTTTTCATTATTATTACCAACTTCCGATGTTGTAACCCTGGTTCAAGTTACGCTGTAAACACTTCAAACTACTATTAATGATCATTAAGTAATAAGTAACAGAAATATATAAGGTATAGTTTATTTATCGAAAAAGAGTACTCACGAATCTCCTACGAAAAGTACTCTTGTAGGATCGGCGATCCCGAATTTTTTGTTGATGAAATCTGCGTAAAATTGCGATGGTTTGGCTATCAATGTCGCCGTCCTTCCGCTAATTTCTTCTATACATTTATTATGGTGGTAGTTTCCTAGAAAAATAACATGAAAGTGTAGTGGATTGCTTCCTTTGCCAATATACATTGAGAAAAATAGAGTGAAAAAGAACACTAAACATGTTCCTAGGAGGACCACTACGCTTTAGCGTTCAGATTTTTTTTTTATTTTGAATTGACTTGGCCGTTACTTGATAGAAATCCATAGCAAATGTAAAAACTTCACAAAGTATGAGAGTTCCACACAATTCATAGTCACACGACATGCTTCTTCAACACAGTAGCTTCGTCAGGTGAGATACTGGTACAATTGTATAGTAATAGACAAAAGTGAGAATTCACTAGGAGTGGAATTTCCACAATATCTCACCTGCAATCGGTCCTAACGGACCAACGGGAATATGTTTGTCTCCAGGGCCTACTATATAATGGCAGTCGTCTCTTTTCAGGAATGTCAGCATCATTTGCATCTTGATGAAGGTTAAATTCGGGTCAAAGTTGAAGAAAACCGCTCCAACATTCTCGTCGTCTTGCAGAAGCTGAAGCAGACTTGGTAACGATTCGTCGATTTGTTGCGGCTATAAAAATCCCAAAATTATCAACAGGTTATTCCTCAATCCTTATTGGTTGATTTGCAATCTGGTTGTTTTGGAAGAGATGAGAAAAATTGGTAACTTTAAATAATTGTAGCCCTATTCATATTTTCGGTAGCAAATGAATCAAGTGCAATCAATTTGAACCCTAAGAAGACTCAAGGTATATTATACAATAGTTGGTACCATTAGAAAATAGATGGAAATCAAAATGAGTTTGTTTTTCTACCCACAATTATACTCATCGACAACAAGCCGCTCGAGGAAGGCATTTAAAAGGTGTTTACATTGAGTTCATGGTATAAAACAGGGAGATCCGCGGAGATCCAAGCGACGTTGCCACAATTCATCACGAATGAGTTGCGAATTGGATCTTAATATCCAAAAAAAAACAAGTTTCAAGAAAACTCAGAAATCTGTGACGACTGGACAAAGCAATCGAGGAAATGTTAACATGGAATGAATTTTCATCGTTATGGTGGTCTCCACAGTGGTCTCCACCAAAATGGTTTGGAGATAACCTCAAACACCGACTTTAGAAAGGCCAAGAGTGAAGTAATAATATATTGTTCAACGAGCACAGAATGATAGTCATTTCCCACGAGTGGCAAATTGGCATTCTGTTCGAGTTATTCACTATACTTTTTCTACGGTTGTAACAGATTTTCAATTCTTTCGACTTGCAGCCATCTGATTTTCTCTTAACTATAATGCTCATATATTAGACAGAGCTGTCATTGCTCGAAATTTGACATTTCATGGGAGATGATAAGATTATGTTAACTAATAACACAATGAAGTCCTTGTGTCCTCAAGTTATGGAAAGACTCGAGCAGACTTACGTTTATTTGCTCTCAATGTGGAATATACGACCAATTCTCACATTGACGGAAAAGAAGATATCGGCTAGATTCCGAATTCAACTGACGGTATACTGAATCTGCTGATTTTTCATTCCGAAATAAAAAAAATCACTGAAAGTGACAGATCGTGAGCAGATATTCTATTTATTCCAAATAATTTGACTCAACGTGCTACTGGAATTGCTGACGATCAGAAGGTAGTGTGGCTTCTGTGGAAGGAATGTAACATTTATTTCCGTTGTTTCAAACATTTAGTCTTGCCTTATCAATTATAAATCGATAATATTATTTTTGATATCAGAAAATGCCTGTTATTCAAATAATTGACGCTGAGAATTATATTCAAATTTCTACAGCTGATCAACTGCTGCTGATCCCTGATGAAAACCATGGAAACAGATTTTCAGAAGACTCAGTGGGTTTACTGACAGTACTGGCCAGTTGAAATCGGGATATAGCCATCGAAGGAATAAGGAAAATAAGAAGCATATTTATCAGTTCTACCAACTCTGACCACTAGTTTCAGTGGCAGGATCTGTTGGATAATAATTAATGTTAGCCCTCATTCCGAAGACTTAAAAATCGAATATTCCGGCAATTTTCGTTAGACTAGAACGAAGTGCACATATTGCTCTGGTCAATATAATATGTGTTCATTTCGATTTTGAGTACCGCAACCTAAAATGTATTATTCAACTTACTGGATCTGGGTACACTTTCAATCCCGCTTTCCTCAGTTCCTCCTTCATCTCTTGGGAGCCTATGGCGAAAATTGCCTTGTCGATACTCATTCGCCTCAAATAGGCGATTCCGGAAATGATCGGCGTTGCCAGATCGTCGATTTCTGCGTCGAATCCCTTCTTTTTCAAAATGTTCCATATCGTTTCGACAGATGCCAGACTATTGTTAGTGACGTATCGGATGGTTTTACCTCGTTTCTTGAGACCATTTATGAATTCTACTGCTCCTGGTAAGGGCCTGTAGGCAAGCCATATTACGCCTGGAATAAAAGCTCAATCAGAATGACAGTTTTTTTCGTTTATTGAGAGAATCATAATGAACCAATTCCTAACTTTTGTACATTTCAAAGTGCAAATCTTTTTAGGAATATTGTCGTTTGTCAGACCTAGAGCTGTTGAACTCAAACTGACCTGAACGCCCTATATGGGTTGCGTGCAAGAACTGTCAGATGACCGACCCTGGAGGTGAAACATTGAGACACAACCTCACTTTTATTATTTGCTCACTAATTATTGAAATAGTTTCTCACAATTATTTTGGCATAAGTATCGTGGTCTTCGGCTATCAATTAATTTGCGCATGCCATCACATGATGCTGTTGTACAATGCACAAAAATGCAGCAAGAGACGGAGGAATCTGGTTGGTACGTCATGAATCAAAAGTAAGTACCTACTATAATAGTTACTCACATATAGTTTTCATTTTGAAATTTGGAAATTCCTCTGATTTCTCATCGGAATTCCTTCTGCAATACGAGCTAATAGAAATACTCGTGAAATATCTAAAAGAATGCGAGAAGATTGGATTCATGCAATCAAACGGGAGGACTGGTCTGACATGTTGACGGAATATGATCATGGTGTGTGTACACATTTTCAATCAATTAGCAGTATTAGCTTTTATTGCAGAAGTGGCAAGAGGAATTTCAATAAGAAATGACAAAATTTCATAGTGAAAACTATGTGAGATTTCTATTTACCTGAAAAATCATATTCCTTCGTCTCTCGCTGCATTTCCTGTGTATTGTACAGCAGCACAATGAGAAGGCTTCATTGAATTAATTAATAGCGCAGAAAACACGATTCGTATGCCGAAATATTGTGAAAAACTATTTCAATCCTTTGATTCCTCTGTAAACAAATAAAAAAAGTGAGGTTGTGTTCCAATTTTTTCCATAAAAGTGAGGTTTTGTTTCAATATTTTGGCTCCAGGGTCGGTCATCGTGCACGCGACCTATATTTCAATTTATCGATTCCTCGAAACAGGTGTTTGTTTTAATCCCATTTGAAAAATATTCTCTGTCTCGCTCCAACACATGAGTTCTTATAGAGAATGACATTAATAAGAGGTTTCATGCGAATAAGTGCGATTCACCGTTGATTCCAGAAGATCAAAAGCTCTCAAAATCCATAATGAAAAATCCAAGGCCGTATTCAAAAAACTAAGCTGATGATGGCAGCTCAAAGACGAAATATCGGTTTGGAAATTTGATAACACCATCTTGTAGAACAGAAAATTAGCAATGAGAAATTTGTTTCGTTACATTTATTCAAATTGGGTAATGGAATAATGAAAATGAAAGTATTCGGAATTTTTCAAATTTCAATATGATATTTTCTTAGGCATAATATTACGCAACTTTGTCATAATATTTAACCGACCCTGTATCTCTTACGGCTTACGAGATCCCAATGATGGGGCTCGTATTCCAGCCACCCTGTACACCCCATCCTGTTTGTGCGATTCAAAGAATCAAAAAAAATTTTTCTCATCTCTTGGAGCGCACGAAAGGAAATGCCTATTATGTTCGAAGAACATCGTGCGTACCTATAGGAAAGATTGGGAGAGGAGGTAGGTACTGGATCTTTCTTGAACTTTTGGAGGTTATGAGTTCTTGATGGGAATACTTTCATTAATAAAGTGTTGTTCGACATACTTTGAGGTTGACAACGAGAGGATGTGCTGACTGGGCTTGTCGAGTTCGTCTGACTGGTATTGCTAGTGATGGAATGATAGCAGATATTTCTGAGGAGCATTTTCTGTGGAAGTATTTATAAAAAAATTAAAGGTCGCCGACTTCTCTACGGTGTTCTAGTGAGGTCAAATGATTAGTGAGTGTGGCATCACCCACCAGGTGAATGGCTCTTCTCAGGTTGGAATCTAAGAGCAACAGCCTATGTTTGGGAGCCGAAACCCATATGTGCTGAGAACAGTATTATAAACCTGGTATCTCTGCTTTGTAGATCATCAGAAGCTGTTGAGGTGTAATATTACGTAATATGTGTTGTTAACTCTACCTAGGGTCCCTTGATGGAAATTGACGTTAAAGTCATCTTAACAGGGTACGGACAGATCATAGCTGCATTCTTTTTTAATGATGTAGAGACTTTAGTTTTGTCTACTGGCATCCCTGACATTGCTGTCACGTCATATCCATGGGCGCTACAAATTTCAATAATAGGTATGTACAGGGTGTTTACTTGTTGAAGATCATATGGCGAACGAGTTTTGTAATTATGATCCGATTCTATTCAAAATTGGAAGATATCTGGGGTTTTCCGAGGTTGGAGATAATGATTGTTTCGTCAAACTTGGAAAATTCAAGATGACCAATCCAATATACAGGTTGATTCACGGTGGATGGCGCATTAGACGGTTCTGGAAAACGCAACTCAGGATTATTCTGAAAAGTTGGTGCCTTGAATAATTAGTTGTGTTCTATCGACCTGAAATATTCTCAGCGCTGCCACCGTGAATCAGCCCGTATAGCGAAAGAAATTTCTAATTATGATCTGATTCTATTTAAGATTGGTATCTGGGGGTTTTCGGGGTCGAACTTTATGATTTTTTGTCAATGGGGTCGGAGATTATAATTAATTCGTCAAAATTGGGATTTTCATGATGGCAGATCCATTATGGTGGACGAGTTTTGTAATGGAGATTCGATTCTATTCAAAATTGGTATCTGGGGGTTTCCGGCGGGGTAGGGTAGGAAAATTCAAGATGGCGGATTCGATATGGCGAAAGACATTAGTTTATATGATTATTACTCTACCACAAATAGAAAATATATAGGATGCAAGAGTGAAAATATCGTGACTATAAGTTATACTGCGTATACCTACATCTTTGTTACTTTTATCAATCAATTGTTCGAAAATGACTTTTAATTTGAGGGGGACGGAAAAATCATATGTATAACATGGGGGTAAAGTATATTCTATTCTTTATTTTCCTGCATATTTTACGTATTACTTTTTATCAGCCTACTTTTCGTCCTAGACAAAGTTTTATACATGATATACGTGATATTAGTCACTCCATAAATTCCTCACCGAGCTGGATTTCGAAAAATATATTGAGCACACATGAATGAGTACAGTGGTTTCGGTTTCCATCATTTCTCAATCATAAGGCTCAGCTCATTAAGCTGATAGATAAACTTCTGCTCAGCTTGAAATCAGAATTCATTCAGTCAATTCAGTCAACCCTAGTATACAGTCTAAGAACATCAGTCTCTCTCTTAGTGAAATATATTAAGCTTTCAGTACAATTTATATGTTCCCTACCTCGCAAAGATTACGCTTGAGTAGTATACTCTAAATCTAGAGGACTGTTCATCTATATCTTGGTATAGTTGAATCGGGAATTCCATATGGAAATTACGTATGATACGCCAGTGACCTCAATATAACCTAAAAAACAACGAATGTCAAAAATCTAGTGTTTTTCCCTAGAATTGAATAAGGATGAAGCTATATAACTGTTTCACAAACACTTTAGAGTGAGAGGAGACGAGGATCTGTCCGTACCCTGTTAGGATGACTTTAACGTCAATTTCCATCAAGGGACCCTAACTCTACCTACTGCCATATAGTACATCAAAAAAGTTTAGACAAACAGTCTGAATTGTAAATTTTTGACAGTTATGTCATCCGCTGTTGACGGCGATTACGCGATCATGATATACCAATATAGCATAGATAAAGTGGACTTGGTGTAAATGGTGGTACCAGACATTTTTATATCAGGAATAATGAGTTCCACCATTCTAGAGAACAACACTTCAGGCTTGAGTTTTGATGGCGATGAATTCTACTAGGTTGTTGGTTTCCCGCAGTATGGAGAGTACTATCATCTGTAAAACTGTGGATAGGGCAAGTGGTTGCTCCCAACAGATCATGTATATGAAGTAAGAACAATGTTAGTGCCAAAGTTGATCCTTCTGGAACGCCTGAAATGGCAATGGTATCAGTCGATACTCCGTACATCACCAGATGAAACGATCCGCCTGGAAGAAAACTCGATATAGGATGGCATAGCTGAAGTGTTAAACCGTTTGATGGTAGTTCACAAGTTTGTGGAGGAGTCCTTGGTGCCAAACCGTTACCATCGAGACAAGATGGTAACGGCCAAACACGCTCGAATGCCTTTGATATATCCAACGCCACAGCTAGAGATTCCCCATGTTTTTCTAATGAAGCTTGCCATATAGGGGTGACGTAGTCAAGTAAATCCCCAGTTGAACTTAGGTGGCGAAAGTCATATTGTCTATCGATAAGAATTCCTGAGCTTTCCAGATATTTAATGAGCTCAATGTTGATGGATTTCCCCATCACTTTGGAGATAACTGATAACAGTCAGTTGTTGGTCAGGCTTTTGTTTCCTGGGGATTGATTGGACTCTAGCTATCTATAATTGAATTTTATTGACATCGAAAATGTAGTGTCAATATTATTTAATATAAAATGAAATGGATAATAATATTTATCAAGTACCTATTATCTATTCACCCATCAAAATAAAGTGAATACAATATAAGCTATGCTATTTGTCAAGGTCTTATACAGGGTGGTCAATTTTTCACTAGCAAAATATCGACAGTTGATAGAAGACCATGTTTTTGGAAGAAAAGTTCCTAGAAACATAGCCGTGAAAGGTACAGGGCTTTGAAACTCTAGGGAACCACTCAAAATAATACGACAGATATATACAGTGTGACCCACTTCTAATGGAACCACCCCTGTATCTTACGTAATCGTTGGGTAAGGATCCTGAAATTTGCTGGAGCGATAGATATACCAGAAATGCACTATGACCAATTGGGGTCATCTTCAGTGATATACACTGCTCGCCAACAGCCATGAAACCACCCCAATTTCCGTAAAATGATATTAGGAGTCAGAATAGGTTGAAAATCACTTCGGATTCGGAATCAGGACGCCCAATTCTCTAACTATTCATAGTTTCCCTAGAAAATTATCTTTGAAAATGAGAGAGATATCGAAAATGGGACAGCCTGTTCTTTAAAATCGAGATTTTCCAACTAAGATTTTTTTGCACATTTATCATACAGGGCGTGGAAAGAAATTCTGAATTGAGACTCTATCACGAATCTGCGATTAGAGGTCTATAAAAATCACAAGTTTCCATCGTTCAAGTTTGAACCCCCTGATTGGGTATGAAAGTGTTGAAAAGGAATATTCTCAGATAAATTATGGACATACAAAAATGGATATATATTTATGCCAGTATACTTCTCCTATACATTCCAATTTTCATTTCAATGCTGAATATATTGGTAAGTTATATTTCTATATCATTATACATCATATTATTCATATTTGGAGAAGAATGTCAATTCTCAATTTCGGAGGATTTCATTTTTTATTTTTCATGTTCTCCTTTTGAATGTTCATCAGATAAAATTCAATGTTCGACGTGGCAAATAGCCAGGAAAGTAGTTGTTTTCTGTTGAATATTCAAAATGATGTGTGCATATACATATTTTTGTCTGAAGGAGAATGCAAATTCTCAATTTCAGAAGTTTTTATATTTTATTTTCAAACTCTTATCGTGTGTGTTCAATAGATATTATTCAATGTTCGTCGTGGCATATAGCCAGGAAAGTAGTTGTTTTCTATTGAATAAACTGAAAAAGAGTAGATATTCTCATCACATAGAGAATGCGAATTCTCAATGTATTGCTTCATATAAATATATATCCATTTTTGTATGTCCATAATTTTTCTGAGAATATTCCTTTTTCAAGATTTTTTTGTGTCGAAACTATTCATCATCGGTCAAAACAGATTTCATATCGCTATCTTAACTTCTGATTCACCAATCTTCAAAAACAGCATCAAATTGTGTGGAGATGACTTTGAGCATTCTTTCTTACTCGAATATTGTTTATGTATTTCCAGATTTATTTTCGATTTGGTACCTATGTATTTATCGTTTTGATGGTTATCGGAAGAGGCGTGATGTTTATTAATTCTATCAATATTATTGCAGTCACGACATGACATCCGTTCATGAATATAGAGATAATCGTTTGGAAAACAGTTCAAAACTTTTCCATGGTAGGTACACAATACACAAAGTTAGTTGATTGGAATAACAAATTAGTCATTCTCCCAGAAAACTTTCCAAATTGATGCTGTATAGAGAAACTATTATGGGTTTCGAATTTTCACGTCTCTATAATTAACAATATTATTATCATTTCAATATAAGTACTTGAAGTATAAGCACGAATCAGATGATATGCCCCAAAATTTGACTACACTAAAAATTTCACCATTAGGATGCAAAGAGAAAAATTCAATCGATAGTCAGTGACACCTTATTGTTTGAAAAATCTATGAGGAAGAAGAGAATATGAGGTGTATTGCAAAAATATCAAATTTCACTCGTCAAAATTGCAAAATAATTCTTGAAAATTATAGTATATTTACACTTCTCAATAACAGGAGTTGTCAGAAAAATATGTTTGACTTGCAGGGCATATTTTAATTGATCTTGAATCCATCATTTTCATTTCATATCCAGATATTCTATCTAGTGCCCCCGATTCAATTCGGTTTTTAGATTTCAGAAGCTCATTTCTGGCTTTAAAATGATGCATTCGAAAAACGAAAAAAATGGTTTTTCTGGTTTCCTCATATTTCACTTGATTAATTACACTGTTCTGTTGATATAATTTCTTTTTGTATAATGTCACAAAAATAGTGTGTTCAACTTCAAAAACAATTCACAAGAACATTTTCACGATTATGTGACCCATGCATAGAAAATTGAAACCACTTGAGACTAATTCACCTGTCAATACAGTGATTTCCAGAGTTCTATATAGGCTCTTATAATTTGTATTCGTGAATGAACATGGCAATGTGTGCCATGTTGAAATTCTTTGATCGTATCTCAATCGTTTGGATCCTCTTAGAGATGACTAATTTCATTATAACCCTGAAGTGTAATGTGATGTCTTGAAACAATTTGGATTTTTTTTGTAATCAACTTGATATGCCGATCTGGTAGCCTTATTTTTTGATGATACCTCTGTAAATGAGAAAACGGAATGAATTTCTGATTCTCTTATATTCCCTCATCGATCAGAATATTCTGCTTGATCAAAAAATACAGGGTAATTCAAAAAGTCGTTAAAAAAAAATTTCTAGAATATCTCGACTTTCAGTTCAATTCCTCTCCCGTTTGGTAAGATATCATTCGACTCTCGAATTATTTTTGTCACTTCGTTCTCATTTGTCAATATCGGAAGAAATCCATCACGTGAAAAACACTAAAATTTTAAATCTCATGTAATGCACAAAATGTCGACTTTTGGCACCACAAGGTGCACATCGGTGGAACTTCTCTTCTATATCCCCCTTATTCCCCCATAATATTTTTCTAGTTGGGTTTCTTTTTTCATTCCCATGATATAATTCAGTATTCAATGAGGCTGAGGATAGACATATATATTTCCGAAACATGTAACAAGTAATTTGATCTGTTTATAATAATATCAAAATGTTGTGCAGATGACGTCGAGTATTATTTAGTTGTTAATTGGAAATAATCAATTATACCGGCATATCAATTCTTTAAAGTTTTTTATCCACCTCTAATATCATCCTGTATTATACCCTCTAAAGCTAGTATGTAGGAATTCGAAATTCGCAAAAAAATATAGGTTATCCCATTTAAATTAAAAAGTTGAGTGAATTTCCGGTTAATCCGGAAATACATTACTAACGAAGACAATCCCATCAGATGTATTTTGTTTCATTGCACCCGACTGCAAAGTTTCATGAATTTCGTCCTTTCCGTTTCAAAGATATTTACTTTCATTGGTTCCATAGATTAATGACTCTAATCTATGGTTCCATACTTCATCCCAATCCTGTTTATGAATCTATAACCCTCCCACTTCTAGCTACCCTTACTTTCGTAAGGACACCATGTGATTTTGTATATCAATGGGGTTGTATGAAAGTTGTAGGGTTTCATCTGAACTATCTAAACTATCGAAATCAGTGTTTTTGAATGAAACACCCTGTATATTTTCAACTCTAGTGAAATATCTTTTTCCTACTACTGCTATGAAAAGTAGCGCATTTCTCATAGCTTACTTAGTTTCAAAACCATGTATTGCTGATACTTTGAGAAATATTTTTTCTCACGGTACTTTGCCAACATCACCACATACATTTCCATGGAGAATCAACAAACACGACCAAAACTTAATTGGCTGCTGTTCAGCTTTCAAATTCTTTAGGGTACTTCTCATTAGTGCTTTCGATAGAAATCGCAGTTTCCATCAAATATTATTCCAACAATTCATAAAAAATAGTATGATGTATATATCGAGTTGTGACGATTTTGATAAATACACCGCCGGAGACAGAGATAATGGAAAATGCTGCAAAAGTTGGATTTGTTTCCGGAGATTTCAAGAAACAGGTATGAATTGGCATATACGAAATAGTTATTTTTGTATCTAGAGCGCGAAATGCTACTTTGGTAGCGTAGCCGGGTTAAAAAAATAGTCGAGATGACCAAAGTATTTCGCGCTCGAGTTGCAAACAAAATTTTTTCTACAAACGTCAGAAAATATAGTTCTAAAGTAAAAATATGCTTAGCTAGATATAAAAAATAGTGTTGAACTGGCTTTGAAGGCCTCCCCCTATCCTCCCTAGGTACGCACGATGTACCACGATCATAATACGAATTTCCTTTCGTGCCCTCAAGAAATAATACAAAAGTTATTGTTGAACATTCAGAAATGAATGATTTCATGGATTTTTGCTCGATTGAGGACCATATATAAATATCTCATTAATTTTACATTACAATGCGCGAAGTAGGTACTTCGCGCACTGTTTTACTTCGCGCATTGTTATGTGCAAGGTATCATGGTAACGTAGGAAACTGAAAAAAAGTGTCACTTCGCAGTTTGTTATCAATGCGCGAACCTTGTCATTTTTTGACGTTTGTAGAAAAAAGTTATGGAATCTAAAAAAAAATAGAGAAATAAATCTTTTTCGGAAAGTGTACTTTTTTTAAATACTTTGAGGAACTAGGAAAGGCGTCTACTCTTTGGTCACAATATTCAATGTGGCATAGTGCCACATTATAAAATGAATAGCAGAGATTCAATACTAATAAGTTACATTACTTGGATTGCAGTGCAGTTGTAGAAAAAGTATAGTGTGCAACATGTGGGGAAAAGTATTTTTCTCACTCATGTATTTGCATCACTCGCCCTTCAGGCTCGTGCCACAAACTTTCACACTCGTGAGAAATGGTGAACTTTCCCCACTTGTTGCACAATATACTATTTCTCCTATTCACAAATATGTGTATATATTTTTCTAATGTTTCCTGAAGCCATTTTTCAATTATTTAGCCTTGAATCAACGTTGCTGTGGACATAACAGAAATGTCATGGAAACAAAACAGACATTTTTTGACATCTCTGTCAGTTTTTCAAGTCAAATGTGTCATTCCGTAAAGGGAAAATACGAGATATTAAAATCATATTATGAAAATATTGCAACAATGTCAGTAGTGCAGCAAAAAATTAGTCGAAAACGGCTAAAGGGAACAGAAGAAAATGACCTTACACAGAAGTTGAAAATATACAGGGTGTTCCATTTGAGAAAACTGGCTTAGACTCTTTTTTCTATTTTGCTAATCGAATTTGTTTATTTATTGAATGAAAATTCATCAGCCTCATTTATATAGATTTGGTTTGAAAAATTACCAGAAGTGCATAAAAAAAAATTCTGCTTACCATCCATGTCAGTTAAAAGATGATCGAAGGAACTGAAAAATCTAGCTTGTTCTTCAGGACTGGTTTTCGCCAGATTCTTCAATAATTTCATGATTCGTTTCTTGATTCAATAACAATTCTCACTGTATAAGTCAAGATTTATTCAAACACTACTAACACAATTTTTGTCTGAGGGAAGTAGTCGAATATCAGATGAACTGTGGAATTAGTTAATTCACCATTTGTTATTTGTTTATATATTAATTTTGAACCAATGAAAATGAGAGCGTCAACATCACAAGACTTGCTCCCACCGCATGATATTTTTGATCTATGATCATGCAGATTAATTTTTCAAAGCAATGTTGTTTACACCTTATAAACATGTTTTCCTGCAATGCCCAAAGCCTGGAGCATTAAATTTGGTATTAATTCTAATGTAGGACTAATAGGCATGAAGACATTGAATGAAATGAAACCTCCAAATTAGGAGCTTTACATTGTACCATACACCTTCTTCTTCTAGCCCAAAAATTACATTTCAGCGATTCAAAGAATGGAATGAATAAACACATGGTTTATCTGAATAATCTAATCTATTATTCATCATCATTGATTTCAGTTCTACACCGATAACTACAAATTTTGAACTGGACGATTTAGAATTCAAAACTGTACAGGGTGATTTAAACTCCTGCCCTTGGCTCATAACAGGAAAAGGAAAACTGCAAATGCAAATTTGGCAGACACAGCGCCCTATAGAGACGTCCCTATTTGGTACAAATCAAGTCCGAATGTCCCGGACCAAAAATAAGGGTCGTTGGGACGTCCCATCCCGTACATCTCATGCAATGCAAGGACGTCCACGGAATGTCCCAGCTGATACATCATTTCAAATGTCCATGCAAGGAGGTCCTTGGCATGTCCCTGATGGGATATGATTTTAAACGTTCCTTCAGGGACATTCATCGGATGTCCCAAGTAGTACATATTCTAAGATGACTTCAGATCTTATATAATGTCCCTTCTAGACAACCATGAAATGTCCCTGATAGTACATTCCTTCAAATATCTCTGCACAGGCGCCCTTAATATTTCCAGGATCGTATAACAATCGAAATGTCCCTCAGGGACATCCTTCGAATGTCCCTTAGGGATATCCGTCGGATATGTTGTCCCTGCGAGGACGTTAACCTACACTTCGCCGACGAATGACTGCTCTTAGGCTATGAATACTCCTCGTCAATGTCCTTCACGTAAGTCCATTGGACATCTTTGGGAAACTTTTTCAGGATCTATTGGGGACCTTCTACGGACCATTAACTCAACTGGATGTCCTCATCAGTTATGCAAGATCTGGTCCTAGAGGGACCCAGAAAAATTCAAATTCAAGAATAATTCGTACGTCCCTGGTACATCCTATGGACATCCAATTGATATCCCTCAGCGTTGCTGATAGGTTGTCCTACGGATGTCCTAAGGATGTCCTCCGTAATGCTTGATGAGAAATACTGTATAGGATTTACGTATTCGATAGTTGTCCCAGGGACATCCCTCAAGGACGTCCCTAGTTGGTCCTCAAGTGGGACATTTGTGCGTCCCACAGACGTCCAATGGACATCCTCGGTACCAAATTCGTCCTATGGACGTCCTGAATGTCTCGACATGACGTCCTAAGGATATCCATGGGACATAATTGTGTTATTAGGGAGCTGTGTGTGAGGTATATTTTTCGTATCTCAACATTCTTCGACCATGTTCGAAGTGGCGGAAATGGCGGCAGAAAAATTATTTTCAACACAAAGTTACAATTTTTTTTCATATTCTGAAAGAATATGTTATTTCAAACAACTTTCATTCGAAAAGTTTTATTCATTTCATTTAGTTCATAACTACGGTACAGTGCCTTGCACAACTCATTTCACGCCCTTCAAAGAGTGTGGACACGCTTGTCATGTTGTTGAACAGCTGAACAAAAAACATGAGACACATAATATGTTCTATAAGAGATAGAATGTCATTTGTCTGTACCCCTTTATCGAACGAGTACAGACATATTATAATTTGAAACCCTAACAATGGCGTAACACCCAAGGCACATACATCATCGAATATATTACTATTAAATGAATATTGGAATTTGAAGCTTTAACGAACACTTGAAAAGTTTTTTTTTTTCAAAATTCCTTCTGCCACTTCTGCAATTGAAGCTAATACTACTAATAGATTGAAAAAGCCTACAACACACACGATCATATTTCGCCAGCATGTCAGACCAGTCCTCCCGTTTGATTGCATCAATCCAATCTTCTTGCGTTCTTTTAGAAATTTCACGAGTATTTCTATTAGCTCCTATTGCAGACGGAATTCCGATGAGAAATCAGAGAAATTACCAAATTTCAAAACGAAAACTATATGTGAGTGACTATAGTAGGTACTATTACTTGCAAATCATAATGTACCTACCAATTGGATTCCTTTGTCTCCCGCTGCATTTTTTGTGTATTGTACAACAGCACAGTGAGAAGGCATGCAAAAAACACGACTCGTATGCCAAAATATTGTGAAAAACTATTTCAATCCTTTGATTCCTCTGTAAACAGATAAAACAAGTGAGGCTGTGTTCCAATGTTCTACAGAAGAGTGAGGTTGTGTTTCAATATTTCATCTGCAGGGTAGGTCATCCTGCACGCGACCTATAATTTCATAACTATCTACTGTCTCAGAGACATAGGCGTCATACATTTACTGATATTTTATCATATATTCATAGATTTTTTTCAATGATTACTAATGTACTCAAATGAGTACGATGGGAATAGGAAAGAGCATAGGAGATTAACTGAAAAGCTTGAATACTACGAACAAATTGGAAGTATTTCAATATTGAAACACAAAAAATGAACAATATTTATGTATTGGAATGAAATTCATCAATACGATCACAAGCAATGCATAAAGTGACGATAGATACACTTCAGACAAGTTCATCTTGCTCGAAAGTGACATTGACGGCACCGGCACCTAAGATGCTATTGTTTTTTTTTGACCCTCGCCGTTTCCTACGATACTTTAAACAAGAGAACCTGGTGGCCTTCTCGAAAAAAGTCGCCTTCCTGAATGATTTCAGGTGATGGCGAGCGACATCTCTGATGAAACCCAGTGAATACTATTTGTTATCATTATAAGCCAATAGATGTAATGTTCATGCATTTACCATCGCAACGTTCAGCGAATGGGTAAAGAGCGGCCATCACCAGTTCTTCCCACAGATAGACACTCTTTAGTTATTAATTAATTTAAAAAAAACAATATTTTATCTGCAGGGTAGGTCATCCTGCACTCGACTCATAATTTCATAACTATCTACTGTCTCAGAGACATAGGCGTCATACATTTACTGATATTTTATCATATATATTCATAGTTTTTTTTGTAATCATTACTAATGTACTCAAATGAGTACGATGGGAATAGAAAAGGGTCTAGTAAGTCAACACCACCCATAGATGGATTATAACTAGCAAACAACTGTGGCTCAGGTACGTTTTACTTTTTTCAAGGTCTCTATGGTGTTGTGATTCCTTTCCATAGTCACGATGGTATATTATCTTCCCAGCGTACAAATAATAGATGAGTTTTTTTCTTCATGTGCTGGCTGAGGAACAGCACGATTCATTTTTTGCATGTTTTTAACTGGAGACAAAAGGCAATCTTTGGTCCCATTTCTGAACAACAAAACCCCTGTATGGTCGAAGGGTTCCATTCCCTAGAACTGTCCCAGTTGCCCTAAATTCCATATTCTGAGCATGTTCATCAAATCGTAACTGGAAAGGTAGTTGTCGAAATAGACAATATGGTCGGAAGGTTCTTCAACACACTGAAGCAAATATACTCATATCGTTTTCGTTAAATTCTTCTTCATGAGAATGACAGATCATTTGGAGAAAAACAATCTTCTGTGCACTTTCCAACATGGATTCAGAAAACAAAAATCTATAGAAACAGCATCTTGTCATCTACTGAATTATATATATACGGAGATCGACAAGAATAAACATGTTATATCGTTATTTTTCGATTTATCGAAAGCTTTCGATACGGTGTGCTCCGAATTCCTTGTGAATAAACTGTCAATCCTATCTGACAGACAGGAAAATGGTGGTTTCTTGTAATGGTTCATTCTCTGGACCTACGAGTGTTAAACTTGGGGTGCCTCAAGGCTCTGTTTTAGGACCGTTACTATTTATACTATATGTCAACGACTTACCACAAAATATTATAGAGGCCGGGTTACGATGTTCGCAGATGACACAACGATATCTATATCAGGTCGAAATATAGAGCAACTTATTACCAGTTTAGTGTGTGGTGCCAACAAAATAAGTTAATTCTAAATACTGCCAAATCAATATCAGTCAAGTTCCATACACGGATAAATAATATAGATAACCTCAAGATTGATGATATTCAATCCTCTCACGCGACCAAATTCTTAGGTACCTACTTAGATTCTAATCTCAACTGGGAAAAGCATATAGATCATATTTGTGCCACCTTAAACAAATCTATGCCATAAAACAGATGAAATCCAGCTTAGACGAACATGCACTGCTTAGCATTTACCCTATGGTCTATTCTCATATAAGTTTAAATATTATGGTTTGGGGTAGAGCAAGGGAGTTTTCAAGAATTTTCATAACTCAAAAACGAATTTTAAGACTTATATTTGACATGGACTTTTAGAGAAAATAATTTACTAACAGTACCACGCGAAAAGGTGATCTTCTGCGGATCCCACATCACAAAATGGCACTCTATAAAAATTCCCCTCATTATAATGCCATTACCTCTTATAATAAGTTACCTCACGGAGTCAGAAGTATCAAGAGTGATAAAATATTTCATGGAAAAGTAAAATTTTTCCTATTACAGAAAGCATATTATAGTTACCAAGAATTCTTGAATGATAATATTGTCAATGTATTTTAATTGTGCTGGTCTGAATTTTATTTCTTTATATTCCTTCTGTAGATACTTTAGGACATTTTATATATTTTATTCATACATTCATTATGTTTCTTGACATTCCATATGTACCAAGTGTATCAAAAATGGTGTATAAATATTATTATTACCTCAGGTGGAATAAAAATTATATGAGGCTCACGGTTTGGAGAAATAATGTCATCTATTGCTTACCCTAATGATTTGAAACGTTTGCTATTGAAGCATTTCAAAGAAATTGGTTGAAAATATTGATCCATTTCGAACCCATGTTCTGGAATATAGTTCACCATTGTTTTTTCTTGGTTTATTCAATTAATTTACGGAGTCAATTCAAAAATTTCAACAGACGCAATGCAAAAAGTGAGAGTCAGCACTTGTTTACACAATCTCTGTCCAAAACAAAAGTGGAGATTACAGTTTTTTGTGTTTTTTATCATTGAAGCACTGCATAATTTCATTCAAAACTCCTAAACTGTCTACATAATATGTTGGTTTGCAGTCTTCAGGGTGTTTCCAACTCATGACGTCTTCTTTCGTAGCGGTTCCTGTGAGTACCAAAAGCTTATGGTAGCCTCCAACAGCAGCAAATTTCATGTCTTCGTTGATCCTGAAACAACAATGTGATCGAATTGATGAATAAATAAACTTAATAACTTACATATCTCCAATGAACAGAACCTTCTTCGGATCAGTAATATTGAATTTTTTTACGATGAATTCATTATAGTGGACAGAAGGTTTCGCAAATTGGATGGGTTCTCTGCCGCTTATCTCTCTCAAGCCCTGATAAAAGTAGTGATTTCCTGAAACAGAACTGTTTTTGGTAAGGAAACCCATCACGTGGAATCAACACGATATGTGTTGTCCCCATATTTTTTTTTATTTTATTGTTTATACATCCAACAGGCCTAAAGCCCAATTACAGGTGTATATTATACTATCTTATCCTAACCAAGGTATGTATGAATGACTATATGTTAGTTCAGGAGTAAATTGGATATTTTTCTCTTGAATTGTGTTGAAGTCAAGAAAAATATATCAGCATCCGTCTGTAGATTATTGTAACTTCGACACATGGAACTAACTGGACAGTTAAAGTGGTGGAGAGTATGTGGAATTGAAAAACGAAAAGTTATATTCGATCTTGACGCCAACCGTGGTATATTGATATTTAAGGAAGAAACTAGGGTTAAGCAATCAATACTGTTGTTTACAATTTTATGAATGAATTAAGTCACTTTTCTCACGACATTTACGTAGGGAAGGCAGATTGAATTCGTCCAGTAGTGCATTGTAATCAAATCCTCTCTGAGGATACTGTTTATGTTTTTTAAAATAAAGAAACTATACGAATTTTCTCTGTAACGACTCTATGAGATTGGCATGATTTTGTTGATTTTGATATTCAATATACCTATGGTATCTACTATAAGAGTGGACAAATTCATCGATATATCAGTAATAGTCGATAATATCGATCGGAATTCAGATCACAAATTATCGATTTATAGATATTATCGATATCAATTCATCGATAATATCGATAATACAGATAATTATCGATACATCATGCCTATCATTAATCGATAATCCAAAATCGTTATCGCCCATCCACCTCTAAAGTATCTACGCCTCAAGCGCCTCCACATCATCAAATATTGTATTTTTGATTATCTCCGTTTCAGAATATGATTGGCTTCTCTACAAAATCTATAATCAAGTCATCATTCCATATCTTGCATTGTTTCCATCAGAGAACTGATTTCTATTGTGTGACTCTTATTTCGATCCAGTTAATTATAAATAATAGCTCGAAAATGCATCAAATTAATTTTTTTCTTATTCTATTTTGCACAACGATCATTTTACAGAAGAACAGACTCCCGAAATTTGCAAGTAGTAGATATGTTATAAGTTGATCTACAATAAAAAAACTTAATTTTCATCTTGCAGAAGGCTAATCTTTTAATTTTTTGCGATTACTCATGATTGTGTGCCATGAGTAATGGCAAAAGTACCTACCAAATATCCATTATGTGAGAAATGAAAAATATCAATATAAGGATAAAACACAATGATCTGTTCTTTTATGAAAATATGATATCGTAGGTAGACATTTGTTGTTTCTCCTCAATTCAATGAATCGATTTCGACACACTGCGGATTGAATTCAGTAGAAAAAACAAGTTGGCAGAAAAGAAAATCTCATCTATTTATATCTTACAGAAATTATCATCATCTTGTTGCTCTTAAGACGACTTGAACCCTTTGAAAAAGGTCAAAGTAAATTTGCGGCGTAAAGGGTGAGGTAAGAATTCCGAACGATGGAGGCGGAGCTTCGGCAGAGCCTCGAGCGCTTCTTACTCCACGAGCCAGCGAGCGTAAATTTGACCTTCGGCGGCACAACAAAACATACCGTCACTCATATTTTTTGCTACCTTCCTGCTGCCTGCTCTGTGATACCGATTTTAGGGTCTAGATATTTTTAGGTAGGTACAGCGTGTAGGTAGGTATACCTATTATACATGCGGCATGATATTGATATGGAACAAATTCATGATCTAAATAAAAAAGTTTACAGAAATGAAAAATAGCGAAAAATGGTTTACTACGTATCAAGGGTAAAAAGTATATTACGCAATACGTACCTACTATACTTTTTCTACGACTCTTATATAAGTACCGGCTGGTGCGTTTGTTTAAGCCTAAAGTAAGAAAACTAAGGTAACTAACGTATGTAATCGTTTAATTTTCAACAACAATAAACTAAATCTAACAAAATATAAATCAATACTATATATACAGGGTGTTATCGAGATAAATGCAAATATTGAACACAGCAATATGCTTTGGTCTAAGGAAAAATTCAAAAAATTTTCGATTTTTCTTCAGTTTTCAAATTAACAAGATTTTTTATCTCGAAAATTGAACAAAAAATCGAAAAAAAATTGAGTTCGCCACTTTAGGGATATTAAAATTTTAATGATTCGTCGTCCACATCAAAATTTGATGACACTGACATCAGAATGAGCGACTAGCTCTCGATGAGTAGAATTTTGGGCGGAAAAGGGGGTCTGTTTCAATGGTGCCATTCAATAGTATACCTTGAGCCTTCTCACGGTTTAAATTTAATGTACTCATTTTAATGGAATCCTGTATATGTTACATTGATTTTTGCGGCTTTGTATTCTTTGATATCGCAATTGTGATATTTTTTTTTTCTAATTTCCATTTTACGTAAATACCTGCTGTCCACAATTTCGGGTAGCAAATTATTTTTATAGAACTCCACCAATTTTTTCTCCAAAGTCACTGTGAATCTCATCCATAACGCTATCATCAACATAATGATCAACAGTACAATTATTTCCATTCACAGTTGGTAAGTGGCATGAAATGTCTTGTAGTTCTCCATTTCTAAGAAGAATATTCTCTGCCACTGCTTCATTTTTATCGAAATGGGCTGATGGGCTATCATTTCGAGTAGAATTATTCAATCTGAATACTCCATCAATGATAACATCAGCAAAATCCAATTCATCATCGATATTACTGGTTTCCTGTTCTGATGTAAAGTTGTTTCCAGAGACGCTCATATAATCTTGATCAAATTCTGTATCAGTTATATCACTGATTAGAGATAAGGAGTCTCGATGGTTTGGCATAGACTGTGATACCAAGTCATTTTCCACCTGAATAAAACCAATTTTTCAATGAAAATTTTAAATTTTTATGTCAGAGTGATGAGTTCAGCATTCAATGAAAATAAAATGTTTTTCAATATCGAAAAAAAAACATAAATGTAAATTTCAGAAAATATTTTGAAGTTGGAGAAGTACAGTATAGAACTCGTTCATCAAATCATTTGTTTTAATCGATGGGTTATCGAATTTTCCATCATCTCCTATTATGAAATGAGTCTTTACGATACTTATATCGTAAATATCTGTCATGCAAGAGATGGAATGTGAACATAACGGCCACAATAAAAACTCACCTTCTTCATAAACCTCGAAGATCTCTTTTTGAGAGACAATTTTCTCACAGAAAGTCGTTTCCGAAATTTATTCCCAGTTCTATAGTCCGACATAATGTTATCACAAGAAATAAATACTAAAATAGTCAAATCACAAAATAAAATGGTCTAAACGAAATTTTCACACTCACAATGGCACACACAAGCAACCCTTTCGAAATAGAAAAGTAAACTGAACTGATTGTTTTTCTTCATGTTTTGACTAACAATAATTACGAGAAACCTGTATATGAAACATATATCATATATCGCTTCCGACAACTTCCGAGCCCTACTTATTACATCAAAAGGACAGCCGCCCGCAAAGAATATTACCCGGTTTTTTTATCGCCAATTAGGGTGCGTGACCGACCAGGGCCTACTCTATCTTACCGGGCCGGAGCATCGCTTTCGTGACGTCACACTAGTAGGGACAAAATCAACGCAGTGGAAATTGTCTCTCCCGTTTCATTGATTCATCTCGGGAAAACGGTCACAGTTAGCGAAAAATATCAAGAGGTCAAATATGTACAGAAAAGAATTTGTCAGAAGATGAATCAAATTTCACTGATTTACGATCATTATTTTCAGAAATATGGCATATCAAAATTAATTGACGCCATTCAGAATTGTCCTTTTTCAAACAGCTACCAAAATTCCAATATTCAATTCACAGAAATGATTCAACCATGAATAGATTTCGCATAGTATCTAGATTGACTGAGTTTTTTTTCGAAATTCCCAAGGGCCAACAACAAACCGATATTTCAATTCAAGTAGAACGATGATTCAGGTGTTCATTACAGAATAGTTCAAAAAGTTCGGACGCCTCCCATGCTAATCCTATCAACTATGGATATATGCTGTCACTGACTTTTTTGTAGGAAATTTGATTGCCTACAAATCGGTATAATACATATCCACTTTATCTCGAAGGGTTTTAGAAGCGTTTTTCTCTAAAGATGATCAGGACGCACTTTGATGACGTTAGAAATCCTATTACTCGAGTGTGTTATTACACAAAAACGCCTATTCGGTAACAATTATTTTCTGCTGAAGAGTATATATTCGAATGATAACGTTAAATTCGTGAAAAAAATTTGATTTGAATATATTTGCAAACTATCAGAATTAAAAAGAACAAAATATGTGGAGTTCATATGAACACAATAACCTAACAAAAATAATTGAAAAAATATGTATCTCAACAATGAGAGATATAAAAATGAATATAACGAACTGAATAACAAAATACCCAGAACAACGATATATGAATGAATAAGGAAAAAATGAAAAAAAAAATGTTGAATCCTTATACATACACAAACAAAACCAAACAAAATAAACTGTAGAAATGATCAACATAACAAAATAAAAAAATTGATAGATATCACAAAATGAAATACACTAATAACAAAAAATATATAGGTATACATCATCTCAATCACAAACTAAAATTTGAAAACAACTATATACCTATCTCATCCTGAAAGTTTAGTGATTTTTCTTTTTTATTTTTTTTTATTTTGCAATAATTGTTCAACAGAATATTTGAAATGGTTTTGGAGAATGTTCTGCTGATTAAATCAAAAGACCCACAACTGCAACATTGATTCTCGGAATAATTGAGAAGGGAATTGATTTCAATTTCTGCTAAATTCTCCAAAACTTTATGTTGTGACTTACATTGTAGAAATATTGTTTCGAAGTTTTCAGGCACCAATATTAGTTGGTCTGAAAAATAAAACGAGTAATAAAAAATATGTCGCCTATTACCAGTCCAAGGAATTACCGCGAAATTGTAATACAGCGCAATTTGAGTAGGTAGGTATAACGGCCCATTTTTTACGCGCTCTTTATATTTAATTTCTTTCGGACTCATTGTAGGTAACTCTACAATTTTTTCACTATTCAATTGATTCATTATCGTAGTTTGATATATTGAGTTAGTTTCATCTTATTCCAATTCCAAATTTGCAAAAAATAGTATTCTGTAGTACAACGTCCTGATTTTCAATAAAATGGAATTTCGTTACAACGCCATAACTCGGTATTGATTCATCCTATTGGATTCATTTTTTCACCAAAAGTTGAGGAATTTGTTGGGGATCATTTCGTCTCGATTGAGTGTGCTTCTAAAATCTATAGTTAATGAGCTATAGCCTATCAATTACGAACGCATCAGTACGGACTGATGTGAAATCTCAACCTACTAGTGTGACGTCAGCGTCGAGAGAGAGGGGATAGACTACGGCCCGGTAAGATAGAGTAGGCCCTGGACCGACACCTAAAGAAAATATATTATCTCTTTTCTATTTATATTGACGAAAGTCGAAAATAATACAAGATGCAATGATGCTAACACATAACAAATCCAACTATACAACTAGGTATTATGGTACAGCTAGGTATATGGTATATATCTACTGAATTTCAAAATAAATTCTCCTCGAGGTCATCTAAAAGGTGTACTAGGAATTCAAATTAGATCTGCTTTCGATTTATCTCCCGTGCTATTATTTTTCAATCAGCTTCTCATATTATTTTGTATTTTTATGAATGAAATTACGATTCATTCAAGAGGTCCTAATATAGATGGAAAAATGCATATTTGTGAGAGGGCGCTCGAATCAGTGTACGAAAATGCCCAACCATAGGGTCTGCAGGGGTTCAGCAAAAATCATATTGACGGCGTAATTTTAAAAGAATTTTGACAATTATTTTTTTATACATAGTTAAATGTATACTTGAGGCATCTCTGGGAGTACTTTTCCGAAAAACAGTATATCTCCTGAGATAAAAAATTGTGAATATGGTCGAATTCGTGCAATTTTTTTGAGTTTTTTTTCTCAAAAAATCGGAAAACTACTTCCAGAGATGCCTAGATTCAACCTTTCCTAACTCATTTGTGAAAAAATATTTCGAATTACCCGAATGATCTCCGAGTAATATGATTTTCCCCAACACATGTTTTACTGTTGTTCAGTACTAGGGTTCAAGTCCTCTTAAGAAGATTCATTCAGTCTGACCCTGGTTGGAAACACATGCGGGAGACTGTCGAACTTCACTTAACTCGAGCAAAAATTATCAGAAGAATTGTGCCTCATTTTGTATGTTTTAAGTGTTCATACTTCCACGGCAAATATTCCTCAGAAAATTTCTGCTATCATTACATCACTAGCAATACCAGTCACACGAACTCGACAAGAGCAGTTAGCATCATATCCTTTTGTTGTCTAACTCGAAATTTGTCGAGCAGCACTTTATCAAAACTTGTTTGTCTATAGAATGGCAAAGCTCTGGAATTCATTGACTATGGAAGTATTTCCACCAACTTGTAATCCCCAAAAGTTGGAAAAAATTTCAATACCTACCTACCTCATTTTCCTATCCTTCCAAGTAACGCACGATGTTCTTCCAACATTATAGGGATTTTATTTCGTGCGCTTCAAGCGATAAAAATGTTCTTTTACACTGAAGTGATAATCATTGCCAATTCAATGTGGCAATTGTCAGTTCAAAATGGATATTCGGGTCGATTCTGTTTGCAAATAGCAATATGGTTGTAGAGAAGATATTGCTATCATAGCAAGATTCGAAAAAGTGGAATTCTAATCATCGATTTTTGGCAATATGATCTGTCAATTTCAATGACATCAGGTCAGCTTTCTTGCTAGCTCGGCAACATCAATTTTGTGCTTGCTATCTTATAACAAGGTAGTGGATTCTTTGTTTTTGCACTACAAATTCTTCCAACTGTATGAAAATTCAGAAAAAAAGTGGATTAAAAACATTATGAGAGTTCTGTTGTGTCACTGACCACTCGAAAACCTTTCCTCAAGTTTCAATTCGTATAGAAGAATTATTGAAAAACATAAAATGTTGATTACAAACATATAGGATAGGTTCACTACTGTGACCAACTACTTGAAAACCTTTTCTTGAAGTTCCGATTTGTAGAGGAAATATGAGACTACAATTTCGACATTTCAGAGAAATTTCAGTTGCCTGATGGATAGTTTATCAAGCTATTTTGCTATAATATTTAAAAAAAAACACGATTATTTTCATCCGGCTTTTAGTTGTTCTGTTTTCTCATTTCGGGAACATGATTGATTACTTGCCAGTCGCACAACGACGACCAGATTCAGCAAATACAAAATCTCTCGATTTGAACTATATAATTTTGTAAAATGTCAGCGCAGGACTGAATAATTCGAGAGGTTAGGTAATCATGAACTCTTCTTCTTCATGAAATAATGGCAAAATCGATACCAAACACTTGAACAATGAGTTGAAAACAGTGTTGTCAGCTCAAAAATTCTCAATTTTTCAACAATATTGCTATCACTTGAACTTATAACCAGTCTTGCAGTTACTCTGCAAACAGAATACAGGACTTCATAGCAATATTGTTATATGTTATGATCATAACAATATTATTATCTTAGCAATGTTATTAACAAGATCCGAACAGAATCGACCCGATTGTCAGTTCAAAGAAACAAATGTGACTTCAAAAGTGGCAATTGTCAGTTCAAAGAAACAATTGTGACTTCAGAAGTGAAAATTGTCAGTTCAAAGGTCAGTTCAAAGAAACAATCGTGACTTCAAAAGTGGCAATTGTAGGTTTATAGAAACAATTGTGACTTCAAAAGTGGCAATTGTCAGTTCAAAGAAACAATTGTGACTCAAAAGTGGCAATTCTCAGTTCAAAAAAATATATTGTGACTTCAAAAGTGGCAATTGTCAGTTCAAAGAAACAATTCATTGTGACTTCGAAAGTGGCAATTTTTGGTTTAAAGAAACAATTGTGACTTCAAAAGTGGAAATAATGAGTTCAACAGTGGCAACTCCAAATGTTTCGGAAAAAATGAAGTTGTTGGCCCTTCTACGCCTTCGTATGTTATTCTTTCGACCAGGATCATATAAATTCTCACCGAATATGGGCCCCAGTTCACCGACAGGCATTTGTTTGTCGCCGCCACCTACGATGAAGAGGCAGTCTTTCCTTTTCAGGTACGTCAAACATTTTTGCAATTTCACAAACGTGAGATTCAAGTCATAGTCGTACACCACTGCTCCTATATTTTCATCGTCCGTTATATTCGATAGAAGGCCAGATATACTTTCGTCGATGATCTGTGGCTAGAATGAAATTCAGAAAAGAAGATGTCAATTGTTGATATCAACTCCAGACACTAACTTCAGCGCCCCAAAAATAGGGGAGAATCTCATAAATACAATCATACAATAATAGGGACTAAAGGTCTCCTACCGCGTATGGAGTTTGCTCAATAGTTGTAAAACAAAAATTCTTACAGGATCTGGAGCTACTTTGAATCCTGCCTTTCGCAGCTCGTTTTTATAAACGTTGGAAGCGAGTACGAACAACTCTTTGTTGAACTTGATTTTCTTCAAATAGTCCACAACCCCAACCAGAGGATTGACTATGTCTTCTGGTTCTCCAGAGATGCCGCATTGTTTCATTCTGCCGTAGATTGCATCTACCGTGTTCACGGCCTGGTTCGTTACGTAATTTACCCTCTTACCCAGATTTTTGAAGGTGGCTATGCATTCTGGGGATCCAGGGAGTGTCTTAGAAGCCACCCATAGTACACCTGAAAAATTTATTTTTTCTACAAACGTCAAAAAACAACAAGGTTCGCGCATTGATAACAAATTGCGAAGTGACTTTTTTTTTCAGTTTCCTAGGTTACCATGATACTTTGCACAAAACAATGCGCGAAGTAAAACAGTGCGCAAAGTACTTTCAATTAAATTTCCAATTAAATTAAATTTCATAAATATAGTTCTAATAATCCATCATTTTGTGTTCACCCGAAGTCATTGTCGATTTAGAGTATCAATCAGATTAAAAGTATTATTATGATAATTTGTCTCCTGCCTAGACAGAAAAAGTGTGTTGTTAATGTTGTTATGCAACGTTCAAAGAATAATAATTTGAATCAAATTGCTAATCAAAATTACCAATGACTTTGGGTAGACTCAAGATGATGGATTATTTTAACTATACATGAAATTAAATCTAATTTGGAGAAAACAATTATATATGATTGAGCCATGAGCTATTCCTCTAAATACCAGTGTTTCAACTAGTACAGTCAAGAGACCACCTTCCATTTAATATTTTATTCATTTTTCAACTATATTATGTTCTGTAACCTATATTTTATCAATCTCACTGCCTGACTATTGAAAATTCATGTATGTATTTCACAATGAGATTCGAAAAAGTAGAACCTTACCAAACATTTGTACTGGAGTCGGCAAAATATGTGCTGATTGAAGCGCGAAATTGTCTACTCCGGGCCTGATCATATTTCGTGAATCATATTGTTTATTGTGATATTGCTGACCTAATAACATAATCGAATTATCGTAACTTACCGTCTATATCTGAAACTACATGATCGAAGGAATCAATGAAGTCAAGTTGTTCTTGCAATGGCACTTGAGCCAAGTTCCTCAACATTTCAACAACAATTATTTTGCACTTGCAACCACTCACATCACCTGACGTATGTTCCGTGTAGTTCGTGAATGTATTTGCTTGTTATATCTGATGGTGGTCGTGCCACGTCCATATTTATATAGACCGTATTGTTGAATTAAGCAACTCAGTGATATTATACTTTAGTGAATAAGACAGGTCCGTACTATAGTCCAACCATGGCCAATGAGCACCCAATAGTGGGTGGTAAAGACCAGAGTCACTGTATGGTATTAGTTTGATAAGAGTTCGGACACAGCTGAACTTTTGTCCTTTTCTATAATACAATGATTTAAGTGAATAAAAGAATAAGACATATTATTATATTCTGCTCTTTGTCTTTTCAATTTCTCTAGTAGCGCCTGATTTTCAAACTAATACCATCCAGTGACTCTAGTAAAGACCATGGAGTACTTTTTTCTACTTCTGGGATGAATTTGGAGTTGTAGTAACCAAAATAGGTTATTTCTGCTTAGAGTTTCATTGAGACGAGGAATCTCGTCTCGCAGGCACTTTCTCGCGTCTTGTCTCGATCATCGAGACGAGAGATACACAAAGTTTCGTCTCGATGTTTTTCTCGAAGACAATTTCTCGATCTCGCTTCGATACTCTCGAGAGTCTCGAAAACAAAAACTGAAAGTTTTAAATAATGCTATGTATAGGTTATAACGTACAACACAAGGCTGCACCAAAATACAGGGTATTGAATTTATTCAATGAAAAAAAAATTACGTTGAAATATTGAGGTTATATATATGCTATAAGAATATTGATCAAAAAAATAAAAATTAAACGAATCTTTGATGATTTAATTCGATCTTTGTTTCACCACTAGTTATAAAACCAACCATTATTTACTCCTACCGAGGTATTTTTCGTCATGCGACATTGTCAGGAATGATATACAGGGTGAGTCATGAGGAACTGTACATACTCCTACCACGAATAGAGGCCCTTGAGGGGGATACCTAATGACCATCAGAAAGTGTCTTATTTTCTTGTTTACCAATATATAGGGTGAATTATGAGATTTGGCAAAAACATCTTTTGGTCATAACTTTTCAACAGCTTCTTCGATTCGTCTGATTTTCTCATGGAATATTCCTCTACTGAACCCTAATCGACTGACTTATTCAGAATCGGAAAAATCCAGGACCGTTTTTGCAAAATTTCGATAGTTTAGTTTTTATCAAAAAGTTCATCCTGTATATGATTTTTGTAAACTGTGATAGGGAATTTTCAAAGCACACAAACAAGCATCAAAAATAAAATATTCAAAATTCTCCTCACACTTTCACAGAATTTTTCAAAGAACGATAGATTATAAACAAAAACAAATTTTATTCATTCGAAAATAATACCTTCGCAAAGGAAAATTTCACAAATAAAAGTAAGTCACATTCTTAATGCTCTAATCCAATGAAAATCAACATTTTCTTTCATTTCAAATGTGAGTCTCACTTTTATTCGTAAAATTTATGAGTTGCGAAGTATTTATTTCCAAATAAATTCTTTGCAAAATTTTCGTTTTTTTTAAATAAAATTTATAGTTTTCTTCACACTGCAGTGAATTTGTGAGGGAAATTTGAAATATTTCATACTTGATGAGCTCTTTGCTATGATCTGAACTATCAAAATTTTTCAAAAACGGTCCTGGATTTCCCGGTTCTTAATAAGTCAGTCGATTAGAGAGTAGTAGTAGAATATTCCATGAAAAAATCAGACGAATCGAAGGAGCTGTTGGAAAGTTATGACCAGAAGATGTTTTTGCTTAATCTCATATAAGTCACCCTATATATTGGAATAGAAGTGTAGAATGTGAAGACACTTTCAAGAGCCTCTATTCGTGGTGGGAGTATGTACAGTTCCGCATGACTCACCCTGTATAAATAGGTAATACCTATTGTCAAAAATGAAACTGAAGCACTTTGCTGACGCCTACAGTAGGCTGGGTTTTTTGTTATTGAAGCACTGCATGATTTCATTTAGAACTCCCCCAGCGAGCACAAACATCCCTGGGATGTTTTGGGATGTTTTGAAAATGTTGGCATGAAGATGTTATTTTGAGACGTAATATGCACTGACCAAAGAGGTCTCTGAAGGATATTGAATTATTGTTTTTGTTCTTCTGTGGCATTTCTTTGTTTGCCTACTGAGAGGTATCCCTGATATGTTTTGGGATGTTTTAGAAATGTGGGCATGAGGATGTTTTCTTGAGACGTAATATGCACTTCCCAATGAGGTCTTAGAGGGATATTGAAAGTATTGTTTTTGTTCTTTTGTGCCCTTTCTGTGTTTGCCCACCACAACGTCTCATGCTTACGTCACAATATGATGAATTCTGATTTGTTTTCGATTTTGTTCTTCTTGTTCGCAATTGGCATTCGCGTTTGCAGCGTGTCACGCTTACATCACGCTGCTAACGAACAGAAAGGAATTTGGTGAAGTTTCATTGTGTTAGAAGACTTATTTAGTTTGTAATAATGACCATCAGAAGCAAGATGTGTTGTTCGGTGCCTCAGTGTAATCAATATATAAAAGTACGAATTTATCGAATACACAGCTTCTCCGCAGTTGCAAAATTATGCATTGTGGAGAACATTTCAAAAATTGGGAAACCTATTTCCAATTATATGTCTGTGTGTAGTAAGCACTACTCAGAAACCGATTAAGAAGGTAATTTCGTATCAAGAAAATATTTTTATGTTCAATCTATCTTTAATGCATTTTTTCATTCAAGGAAAATGGAATCCTAATGCAAAAGTTCATTTTGACAAAAGGCTTCAGAAAAGTACCTCGAAAATGTTTTTTTTACAGCGATTTAATGTGAGCAAGACGCGTTGAAAATGTTTTGTTGTGTCCATCAAAAGGCTTTAGAAAGAACTAGGGAGAATGTAGTTTTGTGACATATCAAGGACATCTCGATAATTGCCGCCTGCGGCGGACATTGGCTGTTCTATAATAGTTCTATTCATGTGTGAACAGAACATCGCAGTGGAGGTTCAATGTCTCGAAATCTCGTACTTTTAACATCTCTGAGATGTTTTTGTGCTCGCTGGGCCTAAACTGTCTACATAATAATTATGATGGTCCGTAGTTTTCAGGATGTTTCCAACATATGACGTCTTCTTTCGTAGCGATTCCTGATAATACCAAAAGTTTATGGTAGCCTCCGATGGCGAGGAAATGGTTAACTTTCCTCCCTTGATATATAAATAGCTAATACTTATTGTCAAAAATTAAACTGAAGCACTTTGCTGACGCCTACAGTCGGCTGTGTTTTTTATTATTGAAGCACTGCATAATTTCATTCAAAACTCCTAAACTGTCTACATAATATGTTGGTTTGTAGTCTTCAGGGTGTTTCCAACATATGACGTCTTCTTTCGTAGCGATTCCTGATAGTACCAAAAGCTTATGGTGGCCTCCAATGGCGAGGAAATGGTTAACTTTCCTCCCTTGATATATAAATAGCTAATACTTATTGTCAAAAATAAAACTGAAGCACTTTGCTGACGCCTATACAGTCGGCTGTGTTTTTTATTATTGAAGCACTGCATAATTTCATTTAGAACTCCTAAACTGTCTACATAATATGATGATCTGTAGTTTTCAGGGTTTTTCCAACATATGACGTCTTCTTTCGTAGCGATTCCTGATAGTACCAAATGCTTATGGTAGCCTCCAATGGCGAGGAAATGGTTAACTTTCTTCCCTTGATATATAAATAGCTAATACTTATTGTCAAAAATAAAACTGAAGCACTTTGCTGACGCCTACAGTCGGCTGTGTTTTTTATTATTGAAGCCACTGCATAATTTCATTCAAAACTCCTAAACCAGCCTAAACTGTCTACATAATATGTTGGTTTGTAGTCTTCAGGGTGTTTCCAACATATGACGTCTTCTTTCGTAGCGATTCCTGATAGTACCAAAAGCTTATGGTGGCCTCCAATGGCGAAAAAATGGTTAACTTTTCCCCCTTGATATATAAATAGCTAATACTTATTTTCAAAAATAAAACTGAAGCACTTTGCTGACGCCTACAAACGGCTGTGTTTTTTATTATTGAAGCACTGCATAATTTCATTCAAAACTCCTAAACTGTCTACATAATATGTTGGTTTGTAGTCTTCAGGGTGTTTCCAACATATGACGTCTTCTTTCGTAGCGATTCCTGATAGTACCAAGAGCTTATGGTGGCCTCCAATGGCGAGGAAATGGTTAACTTTCCTCCCTTGATATATAAATAGCTAATACTTATTGTCAAAAATAAAACTGAAGCACTTTGCTGACGCCTACAATTTTAAGTACCTAGGATTCATGTTAGATAATGTTTCGAACTTATATATATAACAATAGTCATTTTGAGTACACTTATAAAAAGATTTCAAAAAAACTTTTTTCTTCGCTCGGATATCTCAACATTTGTCAACGCAGACCAAAATCACTGTGTATAATTCAATCATTCAGCCACATTTTGATTATTGCTCATCCATTTTATATCTGTTTAATTTAAATAAATTGAATATTCTCCAGAAGTTCCAAAACCGTGGAATGAGAATAATACTGAAAACAAATCGCTTTTTTCAGTGGAGAACAGACTGTAATATTTCACTATGATTCTCATTTACAAAATAGTAAATCATTTAGCACCAGAATACTTTCAGAAGTGCCTAAAATTCGATAAAAATATTCATAATCATTACACACGTGGCAAAAATGACATCTATGTTTCTACCACTTCCTATCGTAGTACCATGAATTCACTATTTCACAAAGGATTTTTGGAGTTCAATAAATTGTCAGAGTCTGTGAAGGGATCTGCTTCACTCATCCAGTTCAAAGCTATTTTGAAGGAATTCGTCCTAAATAAGTAGCTAAGTAAGGTCTTCATGGTGTATTCCATATGTCTATTTAGTATTTTATCTTTTTTATGTTAATATATTGCCGTTTATTGTTACATATACTGTTTTCGATCTTATTATTTCACTTTCATCGTAGGTATTTCATGATAGTCATTTTAACATTTCTGTTCTGCAACTGTTCAACTCAGTTTTCATTTCTGTATATGTGAATATATATTGTAATATGCCTTCTTATTTAATTATGTATATTAGGGTTCCTAATTAAATAAAGATATATCTATCTACAGTCGGCTGTGTTTTTTATTATTGAAGCACTGCATAATTTCATTCAAAACTCCTAAACTGTCTACATAATATGTTGGTTTGTAGTCTTCAGGGTGTTTCCAACATATGACGTCTTCTTTCGTAGCGATTCCTGATAGTACCAAAAGCTTATGGTAGCCTCCAATGGCAGCAAATTTCATATCTTCGTTGATCCTGAAACAATAGTGTCATCGAATTGATGAATAATGAAACTAAATAACTCACATATCCCCAATGAACAGAACCTTCTTCGGATCAGTAATATTGAATTTTTTTACGATGAATTCATTATAGTGGACAGAAGGTTTCGCAAATTGGATGGGTTCTCTGCCGCTTATCTCTCTCAAGCCCTGATAAAAATACTGATTTCCTGAAAGAAAAAACGGTTTCTGGAGGAAATCTCACGTGGAAGATGGAACATGATCTGGTTAGTATAAATACAAATGAAGAATTTATCAATCCAAAAAAATCTGCTTCAATTTGAATACGGTAATTTTTTCACAGATATCACTTACAGACTACGCGATTCAAGAATATGGGAAAGTATTCAATCGAACAACCTTTAATTATTGTAAAAACACATTTAAAATGGCAAAAAAAGTTCTCCAATTTCGGTCTCATAAATGCGCCAGATGAGTTGACATCAGTGAGGCGTTTAATAACAAAATTTGAGACCAAATTCAAGATGGACTTATGCAAACCGCTTTTTCATCATCAATCTGTGGCTTTCAATAACAGTAATAGTCCTCAGCGTACTTAGACTGATGAAAATATTTGTGTTATAACATTCAGTGATCACATTATTACAATAAGAAACATTCATTCATTGTTTTCAAAGTCGAATTTGATTATACGACTAGAATTTTCAGAGTTTCCAACCACATTTTGATGGAAAACGGAGAGAGAAGAAATTGTTTGTTTGACTTTTGACAGTATTGCGCTTGCGCAACTCACAGTTTCATTAGTATTTGTCGTTAAGAGATGAAAGTTGGTCATCTCTAAGCGAATAGTTGATGGAAGATAAGATTCAATTTAGTGAAATCGTTAATGATTGTGAAATTACAGATTAATGGGAAAGCGGTGTGCATAAATCCCCCTTTAGGCTGATGGTGAAGGAGTGTGCCATCTTTTTTATGTTTTTTATGAGTATATTTCCTACTTTTCTGGAAGTTGCAATTGTCAGTTCGAAGTGAATTTTGAATAACTGTCAGCTGAAAGTGAAGATTCCACACCTCATATTTTCGTCCAAATAAAAGCCTGCATTTTGTATCGTCAAGCATAACTAAACAAATCTCCGGATTTTTTTTCGTATACTCCTTAGGAAAATGAGTATGAAATTACAATGGCAACTTCATGACGTTTATAGGTAAAATGACATTCACATTTAACCTCAGATTAATGTTTTCCATGAGTTCCTTGTGAGAATAGTAGATTGTTTTATTAGGATCAAAAGTGACACTTTGTTTGACAAGCGAATTTTGCATTTATACGAGGCGGAGCGTTTAGCGGAGGCGAGCGAAAGCAAAATTTGCGAGTCGAACAAAGTCACTTTTGATCCGAATAAAACATGCTATTTTTTCTGCAACCGAAACAATTAATTCAATTAATGCAACAAATATTGACAAATAATCCGTGTAGTGAGAATATTCTACTTGTATTAACAGCAGGTTGGGTTTTCAAGGATGTTCGAATTGTAGTTTCAATATGAATATACAACCACAGAGTGACATATTTGTGTATGGACCAGGTGCTCTAATGGCAAATACCGCGCCAGTGCCAGCTATAGGAACAAAAGACGTGGAAAATGTTAGGTTAGTGAGCGTATCAACATATAATAATAATAATAATAATAAATGCCTTTATTTCCATAAAAACCTACAGTCTAACAACAATTCTAACAACAGTTCGGAAATCTCAAGGGGGAGTTCACTACTTAGTGCTCTTCCACTCAACCCTTGTCATATTCAATTAAATAATTTTTAATAATTGTCATGCTTGACATAATAACCTAATCTAAAACTATACCTGAGCGGTAAATGTTAGAGGAGATTAGAAAATGAGAGAAGGTGATGATATAATATCAATAATTATAATATATATATCAACAATGATAATAGTGATTATTTATTCCTCTCCATACTACACTGTGTTTGACTTGATAATCAAATGATGCTAAACAATATTGTTGTTTGAGACAAAAAAACTATTGCTTGCCGTGATTATTCAAAAACAAGTTATCCATTCCGAGAATAGCGAATGGAATATAGATCAAGCAAGTATTTGAATCTCGAAGGCTTCCCTGATCAAAACAAAAATACTTAACTGAGATGTTTATAATTCCAATACTAAACCATAATAAGGTGTATTTATATCTCCAGCATGGGTATGAAATGCCAAATCTGCTGAAATCGGAAACAAATCAGGTATGCGTCTCAACCCAAATAACCAAACGTCACAATGTTGTTTATTCTTGATGACGTCCAGTACATCCTTAAAGTTCAACTTTAGCTCCTAGGAACTAAAATTCAACTTCAGCTCCTAGGAACTAGATATGTTGCCTAGCAACATATCTATTTGTGTGTCAGTAATAGAAACGTCAATTTAAGAGCTAATTTTGGTATCAAAATGGACGACTTTTGTGTCGGTTGCAGAAAAAATATATTTTTACCAATTTCAGCTAGATGAATTTGTGAAAAACTGAGAGATTGAGCTACTATCGACCTATTTTTCATTAATTTTTGTAACCAAAGTTTGTTGATTGTGTTTTATTTAACCTAACGATGTTATGGATGTGAATTTAATAAGAGCCAAACATTTCCTTCCAGAACACGAATATTTAGAAAATTCGTGTTCTCGAAAATATTTCCGGTAACAAACTATTCTTTCGACCTAATCATACAAATTCTCACCGATCAAAGGTCCTAGTTTACCGATAGGACCCTCTTTGTCGGCGCCACCTACGATGAACAAGCAGTCTTTCCTTTTCAGGTACGTCAAACATTTTTGCAATTTCACAAATGTGAGGTTCAGGTCATAGTCGAACACCACTGCTCCTATATTTTCATCGTCCGTTATATTCGATAGAAGGCCACCTATACTTTCGTCGATGGTCAGTGGCTAAAATGAAATTCAGAAATACACTCACCGGCAAAAAAACCGGCCACCAAAAAATTTGACCAAACTGTTCAGCCTGTATTTTTCTTAATACTTACTACTACTTAATACCAAAGTTACTCTTTCACCATATACTTCTCAACGTCCTGTGGCAGAATTGCGTGGTTGGACTTGGGTTGATTATGCTTCGGATTGAAGTGTGATCCCTTCTTAACACAATAGTTTTTGATTCACATCAATATCTAATTTTTTAGAGATGATACGAATGTTTTCAGAAAGTATGGTACTTTCAATTTTTTTCTATCATTATTCAGAACCTACATGAACTTATTGATTAACAACTTGAAGAATCAATATCACTTATTTCTACCTCACTTTTATTTTTTTTTCGTCAAAAAAACAAGTAGCAGACCTCAGTAATTTAACAATTTGATCTTATTAAATTATCCTAATGTAATATGACCAAATTTCATTATACAGGGTGTAACTGAATAAGTGTAAAACATTTAAGGAGATGATTCCTCATCGAAAAAAAGATAGGATCTTTCATATAAAGAAACTTCATTGGAGCATCCCTTGTTAAGATACAGCCCCTTAAAGGGGGTACATAAAATTTGTATAACAATTTTTTTCACAAACACTGAAAAAGTTACAATATTGAAATTAACCTGACGTTTTGAACTACCAAAAAGACACTTAGCCAGTAATTTATTTGGTTTACCCCATGGTTGTAAGGGGTGAAAAACGCAACCCCTAAAATTTATTTCCAATGTAACTTTTTGTCTTATTATTTGTTTACCATTTAAAAATTTATTTCCGATAGCCTGTTTCATTCTAAACAAAAAATGTCTCTTGGGTTTTTTGCCCAAAATAAACCAGTAAGCAGCAAAACATTATTTTACGAACAACTACAGAGATACATCGTCATAAATGCGAAAATACGAAACTAATCTATCTAGTAGGTCGCTATTAGCGATAGTGACAATTAAATTGGTATGACGCTGTCAGGTTAATTTCAATATTGTAACTTTTTCAGTGCTTGTGAAAAAAATTGTTATAAAAATTTTATGTACCCCCTTTGAGGGGCTGTATCTTAACAAGGGATGCTCCAATGAAGTTTCTTTATATGAAAGATCCTATCTTTTTTTCGATGAGGAATCACCTCCTTAAATGTTTTACACTTATTCAGTTACACCCTGTATATAATATGAATTATACAAAATATGTACTTGATATATGATTATGTCTCCTCCTTTCATGTTTCCTTTTATGTTTTTATCATGTCATAATTTTGTTATGTAGTTAACTAAACCAGGTAGTTTCTCGCAGAGAATGCTGTATTACTGATAACTTTGTTCAATATTGTTCTTGCTAGGTTAAGTGTAAAATTATCCATTGGCTAAACTACGCCTATCTTGTACCTGTTCAAATAAAGACGATTCATTATTATTATTATTATTATAATATAACTAGTATGCTCTCCCCTATAGGTTGAATTACAGCATTCAACCGCCGTGGCATCGAATTGATCAAATTTCTTAAGTAGTCTTGAAGAATTGCCTAAAATTCTCCTTGAAGGGCAAATCGTAGCTCTTGAAAAATCTCTGACAAAGCTGGACGATAACGAATGAGCCTCTGGAAGTCACCCCTAAGATGTTCTGTATATAGTCTATAGGTTCTGAATTATTGTCATTTAAAGTTAAAAAATTCTATACTTTCTTGAAACACTTGTATCTTCTCTCAAAAAGAAAATATTGACGTGAATCAAGAACCGTTGTATGAAGAAGGGGCTGAAGAGGATCTGGATTCAATTCAGAACATGATGAAGCAGAAGGTTGGAGAATGGTTCTGAATTATTGTTAATAAAAATTTTAAAAATCCATACTCTCTTGAAGCCCATGAATCCTCCCTTAAAAAGTGGTTATCGACGTGAATCAAAAACCATAAACTAAGTGAAACCACTCACCTTTTGTTTTTCCCTGTCCAAGCCATCAACTTTTTTTTAGGAATCAATATTCAGGATAACATTCCGAAACATGAATATACCATTCTGTCGGAATTTCACCAAAATCGGACAAAAATTTAAAAAGTTACACGGCGAACAATTTGACTAATTTTTTTGGTGGCCGGTTTTTTCTGCCGGTGAGTGAGTGTATTATACAGGGTGATTCACATAAGAACCGACATAGAGCAGGGGCATGTAGGGGGTTCCAAAATAAGGCAATTTAACGCAACTTACCTCTATACCAAGTTGCTTCCCTAAGGAGATATAGGCTTTGAAAGTGAAGTTATAAATTTTGAAAAAAATCAATATCTTCGTTATTCTTGAACTTAAAGCAACCAAATTTGTTACACTTTGTGGATGTATTAAGGGCGTTGCTTGACAGTAACTAGAGTTTATTTGAAATTTGTAAAGGGGAGTATACCGGGTGGCGCACCATCAATGTTCAACATAATTTTGTTAACCCTTGATGGATTTCAAAAATCTTTTGCTTTGTTTTGTGGGCAATTTAATTCTAAAACTTTACTTACTCCAGTAATTTTACGAAAAACCTCATCATTTTCATCAAAAACGCGAATAACTGAAAACGCGCGCTCTAGGTGTGTTATTTAAAATCATCGAAAATTCAAAAGTTGGCTATGAAAATAAACGTCAAACTTGACAATGAGGCAAGTGAGTTGTTCAATTAAGTAATTGTTGTTTGAGTGTTTTCTAAATGAACGGGAAGTTTTCTTTTAACGAGCAAGTTGACATGCTGTTAGTGCTATGCCTATAACTCCTTAGGAAAGTAACTTGGTATAGTGGTAAATTGCGTTAAATTGTCATAAATAGGACCCCCTACATGCCCCTGCCCTATGTCGGTTGTTATGTGAATCACCCTGTTTATTTTTAACGAGTACGGGAGGATAGTAATTCCCCACGAGAATAAAATCATACGAGTGGGAAATTAGGCCTCCGTGCGAGTTATACACTATACTTCTTCTATACAGCTGTATAACAGATAATAGCAAATTTTTATTTCTCAGGCTTGAAGCCATCTGATTTTTGTGTTATTTCACTACAAATAAAACAGAAGAATGAAATATGTGGTTGATTTTTTGAAAAATAAATTTCTGTTATCTAATTTCCGATTCACTCTGAAGGACTGTTCCTATTCATCTTGAATGGAAATTACTTCAATCATGATTGGTACGTGAATAAAAATGACACTTGCATTTTTATTGAAGTCGAATAAAAATGCTTGAATTTATTTGGTAGTTGATTTCCGTGGTAGTTGATATATTCATTCATCTTGAATAAGAATTATTCTCAATTTATATGGTACATGGAATAATATAATGTTTGGATTTGATATTATACTAGAATAAAAATTTTATATGGATTTATTCGGTACATTTTAATATGATACTCGAATTTCTATGGTAGTGAATAAAATAGTGGATTCTCATTTTTCCGTATATTTGTAGAATGGTGATTGAAACTATGAGAACCATATAAGGTGAGTCTTTTGAGTTTGCATGTATGTCGCTAGTATAGGTATAATTATTGTGCTGCGCTTTAGAGCATGTTCCGATATTCCCGAACAGTAGTGCCCAGTATATTTTATCGTTCCGATTTTACTGAACATAACTGTCAATGTTTCCGCGGGTCATTGCAAGGAACGCTGATAGAGGCTGAAAAGTTTACTGTTCGCCACTAGTGCAGAAATGGTGATGACTGCCAGTATTCATGAAATATTAAGCGATTGAATGGTTGAATATGAGTCGATGAAAATATTATATATTATTATTTCCAAATACTTTTGGAAAACGCATGAAGTCGAACTGGTAGATCTCTCAGTGGCAATAGAGATTGAAACTGCCACTAATCACTGGAACTATGTTGAACTATAGAGGTACTAGAGCTTAGGGTTTCTGATGAATCAGAATCACTATCGTATAATATGTATTTTAAGATAATATGAATAATTACTCCATCCATAATTTCAGCATGAGTATATAAAGAAGATGATAATAAGAATGATGAAAATAAAAACCAACAGAATACTTCGAAAATCGAAAGATCATAGGTTATGGTTATGTTTGCTGCCAGTATTGCCAAAATCGTTCACTAATAAGAGAAAAAATCAAAGCTAGTGGTAACTGTTCAGTGTCCCTGAATTGCTCACTGTGGACTGTGATGTCAGCATTATCGGAACATGACCTATATAGTAAAATAAATACCTACCTATTTGATTTTGAGAAGACGATGAGATGTCACAATATTACTCTTTCTTACTGTCATTAGTTTACTCTTATTATTCGATTCATTACGATAATGTCTGTCATTACCAGTTAAAAATCTAGTTAGCAATGCATAAATTGCTCAATAGTTGTAAAACAAAAATTCTTACTGGATCTGGAGCTACTTTGAATCCTGCCTTTCGTAGCACGTTTTTATAAACGTTGGAAGCTAGTACGAACAACTCTTTGTTGAAATTGATCTTCTTCAGATAGTCCACAACTCCTACCAGAGGGTTGACTATGTCTTCTGGTTCTCCAGAGATGCCGTTTTGTTTCATCTTACCGTGCAGGCCATCTACCGTGTGCACGGCGTTGTTCGTCACGAAACTCACCCTCTTTCCCAGATTTTTCAAGGTGGCTATGCATTCTGGGGATCCAGGCAGTGCCTTAGAAGCCACCCAAAGTACACCTGAAAAATTATGATCGTAACTGAATTTATTCTGACTCACATGACTCACATTCATACTTTTCACATTCATATTACAAGGTGGGCACCTATCCCTAGTATAGAAATTGATTTTTTCAAATGGTAATAAGTATATCATTGCATTATTAGATTCTACGTTGAATTTTGAACAAGTTTGATGGATTGTGGAATTATGAACACTGGTTTATTATTTTTCCGTCTATTTTTGCACCAGTTCAGTGAGGAAACCATTACAAATGGAAAACAACGTATTTCTGAATTATCAGGATTAACCCATTCGAAGGCATTCCTGCCTTAACCAACGGAAGAAAAGACCAGGCAGATCCTAGAATGGAGCAGGGGTCACCTGCGAATTCACTAGAGTCTCGAGATCATACCCGTGTGTTCACCGAACACGCCCGATCGTTCCCTAAGCGGTGGGGAAACGTAAACGCAGTAACGGGCACCAGTAACTACGTTATGATTATTGGCGCGTGCCTGAATTATTTTGAAGTCAAATTTGTCAATTTAATGTACTTCGAAACAGAACACTAGTAGTTGTGCCTTCTTGTTTTACATAATTTAAAGGTAGACATCAAATCAATAAACATAGTGCTCTCGCCATCGGTATTTGCTGAACTTCGCTATGGGAAAAATGTTGAACAACTATATTGGGATGAAGAATGATCTATACAGGGAGTATCTAAATAACACCGAAATAATTCAAGGGATGATTCCTTGTGATATAATATGATGAATAAAGGTCATATAAACATGTGTCCTAAACTTTTGCTTCGTTTTCGAGGTACAGGCGGTTATACGTCCTGATTTCGAATCCGAAGTGATTTTCAACCTATCTTGCCTCCTAATATCATTTTCCGGAAATGTTGGTGGGTCCATGACCAGAGCAGTGTTTTTCACTGAAGATTACCTCACTTAGGTCTAAGTGGTATATATATCTATCGCTCCTTAAAATTGAACAGTTACGTTAGATATATATACGGGTTGATATTCCATTATAGAAGTGACATGCACACTGTTTATATTTTTAAATACATCCAGTGGGATTTTATTTTATGTTGAATATTAGAGTGTGTTTTTTTATGTGATATATTTGTTTTGTTTATTTCAAATATATATATTTTTTTAGTAGGCATACTAGTACTTCTTTTATATAATTCTGAAATCTGATCCACCCTGTATTTGTTTCAATTAAATGGCATCAGTGAATAGTAAATAGAATGTTAGGATAGGGACACATGTAAGCCATTTTGACAAATCAATATAGGTATGAACCTATAGTTTCGATACAAAAAATATCTCGATTTTTCACATTCTACGTATAGGTATACCTTGAGCTTGATCAACGAAATCATAGCTCAATTAGAAGAATCGAAAAATGTAATAAAATATAAGGTGTTCCATTTTGAATAACAAAGCTGCTACTACTATACTACTAAGTACTACATAACTACTAATAATTATTTCTAGTGAAGCAAATGAACATTATCGAAAATAATTTGAATAAAACGAGCGTCCTCGCCAACAAAACATAAGCATATCCATATAATATGTACATATAGTTTCATGATTTTCGATGAGTGGTTCGCTATTTACATGTAGGACTCGTCGTGACATACCTAGCGAATTATTGCAAATCAAATCATCGCTTTCATTATCTGATAGGTCGCAGTAGATCACTTGATGCCTATCAAATGTTTCTTATTTATTCGAAAAAAAAAAGTTGAAATGTGATCAAGAAAACTGTTGGTGGCCCACCCCGTACTACAAAAACAAAGACAGCATGAGAGAAGCTGCCTGCCCACTCATTGTATCATGACTGCCTGCTTACGTCTTACGTCTCGGTCTCCCCACCGCTTAGGTAACGATCGAGCGTGTTCGGTGAACACACGGGTATGATCTCGAGACTCTTGTGAGAATTCTGACAGGACTGCTTACGGCCTACGAGACACTGTCGTCTAAGACACCACCTAGGAAGGATGGGTCTGAACCCACAAACAGACTGTCCGTTTTTCAAACAAAACCAAAAATTGAAGAAAAATCGTCAAAAAATTGTATTTACCTTGTGTTTGTGGAAAGTTTTATAGAGGTGAAACCAAGAGACTTCTTTCAGTAAGGACGAAGGAACATAAATACAATATAAAGAAAAGACACATCGACAAATCGAAACTAACTGAACATATCCTCACTGAAGATGGACAACATATGGCAGAGTGGAATAATATTAAAATCATTGGAAAAGAAGATAACAACCAGAAGAGAAAAATCAAGGAATCTGCTTGCAGTCTTCTGAACGGAGACAATAGCATTGCTTCCTGTTCAGTTGATATAGATAGAACATTGTATTCACTATTGAAATCTGAAAATGAGAATGGAGAATTCGAAATTAATTAATGAAAACATCCTGTTACTCATTTGATTGGCAACGTCATCAATTGTCACTGAGAACCGAAAAGTGTCAGGACAAATATGAATTTGCGATACAAAAAATTCTATTTTTTATGTTGAATACGGGAGCAGATTCGTTCCCGAAACGTCCAAAGCTAAGTAAAACTCTGATATTTTTTTCTATATAGGTACCTTTATTTCTCTTCTCCAAATTCTTTTCAATACAAATTGTCACTGACAAGCTAGTTAATTTTTCTTTTAGGCTCTCTGATAGGAAAATTCTTTAAACGCAGTGACAATTTGGGGCAAATCATCTGATTTGTCCTTACTACACGTATATTGAAATAATATTCATATTTTCATTCTATAGAAATGAAGATAGAAAAGCCTAAACCTAATGTGAAATTGACTCTAAATCAATTTAATATACTCTATATTACCTATACTACCAATATGAAATGTCGAACATTGCGATACTGTTCGTCATGGGATAATTTACCGTACTAGTGCGATAAAGTGAAACATTTTTCATATATTCACCCCTTGAATTTCTCAATCGAATAAAGTGTGAAACATAGAAACTATAGAAATTATATTTTTAAATCAAATAAATGATATATAGGTACTTGCTACACAATTATGGAAAAATATGTTCCTATATTGATAGTAGATATTGACAAAGTAAGTAAATTCATGAGACATTCGATGAGTTCCTCAACTAATATTATAATTTGGATTTGTTCGATACTTAGAAACGGTATAGTGCGGTAAAGCGGAAATTATTGAATTTGTACTTTCAAGTTCTTTCAATCAAATAATTTGAATGAGAAACATTTCCTGATAATTGAAAAGAAGAGAAAACAATTGCAGAACTATTCTAGGTATGTTTGAGCTATTTTTCAATATTTTGCAGAAGTTTGATCTATTCAAAAGGAATATTCTCAGATATAATTATGAACATGAAAAAGTGGATATATATATAAAGAAATACATTGAGAATTCGCTATCTCTATGTGATGAAAATATCAATCCTTTCTCGGTTTATTCAACAGAAAATAACTACTTTCCTGGCTATATGCCACGACGAACATTGAATTACATCTATTGAATACACGATAAGAATTTTAAAACAAAATCCTCTGAAGTAGAGAATTTGCATTCTCCTTCAAAAAAAAATTAATCTATTCCTTGTATGACCAGATGCCACTCCAAATGACATCCAAAAGTGGATTTTTAATGACACTTAACAGGCACTGCCTAGGCAGAAAAAGTTTGTTGCTATGCAACGTTCCAAGTAATTTGAATCAAATTGGTAGTCAATGGACTTTGCGTGAAATTGAAAAGAATTTGAAGAAAAAATTATATGTTTCACATGGCAGAAAAGAAGATGTAATGCCTTCGCTGGTTTCCTTGCCTCGTCTACGCCTAGGCTATAAAACGCAAGCCGCGGCATTAAATCTTGTAATTTTCTACTTAGTAAAACAAATAACTATTTCAAGGACCAATATGTATAAAAAACAGCTATATCTATCAATCAGAATTTAGGAGACAGAGTTTATGTCTACGGGAGTAGTCAAACGAAGGACCCTGAGGAGTTGAACTGTAAAAAAATTCTACGAAATTTCGATATTTTGATGAGTGCAAGATTACTTTATTTTGTTTCAAATACGGTCCTGGAAAATCAGATAAACATCTCGTGGTATGGAATGGGTATGAATAACTGATAAAATAAGTAACTCACGAAGGCAGAACCCTATATGTCATAAACTGTCGAAAATATATGCAGTTAGGTGCAAAGAATATGATGGTCAAATCTGATAACATAGAAATAATTATTATCTGAAGCTCTTTATCAACTTGTAGGTAATTAAAATGAAATTCCGATATGTCAAATGTCCCGAAGAGAGAAACTTTTCAAATTCGGCACAAATTCTTTCAAGTGAAATTAATAGAACGCCAGTGGATATTGGTAAGAAAATTAGTGATCCGCCAAATTACTTGTTAAATATGAACTTATTAATAAACTTGACGTAACCAATCCACTGTTGTTTTTTTGTTAACCATGTATTAAATATCAATAAAATATTCTCCACAAGCATAAAGGGAATTTAATTGTCAAATAAATAAATCAAGAAGGGCGTGTTTGACGAAATATCACAGGGACGCTTATTTTCATAAAAATTAAGTAAATGATCAGCGGATTACTCAATTTCTCAAGGGATATGAAACCTCTGATATGCATGGAATAACATTGTCGACTTCACAGAACTCGTCGACTTTGAGAAGGATCACTTCTGTAAGTTCGTATTTCAATTGTTTAAATCGAATTCCAGTGCCATATATATACTGGTACTGGTGGGGGACATTTGCACGTCAGCAACTAGCCCCTAATGGGATTTTTTTGCAAGCAAGGTGTTGCTCAGGTGGTAGTTTTCCACATACACCGTTCTACTTCTTCGCTGATGCTCACAACCACATCATCATCTCTTTCTGCGTGTTCTGTGTAGGCTTTGTTACTAACTACATGCGCCACTTTAGGAGCAGCACTGTTAATCGGAACGCAACAGCGAATCGTGTAGGACTATCCACAGCCGATTCTCCAAAACTTTACAATATTCAATTCGTAAATAAAATATTGAAAAAAGTTCCTTGCTCGTGCTGGGAATCGAACCCTCGACCCCGAGATGGACGCTCTTCCACTACGACAATCCCGCCCCCTCCGCGATGTATATAAGGCATGGTGCAATTTCATTAAGGAAAGTCCCCTCATTTGCTATTATCGATATTACGGATCGAAATGAATGTAGTACAAAAATCTGCACCACCCAGTATAATGAATCATAATTCGAAAATTACATAGTTTGTTGACATTGCTGACCTGATAAAATAATCAAATTATCGAATGTGAACATTGGAACTTACCGTCCATATCTGTAAGTACATGATCAAAGGAATTGATGAAGTCAAGTTGTTCTTGCAATGGCACATCAGCCAAGTTCCTCAACATTTCATTAATAATTATTTGCACTTGCACTTGCACAACCGGTTGTCTGTTGAGTAGTGATTGTGAATGGATCTGCTTTTTATCTGTGGTTTGATGCCAATTCGTTTGAATAGATCAACATGCTCAAAAATCATGAAGATGACGTAATCTGACATCACTGATTTGATTTTTATGATCCAGCAGGAGCATTATTCTCTTGCTCAACTCGTACGAACAGAAAGCTTGATATAATGCTCAACACAAACGAACACAAAGTAGTGGCACAAATCATTTCTGAACATAGCATAATCTGAGTAATTTTCAGGACCCCGCACTTTCCATATGGAAAATGGCTTTCGGTTAAATTCCCTGAATTTTTGGTATGATGTAGATTTTGACTTCCTTAGCAAAAGTATCCATGAACACAAAGAAATCGGCTGACTAGTTTTCGAGATACAAGGGTGTCAAAGATGAAAAGTGAAACTTTCTGCTCAAAATTTTTAACAACTTCGAGAATTGACAAGACGCCCATTTATTCATGGAATAACATACCTGAATGATGGTACAATGTCATCTGGATCTCGTATCCATTATAATTTTACGTTTGGGGCTCTACAACAGGGTGAACAAAGAAAAATCCAATTCGATTAATTTTAAACCAACCAGGGTAAGTTCTTTCATGAGAATTAAAGATTCAATTGAGTCTAGACTAACTTCCGCAATCTCGATCGAAGTTTACTGACATTTCATTTTTATATACAGGGTGGTTCAGAAATATACAGTGTGTCCACCTTAGGGACTTACCACCCCTGTAAAATTGTTATTATCTGACCGATTTCAAAAAACTTTTCTTTGTTGGGTAGTTATTTGAAATGTCCATGCATCCAACAAGAGAGTGATTTTACTCATGAACTGTAATCGTGGCCAACTGCGACCAACTTTATTGACCCATTTTTGAGAAAGTACTATTAGGGATTTTTTTTCACAAAAAACAATGATGGATTCTGAATCACGATCACTTGAGAAACACCTTTACTGATTTTTATCATCATAAAACACAGGGTGTCCGAAAAAACGAATTATTTTTTTTTTAATATGTGATCAGAAAATGTAGTATTGTGGTATTATTGAGAAGAATTGATGACACATCATTATTGAGGATCACTTTGAACATATCTGTACCGATTTTCATCATTCAAAAATACGATGTGTATGAGAAAACAATTAAAAAGAAAAAGTAGGCAATATTTTTTCATCAACTCGAAAATAACATTAATTTGATTTTTCGAACACCCTGTGTTCAATGATGATGAAAATCGGTACAGGTATGATCCAAGTGATCCTGATTCATCTTTTTATTTTGAGTGAAGAATTATCAGGATGAAAAATATTGCTTACCTATCCTTTTACATTTTTTTCTCAGACACATTGTATATTCAAATGACGAAAATTGGTACAGGTATATTTGAAATAATCCCCAATGATAATTTGTGATTTTTTCTTTCTAGAAAAACCACAGAACTACATTTGCTGATCACCTTTTTGAAGAAAATGATGATCCGTTTTTTCGGACACCCTGTGTTTTATGATGATGAAAATCGGTACAGGTATATTTCAAGTGGTACTGATTCAGAATCCATCATCAAGTTTCGTGGAAAAAAATTCCTAATAGTACTTTCTGGAATATGGGTCATTGAAATTGGTCGCAGTTGGCCACGATAACAATCCAAGAATTAGATCACTCTCTCGTTGGATGGGCACTTCAAAAACCTATCCAACAAAAAAAGGTTTTTTGGAATTGGTCGGATAATAACGATTTTACAGGGGTGGTAAGTCCTTAAGGTGGACACACTGTATATTTCATATATATAGGGTGAGTAAAAAGCTACAGTCCAAGTTTCTTGAGAAAATGCGTTTTTATTTCAATAAATACCCTGTATTTCGAAAAAGAATCGGTTAATTTTCTTGAATTTTTTATATAATGTCCGAGATATTGTCTTCAATATTAGCCTAGGTCTCCGGACTCGTTTGTCGGCTATATACTTTTGAATGTACGGATTTTATTGATATACCCTATATACTCCTTCGGATGTCCATAGGATGTCCCAGGAACGTACGAATTATTCTTGAATTTGAATTTTTCTGGGTCCCTCTAGGACCATCTGGGCCCCTCTAGGACCAGATCTTGCATAACCGATCAGGACATCCAGTTGAGTTGATGGTCCGTAGAAGGTCCCCAAAAAGCTTCCCAAGGATGTCCAATGGACTTACGTGAAGGACATTGACGAGGAGTACTTATAGCCTACGAGCAATAATTCGTCGGCGAGGTGTAAGTTAACGTCTTCGCAGGGTCAACCTATTGAAAGTACCGACTAGGACGTCCATAGGACGTTATTTCTAGGACATTGGAAGAGTACAGTTTATGTACAAATTGGGACATCCGACGGATATCCCAAAGGGACATTCGAAGAATGTTCCTAAGGGACATTTCGATTGTTGTACGATCCTGGAAATATTAGCGGCGTCTGTGCAGAGATATTTGAAGCAATGTACCATCAGGGACATTTCGTGGTTGTCTAGAAGGGACATTATATAAGATCTGAAGTCATGCCAGAATATGTACTATTCGGGACATCCGATGGATGTCCCTAAAGGAACGTTTAAAATCATATCCCATCAAGGACATGCCAAGTATTTTGAAAAAATAGTTACTCCATATCCTTAGCTGCTTCTTATTCAACTCAGCAGGTTCGTTTGTAATAGGAAAATGTATCTTTTGGCGTAACTAGATTCACCGTAATTATTCCAGAGACGCCAAAGATGGTTGCCTGATTGATATTAACGGTAAGAATCATTGTGCTCTTTCGTATTTTTCTAGGTTTCATATATTTATTCAATTTGGCAATAGAAGATACAACTTTCTTGTACGGGCTACGAATTTTTGGGTACCTACCCTTGGTTGTGATTTCGTACTCTTAATCACTCTTCAACAGAAAACAGAAACTACATGAAGGGATTATGGAGTTTTACAGACAGCGGTTGGTTTTGAAATGATTAAATATAACTATTTACGATTTTTTAAAGATGGACCGACCCTGAAATCCGGTTTCGTGTGCATGTATTCTCAGATCTCAATATCAATCTTCAGATTATCTTTCATAGATAAAACTCCTGTCCTTGACTAACTTGACCTCATTCTTTCATCAGCACTTGAATAGGCCTTCCATATTTATGAGAAACTTTGATCTGGGTACTATTTCTGTTTATCTGTGCATGAATTATCCATTCAAGAGAATTATGAATGAGCATAATATGAGTGGGATACAGAAACCAAAAAAACTGTGGTTGATTTCTCAGTGGGAAACATATTGGAACACTGAAAAAAAAAAGGAATTATTGAATCAAGCAAAATTTGGTTGAATGAAGCAAATATAAGTGTCATATATGCACGACAAAATATAATCTTGAAATAAGTGAATCCATATCTTGTTTCAGAGCGAAGTTGAAGTTTGAATTGATTTGGCTCAAACAATCATTTTGTTTGATTCAAGATAACAAAATATTGATTCAATCAAATATTTAGTTGATTCAATGAAATATTAGGTTGATTCGGAGAAATATTTGGTTGATTCGGAGAAATATTTGGTTGATTCAATGAAATATCTGGTTGATTCAATGAAATATTTTGTTGATCCAATGAAATATTTTGTTGATTCAACAGGAACTGTATATCGACCAATTGTATTGTTGACCCAAATTCAGTATTGATTCGGCAATTTTCTGAATTTTCACACAATAGAATAAACTAAACTGGAAAATAACTAGTCGACTTCCAGCATAGATCTCCAATCTTTACTTCTCCTCAGCTGATGCGAAACTATTTCGACTTGCTAAGGATCCTAAGTTCGTTTTATATCCAGCTGATATTTCAAACACGAAGAATCTGGCTTCACGTTTATAATTAAGCCAATACAGTCAATCTACATTTGCTGCCGTGTGAAACATAAATTTTTCTCCAAATGTTATTAATCCAATTTTCTGTAGTTTTTTTTTATTGAAAACTCCATCATTTTGTTTTCGTCAATTTTGAATATCAATTTCATCCAAATTATACTTGGGATGATGCAGAGCAATACACTTTTTCTGACTATATGCTGAGAAAGTACTCCTTTCCTGCCTGTTCAGAGGAAAGCTACTTTCTATGCTACTTGGAAAAAAAAATTATTCCATTCTTGAATATACATATTCATGTGTGCGATTTCACACTCTTCTAATTTGGAACCGGTCGATCGATTTACAAAAACAAAAATTCCATTGTATAGTACTCAACAAAATTTGAACACGATATCTCACATAGGGTGTTAGTGATTCAATGGCAAATTTTGAAATTTTTCATTTTCCTATTCACCCTGTATCAAGATCTAAGGGGTTGATATATCCGGTGAAGAAGTCATTCAATGGAGGAAAACGTCGAATACTCAGATACGAAGTTTCATAGTTGTAACTTCTATACAGGAAGATCTTTCTAGCTCAACCAAAAATTAATGCTATTGCGATGAAGTTGAGAACTTTTATAAATGATCCATTATTCAAAAAAGCGAGAAATTTGAGAATTTCTATTGAATAACTAACACCCTATATGAGATATTGCGTTCAAATTTTGTATGAACATACAAAAGTGGGCTTTGGAAATCGGAATATTCCAGATTTGTCGACATTTTCTAATAAAGCTCTTGGGGTATATATACTATATTATTTCAATTTTTGATATTGTGAATCGCTGAACGGGTTCCAAATTACAAATTATGAGGCTGTTGAAATCGGTTCAAATCGGTTGAAATCGCACACACTGTATGTTTAGATTAGGTTTTCTTTGGATACTTGATGAACGTAGAAATTTTGCAGTCGGATCATGTTCTATTAGGTACATGTTTATCATAAGATTAGATAACAAAATATTTGCACATACCGACAAGATGACTCGATAACAATAGTTCTTGAGAAGGGTTATTAAAAAATATTAATACTTATTGAAAAAACATTGAAAATAAAATACGACAAATTCACAGTATATTATCAATACATTGTGACTAATTCAAACATGGAATAATCATTGTCCTAGCAAGTCCCCAATGTGTACTTTTCCGAACGTAAAAACAGTGATGCAAACGAGGCGAGTTCGTATAAGTTTTTGCGTGCGGAAATAGTTATTTTCCTAACAAGTGCGCATAGTATTACTTTTCCGCACGCGAATACAGTTAGCCGAACGACGCGGAGCGGAGTTCGAATAATTTTTTCGTGCGGAAAAGACACTTTGCGCACGTGTTAGGAAAAACGTTTTTCCTACGAGGAAACCGCTTGTACGTATTTTGAATTCAAGTAGTGGATGCGTTTGGCGGCATGCTTCCAACGGCAGCCGCTGACGGCGTGAAGGAAGCCATACCTCCCTAATAGCACACAACGTCCTAGGGACGTCCCTATTTGGTACAATACAATTCACGTCCGAATGTCCCGAAAAAAAGTGTCCTTGGGCCGTCCCATTCTTAAATCTCATGTAATTTCCGAGCAAGGACGTCCACGGAATGTCCCAGCTGGTACATCATTTCAAATGTCCTATAAATAGCATCCCTTAGACGTCCCACGTGGTGAATATTGTAGAATGTCCATGCAACGACGTCCTTGGCATGCCCCTGATGGGATATGATTTTAAAAGTTCCTTTAGGGACATCCATCGGATGTCCCGAGTAGTACATATTCTGGCATGACTCCAGATCTTATATAATGTCCCTTCTAGGCAACCATGAAATGTCCCTGATGGTACATTCCTTCAAATATCTCTGCATAGACGCCCTTAATATTTCCAGGATCGTATAACAATCGGAATGTCCCTTAGGGACATTCTCCGAATGTCCCTTAGGGATGTCCGTCGGATGTCCCAATTGGTACATGAACTGTACTTTTCCAATGTCCTAGAAATAACGTCCTATGGACGTCCCAGTCGGTACTGGCGAGGACGTTAACTTACATCTCGCCGACGAATGATTGCTCGTAGGCTATAAGTACTCCTCGTTAATGTCCTTCGACGGACCATCAACTCAACTGGATGTCCTAATCAGTTATGCAAGATCTGGTCCTAGAGGGGCCCAGAAAAATTCAAATTCAAGAATGATTCGTACGTCCCTGGGACATCCTATGGACATCCAATCGATATCCCACAGCGTTGCTGGTAGGTTGTCCTATGGATGTCCTAAGGATGTCCTATGTAGTGCTTGATGAGGAATACTGTAGGATTTAGGTATTCGATAGTTGTCCCAGGGACATCCCTCAAGAACGTCCCTAGTTGGTCCTCAAGTGGGACATTTGTGCGTCCCACAGACGTCCAATGGACGTCCATGGTACCAAATTCGGACCTCCTATGGACGTCCTCAATGTCCCGACAGGACGTCCTAAGGATATCCATGGGACATAAGTGTGTTATTAGGGCTTTAATTTCGATTCAGTAAGTAGATAAAAATCTTATCCGCGCTGCGTGCACGCCATGCGATGGTAGGTCTATTTGAGCCTTCTTAGAGTTCAAATTCGATGAACTAATTTCGAAGACACCCTACTAATATTATTCTTCTAATTGATATAATATGTATAACTAAGTACTGATTTTTCAAATCAAACAATCAATTTAATCTTTGGATATTTTCGATATATTACACAACTTGATAATGTCATTTAAGGCACCTAAACTTTCTACATAATACTGAGGTTTCAAATTTTCCGGATATTTCCAATCGAGTAGATGTTCATTCTTTGTTGTTCCAGTTAAGACCAACAATTTTTCATAGCCTGCTGTCATTGCAAAACCCATATCTTCCTCGATGCTGAAAAAAGTATATTATATATATTCAATATACAGGGTGTTTCACAGGTTAAGGGAAATATTTCAATGGTAGATAGGAGTCACCAAGGTGGTTCTGAAAATACCATATTTGATAGGCCTTAGAGTCTTCATAGCGGAGATACAGGGCGATTTATCGATTTCGAATAATTATTCATTCGTCTATATGTATTGATCTACTCAGTATATTTTTCTCAAATTTGGTAAGGAGCTTATACTTGGGACGTTAAATCCATTCACCTATCGGGCGGAGTGAAAATCCAGGTTCGGCTTCAGGAAAAATTTACATTTATTCGAAATATTAAAATAACACACTGTATTTAATAATTAACACAGTACATCAAAAGAATTGTGAAGAGGAGGAGAAACTGAATTGGGTTTGATGCTTTTTGTTTTCCCGCCACCAATTCTAATCGTAACAATCATAAACAGAAAGTTGAAAGTATGTCAATTTGAAGAGTATTGAAATTATGAAACCAGTGTCAATTATGATTATTCGATATATTTTAGTCAAAAAATCGCTCGAAAGAACTTACTGAGTCTCACAATCTTCATAATGGAGATACAGGGTGAATTATTGGTTTTGAATAATTATTCACTCGTACTTGGGACGATGGATTCATTAACCTATCAGGCGGAATGGAAATAATACCAAATGATTATTATTCGATAATGCACCCTGTATCTCTGTTATAAAGACTATGAGACTTTTCCTGAAGCTGAACCTGTATTTTCATTCAGCCTGATAGGTCAATGAATCCATCGTCCCAAGTAAGCTCAATACCAAATTTGAGAAAATATTCCTGCGAAGGGTAGTTTAATACTTATGCACGAGTGAATAATTATTCGAAACCGATAATTCACCCTGTATCTCTGTTATGAAGACTGTGAGACTTAGTAAGTTCTTTCGAACGATCATTTACCATGAATATATCAAAAAATAATGATAATTGAAAGTGGTTTCATAATTTTTATACTGTTCAAATTGACATACTTTTAGCTTTCTGTTCATGATTGTTACGATGAGAATTTGTGTCGGGAAAACGAAATGCATCAAATCCAGTTCAGTTTTTTCTCCTCTTCACGATTACTTTGATGAACTCTGTCAATTATCACATACAGTGTGTTATTTTAATATTTCGAATAAATGTAAATTTTTCCTAGAGCCGAACCTGGATTTTCACTTCGCCCGATAGGTGAATGAATTCAACGTCCCAAGTATAAGCTCCATACCAAATTTTAGAACAATATACTGGGTAGTTCAATACTTATAGACGAATGATTATTGAAAATCGATAAATCGCCCTGTATCTCCGTTATGAAAACTCTAAGACCTATCAAATATGGTATTTTCAGAACCACCTTGGTGACCCCTATCTCCCATCGAAATATTTCCCTTTATAGCTGGGAACAGAGTAGTGGACATAGCCCTCACAGAGAGATAACTATCTACCCGTGTTTCGGGCTTTCGGTCCTCATCAGTACGATGAAAGGAAGTGTCAAGGATAGGCAGCACTTGGTAGAAAGACGAAACAACAAACAAACGGAGTCAACAAACAGAAACACGGCGTGTCTTCGGTCATCTCTTTGTGGAGGATATGTCCACTACCCTCTTCCTAGCTACTTTGCATTTCCCTCGATATCACTTCCATCATATAATATATTATACAGGGTGTCCCGATTTGAAGCAACTTACCTCAGTACTGAATTACTCCGTTTCCGAGATATAGGGTGGTGTAGATGAAAAATAAAATTTGACAAGTACACTCTGAGAAAGTATTTTGAAGAATCCATTTTTGCACTGGTAATTCAGTGACCAAAAAACATCCAGAAATGAAGCAGCAAAAAGTTTGTACTTAAAATAAATTAAATATTCCGGTGCAGCATCGAAATATCTCGAGATCAGCTTACTCCAGCGGATTACCACAAAAGTATTTTTTTTGCTTGAAAATTTTCAGAAAAATATTTTCTCAACGAATAAAGTGAGTAACTACACTGAGAAAAAATTTATGGTTATTCTAAACCATAACAAGTGCAATTGGTAAGCAACCTTCAATGGCCACAGTGAAAAATGCCCGTATTCGTGTTTCGCATCCAAAAACCCCGAACATAAAATTTTGTTAGATTCTGAGGAATTCGATTTTTACTCTTCAACTTTACCACCTTGTATCTCGGAAACGAAGCAACTGAGGTAAGTTGCTTTAAATCGGCTCATTTTGACCTCAGAAATATGTGCTGAGATTTTGTACAGTCATTTCAGGGACATCCTGTCTACATAATATATTATACAGGGTGTCCCATGAGTCATGGATCAAAAGACGTGTGGTGGTACGGGGATGGACATCAAACTGACCGTATATGTTATAATTCAATTATTGGTGTTTCAAAAGTTTTATTCTTCTAAAAACGAAAACAATTACAATAAATCTATCACATTTGTGATTTTTTCTTCTAAGATTTTTTTCCGCATGGATGCAGCTTTACCCAGAAATAATTTCATGACCTGTGTTATTTCGTATCAATGACCTATGAAAAATGTTATTATCCATGAGTTTTATCAGTTGATTTTTAAATACCGCGGTTTTTTGTCTCCCTCCGCTATGCGTCGACAAAACCTCGAGCTTGAATCTACTACTTTTTCCTTATTTAATAAATTACTATATTCATCTTTGCCATGAAATAATTTCTGTGATTTGTGATTTTGGATAAATACTAGGTCTTTCAGTGTAACTGCCAAGATATACAGGGTTGCCAATGCTTTATCCAAAATTCTAATGTTCAATCAACAACAAGACAAAATTACATCGGTGAGCCATAAGAGGGAGATAGAGTGAAGAGCTTACTAACAAGCGAATCGTATACAGCTCCAACTCTAATAGTTTTTTTTTTTAATTATGTATGTATATAAAATCGAATACTAGTCGTGGCTCAAATCTGAATATTTTATATCAGCTATAATCAAGACTGACGTTTTTCTTCATATTTGTTATGTAACAATGATAATATGTGAAGCTAAACACACTGTTTTTCAATACTCTAGTAGTAGGTATACTACATCTAAATGTGAGGATTGAAGATGGTTGAGGTCGAGTCGAGTATGATAAGACATTCTTACTCACTTGTCTCCTATGTACAATATTCTTCCGGGCTTTTTTACATGGAATTTTTCTGTCACCAAATCAACGTAGTGTATTGAGGGTTTGGCCATTTGGATAGGTTCTCTACCACTAATTTCTTTCAAGCACATGTAAAAATAGTAATTCCCTGAAAGAATACATAATTGATTTTTCTACTCGCGAATGATCTACTTTGCTTGTCTATTTTTCTTAACTTTTACCGAACTCTCATCATGACCAGTATTTTGTCTGTAGTCAGAATCGCAAAATGTGGTAGCTGACAACAATTGAAGACCTCTTTTTCCAGTTTTCCACATGGAAACTGATGATGCTTATAGCCATGAAAGAAATCGAATCGCAAGTGAAATATTCAATAAATTTTGAAAAATACAGGATGTCCCGAAATTGCTGGGACAGAGCTACCACGTGTGATAAAGATCAAAATAAGTTGATTGGACCCAATTTATTTTTATACCAAAATGTACCGTTTATCCGTGAGAAGAGTTCTAAGTTTACCTAATAAAAAATACAGATGCATTTCAATTTTTAACTCCTAGTTAACCTTTGTATTGATGAAGGTGGCAGTAATATTGAATACCTATTTATCATAAAAATCGTTTTGACTTTGTTTCCATTGTCAACTAAATTTTGAATTACAATGTTATTAAACTTGTACTGGGAGTATCTGCTAGCATTATTAGATAAAATATGTTCTTCTGTGACGAAATTTCATCTCTGTTGACAGGTTATGAAATGTCACTTTTCATTTTTCCCGGATATATCACATACACTGTTGGTGGCTTCTGTTATGCTATAGTTCCGAAAAATAAGTCAATAATACCGTCTCCGAGAAAGAACTGCAAGTCCTTTTATCTCCCATTCGACTTCGCGGTTACGTACATTACTGAACAACCACTAGATTCGCAATTTTTGAAAATAAAATCATATAATAAGAATGACAGATATTTGATTACTTCAAAAGAATCATAAAGATGTCTGCAAAAAGATGCCTACAACGCAGGTGTCATTCCTGTTAAAATCTTCAAATTTCACGTGGATAATTTTATGATTTTAATACCTATAATGTAATATCTCCTCGATATTGATTCGTTATTTTTTTTCTGTCACAAAAAAAATAGTATATTATACACGTAATAATATCAGATTTTAGCTCACGGTAACTCATGGTTACTCGGAGTGGAGTGGTGAAGTAGACATACAAATAATATAGTTAATAACAGAGCAAACAGGGAAATATTCTCCATGATTGTCTCTGTAAACTGATATAAATTTATTATGTTATAACTTATTTGAACGGTTAAGGGTCGGGTTCATATTTTACAAGAGCCCACGTGCCCTTGAATTACCGATAGGTGATAATCAAACTGAAAAGTTTGAGGCATCAAAATTATCCTGATAAAGTCTTTGTCATTTGTTGATATTTTCGATTCCTTACCAACTAAGGGACCCTCATTTCCAAATGGAGTTGACTTCTCCGCCCCACCAATCATAAAGAGGCAATCTTTTCTCTTCAGGTATGTCAAACTTTTTTGCAACTTCAGTATAGTCAAATTAATGTCGTAATCGAATACCACCGCTCCAACTTTTTCATCGTCCGCCATATTAGATAGTAGATTTGGTATCGTTTCCTCCATAAATTGAGGCTGAAAGAAATAGCATCTCGAATGACATTCTATTCAGATACTCAGATATTGTGAAAATGAAGAAATCTTTTCATTATCTGCAAACTATTTGGACGTTCTTATGCAAAAAGGAACCAAGCCACATGATCGTCGAAACGGAGTACTATGCCGAGATTCGCAGAAACAGAAATGGGACTCGAATCTAGTACGTATGCATGTGGTGAAAAAAATGTAATATACACCTTGGTAGTAAAGAATATCATAACCAAGAGACCTTATAACACTCGGCTGAAGCCTCGGGATATAATCTTGGTCCCTGGGTGATAATGATATTATTTACTGCCTTGATGTATAAATAACTATTGTAAGGCCAGGGCCAGGCCACTTTCGATCACAGTTTTGGAGTTGATATGATTCATTATCACATATGGTAGGCGAAAATTGTATATTGTGTCATAAGGACAAAAAATGAGCTTCAGCAGCCCGCGGCTATTAGCTGTTGAAGTTGGTAGCTAAGGGCAAACCACGATATTGCAGATGCACTGGTCTTTGGTCAGTAAGCAAAGAAAAGGTATATTTCCTCCCTTGATATATAAATAGCTATTGTCTGTGTACTTACGGGATCAGGCGCCAATTTGAAACCGGACCTTTTCAGTTCGTCTTTAAATTCGGCAGTTCCAATGGCGAATATCTCTTTGTCGAATTTGATTTTCTTCAGATGAAGAATCATCGCCAACAACGGATTGACTATGTCGTCGAGCTCAGCTGAGACTTTGATTTCTCTGAGCAAGCGGTACAGTTCTGCTGTGCTACTGGCTCCGTAATTGGTGATAAAAGTGACTTTTTTGCCGATTTCCTTCAAAGTGTCGACACACTCGGGAGCTCCCGGTATAGCCTTGCATGCCAGCCAAATCACCCCTTCAACATGACACATGTTTGCAAGATTGATCTCAAATAAGGAAAAAACTATCTAATAACCCGGCATCACCCAGGTGGGTGGGGTCTCAGATGGCCAGACAAATTTTGAATCATTGGCATTTCAATTTGAATGCTCGCACGTTTCTATGGTTGCCTATAGCTTCCCAAAACACTTCATTCTGTGATATTCTGGTGCAAATTAATTCTTGAGTTAGCTAACAAGATAATGACAGTGCAGTAAACAGCTTTGGGGTCTGAGAAGATATACATTTTATTCCAAGAGATACATGCAAATTTCCATAAGAAAATGGATCATTTTTGTTTTTTCCATATACTCCATGCTATACTTTCTAGCTGATAACTTGAACATTTTGATGTAGTATATTTTTTTCAAAGATATCATGTTTTTTTTTCGTGAGAATTTCGCCATTCATATGTCTTTGATAATATCTCATGAATTAAACATTATAAAAAGTTTCTGTTTATTATCATGAAGTGAATACATCTAAAAACTCATTTCACATACAAATCTGGAAATATTCCTAATGGTTATTTTTTTTTTCTTGTTTATATAATTATGGAGTACATCAGACCCCACCTGGGTGATAATGTACAGTATTTCCACCTGGGTGACGCCGGGTTGACAAGGGTCTAGAAACGCAATTTTCTGAGGATATGAAAAAGAGGTCAACGTTTAATGTTCCAAAAAAACTAGCGTTCCAGAAAATCGTGTATTATTTGATCCAACCAAAATGTTCGGCGATCATATTAACATCGGTATTTGTGGATAATTAATTGAATTCACAAAATGCCGAATATGAACAAATGATAACCTCATATGTGTATAGTGGAAGTTGGAATTTTGGGGGTTCTTATACTGCCGAGTGTGAACAAATGAGACACAAGAAACATATGTTGTGGGCTCCCGGTTTCGTATCGTATCAGTTCAAAAATGATGACGTAACTTTTGCTACATGTCAAAAGTTGAAGTTTGTTAAAATTAATCGCTGAAAATAGTTTTATTTGTTCGAATTTCAAAAAAGTACTTCGACGAAATTGTCCTAAACTTTAGTTAAATACGTAGTGGCATCATTTCAGTACTGGAAAAAATAAATTTAATTAAATTTGATGCGGGAACTATTATTTGTGTGTAGATCTATGAAGAATCAATATTCATTATATAAAGGGTGTGAAAATTCTGGTTATTTTTTTCTGACGAAATTTTGAGAGAAAATCACATTTTTGTCGATAATTAATGATTATAGTGATTGAAAGTCAGTGGCATGATTGAGCTTTTAGAATGAAATAGTTTTGTGAGTACTTAATCAAATATAGTAGTTCACCTAACAAGTGCGAAAAGTCACTTGACGAACGTGTTAGGTATACTATTTTTATTTAAAAAAAAATTTCGTCGATAATACCCTGTTGAATGTAATGTTACACTATCGAGTTAGAATTGAAGCCAAACTTTAGCCTCATCGTTATTCAACATTTCTTTTTTGGATCCACTCCATTATCTTTCCTATATCCCGAGAAACACCATTTCAAATAAGCGTAACAAGATTTCATGGAAAATTAAAATCCAAATCAAATATCGGAAAAACCAAACAGAATGCGAAGTCACCAGTTGAACAGAAGGGTCAGTAGCTAGTATTTCGGCCTCGGGCACGAAAAACTTCTTGGCAAAGACGGCCCAATCTAATGTTGGTCTTCCCAAATTTGAATATTGAGTCTCTGCCGTACGATTTCCAAAGTATTCAAGTAACGTTCCTCTTGTAATCTTGTCCCAAAAATGTCCCAGAGATTCTCAATGGGATTTAAATCTGGGCTTCGTGCTCGCCATGCCATGGTATAGCAATACAGACTTCCTCTAGATAATTTCTCACAACTAGGGCGACGTGAGGCCTTGCATCATCTTGCATCAACAAGAAACCTCACACTATATTATATCACCGATAGGTGCCTTTGAGCTGTAAGGCTTTCTTTGATGTTCTCAATTTTCATGCGACCAATCAAAATGTATGCTACTTTCGTGCTTATAATGCCAATAGAATTCAATAAAATCATGTTATGCTCTAAATTTGTGTTTCTGAAGAAATAGGAAAGATAATGGAGTGAATCCAAGAACAGGAATGTTGAAAAAAGACGAGGCTTATGTGTACTTTCAATTTCGACTTGAGAACGTAACTGTTACACACTCCACAGGGTATTACAAATTTCATGAAAAAACAGGCTATAATGGGGAAGACCACTGATTTTTTGAAACGACATTATCGTGAACTCTATACTGAAAAACTACCAGTGAACTAATTTTGAATTTTTTCATTGATGCTAAGACGATGAAAAAAATAAATCAGTATATGTCCATTTCAAAACACACAATTCCTGCGCCATTTGAAATTTCATCAATTCATTGGTGTGACTGGTGCGACGTCTTAGTCCCAACACGCCTATTGTCCTTGAACTGACCAATTACACTGCAACACTGCAGAATGACGAAGTATCAGAGAGAGATAGCTACAGTTCGGGACTAATACGTCACGACTCCACCATCATATTTGGCTGTTTGAAATATCGAATGAAATATGCTGATTTCAAAACGATATAGATTCGATTCCCTTCAACTTCAACTCATAATATTGATTGTACATAAAATGTCAATCATGATTCGTCGATTGAAAGAGGTTTGCACGGATTTTTTCCCTCAGTGGTCTTCCCCAAAAATAACCTGTCATTTGAAACAATAAACTTCCAAATCGGACAAGTAGTTTTGACAAAATTGTTTCCTAAACTTTTGGCTACTTTTTGGTGGTGTGCTAATTTCTTGGAGAAGTGTATATTTTAATTTGAATAGGGTGCCAGAACAAATGGACAAGTAGTATCAAAGAGGAGGTGTTCCTGGCCTATTTTGCAGATTTACAAAAAACACATGCATCAGCCAAATACTTTATGAAGTAAGTAGTTTCCTATACTCTATGTTGAGTTAAAACGAACTTGAATTTGAGTCAATGTGTTATGAATATAACTACAATATTAACAAATTCACTTTTCTGCACCAAAATGAGTGCGGAAAAGTCACTCTTTCAACACTAAAATGAGTACGAAAAAATGGACTTCTTCGGACGATAGTAGGAAACAACTTTTTAGTGATTTAGGCCTCCCTTGACTCGCACCAGTTATAGCACTGACAATTTCGGACCCCGGCAATGAAGATCCTCGTTATAACGCAAACCTACCTACTTATTTCCATGTTCTCAAACTCGATACCTATTCTGATATTATTTATCAATACTCACCATCTATATCACAAAAAACATGATCGAATGATTTTATGAATTTTGTTTGTTCTGTTATTGAAACTTTCGCTAGATTTTGCAACATTTTCGCTTCATTTGAACAACAGAAACAACAATATAAGCATATAACAACATTATATGTATATCTCAAAAGCTTAGAAAGAAAGATAATTCTTTTATATACATTTAAATCTATGTGCATGAATATTTGCACAGAATGTTTGTCAGGGTCGTATTTTATGTCTCATATAGGCAAACAAAATTATCCACTTTTCAGATCATCAGAAAGTGTAAGTAAATATATATTTTCAACAGACAATTGAATTCATGCATTTATAAAAAATCCAATAAGCCGCTATATGATATTGTCATTATAAGAATGAAAAAATGTGCCTTTTGAGAGCATGACAACCCAAATTGTAAACAAATTTTTGTTGGAACCATGTCCATTTTTCTCAAACTTGCGTTGTCAGAAAAATAATCTAATCTGTGCAATGTCTCGAAGCAGTATTGTGCAGTGGAGGAATTGACAAAGCCATCAAAAATATTGTTCTTCGCAGGCAATACTGTGAATTCAATTTGGTTACAATTTGTTCACGGATTCATTAAACTGTCTTACCAATTAGACTCAAACTTTTTTTGGGGTTGAAGTAAAATTGACATTTATAATTCGAGTTTTGTTGCCTTTAGGAAATTTAACTCAAAATACTGCCAGAAAAATTACTCGTAGTTTTTCCAGGGGCAGTTTTTTTCGTTAAATTGCCAGCACAAACCAAATTCTCATTGAAATTTCAAGTTTACTTCGACAACAAAAAGCTCTCGTGTAATTATCTAAGGTGAAAATTTAATTTTTTTCGAGATAAATTTATGACAATCGAATGAGAGCTGTTACCAAGCATAACATTTGTGATGAAATTATGAGGCATTTGCCCATGTCCGAGGGATATTCGGCGGAAAATAATTTGAAGTTGTCAAAGTCGATCGTGTTGTCATTTTCTTTTTTGTTCATCGAGATGGTTGAAATCCTTTATGGACACCATATGGGTCTGATCCCCCATATGATAGTGTGGGAGTCACCTGACTCCAGGAATACCCACCAAACACTCCACCCCGTTTGTAGGCTCGTCTGACCGAAGTCTCTGACGACACTTAGGCCTAGTGGCCCATTGTATCTTACCTACATGCCGTTATCAATTTTACCATACGACTCCTGCTGCTTATTAAGGGCAACTTCAATATAGACCCTTTTCGTTCAGGTTCCTGAAGATTACTCTTCCGATCCCTGTTCTCGTCTACGAAGAAGGAAGTTCTCCTTCTCCTACGAGTTACGGGGGAAGGGGTTGGTCCAGTCCTGTGGCGCCCCCTGCACAGGGCTAAGGCTACTTACTCTGAGATGTCGCCCTGTTTCCCAGAGGCCCCGTTAGCGACACCATACCTTGGTGCCATTCATCACTCACCACGGGTTCGCACAGCTTGGATTAGGTTGCCAGAGCCTCGTTGACCAGTCCTCGGCCACCTAGACAGACATCAGCAAATCGCCCCATCCCTGCCACAGATGTCCACAAATTGTCCCATCTGGCCCGGAGATAGCAAAGATGGACCCAAAATGCTTCATCCGTCAAGCGGCCGCGGTCTGTCCTCCTCACACCACTTGATGGTGAGGTTGGGCTTGAAGGGGAGGAGGAAAAGAGAAGTTGGCCAAGAAAGGCCGATAGATAGATTGAAAAAGGAAGAGAGAAGAGGATGTCACCCAAGACAAGTTGAAGTATGGTGAATATCCGGCTAGGGTACCTCGGGTTCACCATTCCCGTACTCACAAGTTGTGAGCCCCTGAGTAGATCGTGTTGTCATAGTAATTGATAATTGCATTGAAGGTTAGTTCACGAGGAGGAAAGAACAAAGTCGCCTCCACAATAATTTTAGTATCATTATCAAATTACTTATTCTTCAGCGTACATGTTTCGAGATTAAATAGGCCCATCTTCAGCAAAATAGAAATAAAATTCTACAACAATATAACGTTAGTTATTTGCAGATTTTTACAAAAGTAGAACTACTAACATGGGTATAGGAAAAAATAATATACCTAAGTATAATGGAATGAATGGAAATGTTTATCATGATTTTCGTTCTATATTTTGTGAAAAAGGAAGGAGGAGTGAATTGTGCCGCATTGTACCTAATCTATACTCTAGAATGCAGTATAAACCTTTATTTGTATTGAAAAACATTTCATAGTATACAGCTTCGTGCTTATCTGCTTATTCAATAAAACAGAGATTTATGGTTGAGATGAACATTTTTTCTTGTATTGATAGGTGGTTTTGTTTTCAAGAAATTCGTGAGTAGGTACTGACCTGTTGGATTTCCATGATATTATATGAGTTAAAAACAGGATGTTTTGTAGTTATGGCCCTGTCAAACCGCTGAAAACTTAGCCTTATCCTTCAATACAGATATTGTTAAAAAACAATAGGTATAAACATAATGCCTGAACATACAGCTTATTTCGCATAGAAACAAATAGCTGATAATCGGTATATGGTGCAAATTGACTCTTCAACTGCAAAATGCAAAGATTTGTTGATGATTTAAAATAATCCTATTCTGATGGTAAAATTGTCCTGCTGTTATCTTATTCACATAATTATTATTACCAATGTAATAATTATCCAACATCATTTCTATTTTTATGTCAACGTGTAAATGAACTGTTGCTAACTCATGCATGGTGCTTCATTCAGGGGCGGACAGCCCATGTAGGGCGGAAGGCGTATTGCGAAAAGGGTAGTCAATTGGTCACCAAGACGTAATAAGGTAATATGAGGAAGGAAAATATAATTTCTGTATGAAAAAGGATACTACTTGACCTAACTCTGACTAAACTAACCTTTTTCCTAAAAATTATATTGCTCGAGAAATTACTACAGTGAAAAAAAATAGTTATTCATACACCAAGGTAGTAAAGAATATCATTATTACCCAGGGTCAAGATTATATCCCGAAGCTTCCAAGCCAAGGGGTATAAGGTCCGTGATACTAAAATTCTTTACTACAAGGTATATTTCAATTTTTTGTCACCACTAGCAAAATATTTCAATCATTATAGTTCTGTGATACTTGAAATATGGGCACTATGTCACTCTGAAACCACTCCTTTTCAATCCTAATTCAAATCAAGTAACCATGACCATGACAGCATATGACAAGTCGTTATTGATAAGTACCTACCCCAATAACACACTTATGTCAGGACGTCCATAGGACGTTCGAATTTGGTACCGTGGACGTCCATTGGACGTCTGTGGGACGCACAAATGTCCCACTTGAGGACCAACTAGGGACGTTCTTGAGGGATGTCCCTGGGACGACTATCGAATACCTAAATCCATAGGACAACCTATCAGCAACCATGAGGGATATCAATTGGATGTCCATGGGATGTCCCAGGGACGTACGAATTATTCTTTAATTCAAATTATTTGGGTCCTTGATCCGTAGAAGGTCCCCAAAAAGTGATCCTAGGATGTCCAATGAGCTTACGTGAAGGACATTGGCGAGGAGTACTTATAGCCTTCGAGCAATCATTCGTCGGTGAGGTGTAAGTTAACGTCCTCGCAGGGACAACATATTGAAAGTACCGAATGGGACGTCCATTGGACGTCATTTCTGTGACATGGAAAGAGTACAGTTCATGTACCAATCGGGACATCCGAGGGACATTATATAAAATCTGAAGTCATGCCAGAATATGTACTACTCGGGACATCCGATGAATGTCCCTAAAGGAACGTTCAAAATCATATCCCATTAGGGACATGCGCAGGACGTCCTTGCATGGACATTCTACAATATGTACCACGTGGGACGTCTAAGGGATTCTATTTCTATAGGACATTTGAAATGATGTACCAGCTGAAACATTCCGTGGACGTCCTTGCTCGGACATTGCATGAGATGTACGGGATGGGACGTCCCAGGACACTTATTTTTGGTTCGGGATATTCGGACGTGAATTGTACCAAATAGGGACGTCCCTAGGACGTTGTGTGCTATTAGGGTACTTACTAGATTCGAATGAAATAAAAAATACACAAATCTTTATTATTATTATGCACCTTCCTCTCTGATTTTTCACAATGAACCAATTTTACAAGTTTTTTATCTCGGTTTCAATGAAACACATAACGATGAAGGAACCATGCTATACTGAATAAAATAAATAATGAATAAATATTTTATTGATCCATTCAGACATCCACAGAATGTATAGAACAAGTCGAGATATATAGAACATACAAAAAACAAATACATCAATTACAAATAATAGTGATATTATACAGGGTGTTCCTTAATGATATGCTAATATTCAAGGAGCCGATTCTTCGACCCATTTCAAGAATAAAACTTCATATGAACATATGTCGTAAACGTCCTAACTTTTGAGAATGTTGAAAATATGCATAGATTATTTTTTGTCCACCCTGTATAGCTTTTCGTGATGGCAAAATTCAGTCTGCTATGTGACTGAATCGGTATACAAATTTCAAAATGTTACATAAGGTGGTTATCCAGTAATGGATGTCCCCAGGGATGTCCTGAATGGAGTACTTAAACATCAAAATTTGAAGTCTGGTCTTGTTTTTCCGTTTTTTCTCGAAAACGAAGCGTTCTATCGAGTATCAACAAGAGGATCATTCTTATACATAGTTAAATAGCCTTTTATAGCATTGTAGGAAATTTGAAAATTTTTCGTCGTTGCTCATTTTCAAGTAAAATATGAACAATAATGTTTCCATAACAGTGCCACTGGTAGAGAAAATGAAAATTTTCGTGCATCAGAAAAAGCACCTCGATGCATAGAAGACGTGAACCAAATTTCATACAGATGTATACAATATTGTCTTGGTTATCATGGGAAAACTGAATATTTTTCAAAACTTCATCACCCTGTATCTCAAAAGTTGAGACTTTTAGGACATACGTTTATATGAAGTTTTCTTCTTAACATGAGTCAGAGAATCACCCCCTCAAATATTAGCATGTCTTTAAGGAACACCCTGTATATAAAATATTTCATCAGAGGTACAAAAACATGTAAATTTCAGCTTATATACAGTGTGTCCCACTTACCATGCTCACCATGGGTATCTTTTTAACGGTGAGAGATACGAAGGTCGGTTTAAAGGACACCAAATGTGGAGTTTGTCAAGGCCAACTATAATGTGAAAAAATATTTTGATAAAATCTATTCGTTTTTGTTTTATACGCAAAAAACCGATTCTGATCATTTTCATGTCTCCTCCGTAACTTCTTTATTTATGAAAATATTCAAATAGAAACTCCACATTCTCATGGCAGTTTTTCGAAGTGATTTCGAAAAAAATATGAAATTTATACCAACTCTTCTAGAATTTGAGATATCAGCACCAACTACAGTTTTTCAAATGTAGGTCATAGTTCACTATGACTTAGTTATAAATAACTTTTTTTCTCTTACAGATGATGTGTCGCAGTAATAGTTTTGTGTTGATAACAACGGAGTTATATATCGTCATTTATACAAAAACAAAACATTATTTGGAAGCCGCTATCTTGAATTTATAAATTTTAACGAAGAAATCATGATCTCCGATCTCGAGAACCCCCACTTACCAATTTTGAACGGAATCGAACCAAATCTTGTCCGCCATCTTGGAGCAGCCATTTTTTTTTAATTCAACAAAAATTCCATAATGTATTGTCACCGAAATTATGAACACCTGCCAAATTTCAAGTTAATCGGACGACCAGAAGTGACAATACATTATTCCATTCATAATTGGTAAGTGGGGGTTTTTGAGGTCGGAGATCATGATTTTTTCGTTAAAATTTATAAATTCGAGACAGCGGCATCCAAATAATTTTTTGTTTTTGTATAAATGACGATAACTCCGTTGTTATAAACACAAAACTATTACTGCGGCACATCATCTGTAAGAGAAAAAAAAGTTATTTGTAACTAAGTCATAGTGGGCTATGACCTACATTTGAAAAACTGTAGTTGGTGCTGATATCTCAAATTCTAGAAAAGTTGGTATAAATTTCATATTTTTTTCGAAATCACTTCAAAAAACTGCCATGAAAATGTGAAATTCCTATTTGAATATTTTCATAAATAAAGAAGTTGCGGAGGAGACATGAAAATGATCAAAATCTGTTTTTTGCGTATAAAACAAAAACGAATAGATTTTATCAAAATATTTTCTCACATTATAGTTGGCCTTGACAAACTCCACATTTGGTGTCATTTAAGCGACCTCGTATCTCTCACCGTTAAAAAGATACCCATGGTGAGCATGGTAAGTGGGACACACTGTATATATTTCAATTAGGAAGCAAATAACAGAATTTTCTAAAAAGTACGAATTGGCGCCCTCAGCCATTTCAAAATATCAACGATATAACGCGGACAGTATAATAATACTGATGAGTTATTTATTATTTGACAGCGACCATTAACTATGGCTGTGTCAAGTCTGTGGTTTGACCGGGCACATACGTTCAGTTTGAAGTCTGACTATCAGTCTGACCAATCAGCTGTTTGGGCATACCGGTCACGTTTCAAACCTGCCCACACAGTTACCACGTTAACTTTTGATGGGAGTCGAGTCAAACATTGACCATTCTGGTATCACCATTGTGGTTGAACGACTGACTTGACACAGCCTGTATTATATATTTTTTACCTCCGAACCCAACCTGTGAAGTTTGGAACCCCCATGGGGATGCTATGGTGCGTTTCGGTGTTTTACACACAAACCACACTTACTGTTATTATACACATTATATTCATGGTAATACAGAAACAAAACGAAATCAGCTATCTAGTAACATCTGTGATAAGTTTAACTTGAAGTTACTTAAGTAGGTATTGGAAAAAAAACATAAACAATTTTCAATATAACATTTATTTTCGTATATGTATACATACAATCTACAAAATAATTGCAGGAAAATTTAAAATAGTCAGGTTTTTCTCTCCATATGAGGGTTTCTTCCATTTTATCATCTAGTAGAGCCCACTCAATTTAAAATCGTGATAGTATTTCAACTTTTCCCAATGTAAACAGTGTCGTCCACTGATATGAGACCGGTTCTGTAAATTTCCACTAGTATTCCCATAACTGGTGCTTTTTCGGGTCCTGCACTCATTCGATAACTGAAAATAAACAGACTGGATAATATTGGTGCACCACTGAATTTTATTTCAAGTGGACTAAAAATATATGGAACGTCGAATTAATGTCATTGTTTTTCTATTTCTTGGATTCCGGAGGGAGAGAGACATGTCACAAAATAAGCATTTTACATGCTTTGGTGCTACCTCTTTCCTTCATCTGTGGCATAAACCATTGACAACATTTTGTAAAAATATTTGTACGATACTTAGACTGAATAAACTGAAACTGTGAACTTATTAGGAAATGACCATTTTTCGCAAACAGAAATCGTGAATACATAATTCCCTTCATTTTTGAACACCCAAGAATAATGATAATTATACCCAAATCCTAACAGAGTTCTATTTATTCAGGTTTTTGTAGTGTAGGCTTATTTATAAATCTGTTTAGTACATTGATCTCCAGAAGCTATATTAGCCAATGGAGTAAGGTGCGTGCCTGATAAGCTAAAGGTCCCGGGTTCCATCCCTACTCGACCTACTTTTTTTTTTCTTTTATCGAAGGGATGTCCCTGGAATATCCCAGGAATATCCTTTCTTCGTACTTGGTACATCCCTGCGACGTACCAGAAGGACATCCCTTGGATGTCTGAAAGCGGATGTCCCTGGGACGTCACTAGTATGTACTTTGTCCCGACAATGACTTAGTATAAAATCAGTCGTCCTTGGGGTATCATCATGAATATCGCTCGACCTACTTTCTCATGGACCTCAGGGGTTCCCCATCCCCCCTTCGCACCCCCGTCTCCATGTCGACGGTGGTCATGGAACACCGCATGCACTCCGCCACGTTCCTCATGACGATGTTGCCCACCCTCAGCCACTCCCATTGGTCCTCCGCGAAGGGTGCCATGGACACCCCGTCGAGCACCAGGTTGGGCCGGAAGCTGTCTTCGCTGACAGGCTCGGAGCCTATTCTTCGGTTGACCTCCGACAAGGAGGGTCGCGTGAGGATCAAGACGGCGGTCAAGTCCGCGTTCAGACCCTGCAAAAAATGGATCCTACATTTTTTTTTCTATTTTGAACCGTCATATCTCCAGTAACACCAGTATTTTCTCGTTTTTGATTTCTCTCAAGGCTTTAGAAGCTCATGCCTTTGAGTCTTGCACCAGTATTTTCCCGTTATCTCACCGTTACGAAATGATGACCTACTGTGAGTATCAAGATGGCTCTCAAATTCGTGTTCAGACCCTGCAAAAAATGAATCCTACAAATGTTTGATATTTTCGAATCGTCATAAATTCGGATTGGATTAACCAATTTTCAATTTCTCCCAAAACTCAAGACGCTCATTCCATTATGGTTAACATCAGAATTTTCTCGTTTTTCTACCGTTTTCAAATGATGATTTACAGTGAGTATCAAGATGGCGGTCAAATCCGCGTTCACACCGTGCAAAAAATGGATCCTACAAATGTTTGTTATTGTCGAAGCGTCATAACTTTGGGTTGGAATAACCCAATTTTCGATTTCTCTCAAGGCTTTAGAAGCTCATGCCTTTGAGTCTTGCACCAGTATTCTTCCGTTATCTCACCGTTACGAAATGATGACCTACTATGAGTATCAAGCTGGCTCTCAAATCCGTGTTCAGACCCTGCAAAAAATGAATACTACAAATGTTTGATATTTTCGAATCGTCATAACTTTGGATTGGATCAACCAATTTTCAATTTCTCTCAAGACTCAAGACGCTCATTTCATTGGTTAACACCAGAATTTTCTCGTCAATCTACCGTTTTTAAATTATTATTCACATCAAGTGAGTATCAAGATGGCGGTCAAATACGCGTTCCAACCCTGCAAGAAATGAATCCAACAAATGTCATTTTCGAACCGTCATGAGTTTGGATTGTAATGAGCAAATATTAATTTCTCTCAAGACTTTAGAAGCTCATTTCATTGAGTATAGCACCAGTATTTTTCCGTTATTTCACCGTTACCAAAGATGACCTACAGTGTCGAGTATCAAGATGGCGGTCAAATCCGCGTTCAAACCCTGCAAAAAATGGATCCTACAAATGTTTGTTATTTTCGAAGCGTCATAACTTTGGATTGACATAACCAATTTTCGATTTCTCTCAAGGCTTCAGAAGCTTATTTCATTGAGTATAACACCAGTATTCTCCCGTTATTTCATCGATGACTTTTTTGTCAGTGTAATTTTGCACTTTATTTGTCGAGAAAACAATTTTTTGAACATTTTTAAGCAAAAAGTTACTCTTGTGATAATCCGCTAAAGTAAGCGGATCTCGAGATATTTCGATATTTAGTGTTAGATGCAGCATCAGAATATACAAATCATTTTGAATAAATGATGTTTGCTGCTATATCCACGTGAATTTCAGATTTTAATTTTTGAATTCTGATTGTGTGTATTGAATAGATTCAATGTTCGTCGTGGCATATATAGCCAGAAAAGTAGTTATTTTCCATTGAATACACCGAGAAACAAAACATATTCTTATATATCTGAGAATATTTCTATTCAAGAGACCCTACTTTTTTTCATTTTCGAACAGTCATAACTACTCGCATAACTCTGGATTGGATTAACCAATCTCCAATAATTTCATTCGAGACCACAAAAGCTCACTAAGCCGATCCATTAGCGCACCCTGAAGGGGGGCACAGCCCCCCTCCCAAACTTCGAAGAAATAAATGTGCCATGAAAGCTTCTCTTCCTAGATTTGGCCCAGTCACAGTTCATCATCTCATTGTTCTCAGCAGAGAAACTTCTCGGATAGTGTTTTCCTTTATCTAGAATCCTTCAATTTGAGAATTCAGATCTTGCGTGTACGATGGATGAAGCCGATGAAACCGAATCTGTCTTCCTATACTTACAGTTGATTCGTTTCTAAGCCCTCTCTTGTAGTAGTCAATTTTATCCTTGTATAGGTGGTTGATCTGAGTCCTTTCGAAGGTACCATCGTGGTACCCCAAACGCAACCCTGCGTCATTTCCTAACACGTAATTGGAGATCCATTTGGCTGCATTATCACCGCAGTCTATCGTGGAAACTTCTTCGTCTCTCCAGTGCCTATAATATAAGTTATCCGGGTGTAATTTAATTGATGGCTAAAATTATAGGATATGTTTATTCAGCTCATTTCAAGAAAAAAAGTTCTTTAAATATATTCCCTAAACCTCTTTACTTTCGAGCACTACATTTTAAGAAAAAATGTCTTTCTTAACAAAACTTCAATGATGTTCTAGACATTTTCATGAAATTTTACATGCACCTACCAAGCACCAATAAGCATTTTTTGGAACAAGATATTTTTCAATATTTCTACCAGTGGTGTCTGAATGAGGTGTGTACTGGAAATTATTCTAAAAAATATTGTACGCCCTTGTTTTTTTCCGCGTGAAAAAATTAAAACCATTGTCATGCATTTGTGGTATAACGAAAATTTTTTTAACTAGTAGGCTATAGGCATTATAGGGCCCCATTTTGTATTCAAAATAATGTCTTTCGATCGATTACGTTGCGGTCTTAATTTGACAAGTATTTATAAACGTGACAGTTCTTCACATTGTGGAAATTTGTTTACCTTATCAATAATAAAGGAGGAATACAATTTTAATACCCTGCAGCTCGAAAGTTAAGAGGATTAGGGCATATGTTTATATGAACTTCTTCTTCTGAAAATGAGCCAAGGAACCATTTCCTATATTTATTGTCATCAATTAAATCACACCCTGTAAATTATACAACTTTACCATTACTATCAGTATAGTGATTTTAAGATACCTATACTAAAGTATATGTTCCTCCAGACAGGTCCTAAAATGACCCATTTGATTTACATAGGGACTAAAGTGTACCGTTACTAAGTCAATTCACTATCTCTAAGTGAACAGAGAAAATAAATAATTGGTCTAATTGGTACTTTGGAAACCTAGTAACTCAAAACTAAAAGATCAAAAAAGAAATATCTCTCAATAAGGATTTGAAAATATTAGATTTTAGCTCACGGTTAGGAGCTGGAGCTAATATCTACTACTTTCTTCCCTTGTATGATAAATAACTATTTTTCTCATTGTCATGACAACGAAAGGTATACTGATGTCACATCACAAATTCAACCATTTCACATTATTCGTTATTATCATTCCTTGTGCCTTATGATAGATACTACTAGTATATCAACTTATACTATTTTCTGGTTACCTGGTGTTCTATGGAAGGTTTTTCAAAATACCATTAGTCCAATACGGAATGAGGCTTTTATAATGAAGCTTACTTAATGATGCGTTCGTTGTTTCGGCTTCTCGTGGGAATCTTCAGTACCAAATCAGGAACCCCGGGCGCTTTGAAGGCCACGCAATCGATGTCACGTGATTCCACTTCGATGAGCACCATCTTCGGGTGATGTCTGGCGTTTCGGTATTCGAAGTGTGTATGGTGAAATGCTAAAAACGACCTGGAAATCAATTTCATCAAAGGCATCACGTAAACATTCACTATATGAAATTGAATAATATTGATTGGGAATTTCAAGGAAGGGTGACATGATTCATAGCATTAATCCGAATTTCTAATGCATCAACATCAGCTTGGAGTTACAAGAGTTCCCAGTATCTAAATTGCCCTAGGGCGCTAATGTTCTAATTCACGGCGGCGGAACCGGGCGATAAAGTATCTCTTTGCGCCAGGGTTGGCATAGTAGAATCATTACGTATTTAATTTGCTGCCAGAGTTGGTAATAAGATAAAGATATTTGTCAGAGTTTGACATTTAGAACTGTTCTATCAAAGTATACCAGTAAATATGTGTATAATCGAGATTCGACGATTAGCACTATTTTTTGCAAAATACGTGAATTTGGTTGACTTGTTCTAGCTCCCCACTTGTTAGTCCTAGACTCACTGGATGTTATTAGTTTGATAAGAGTTCGGACACAGAAATGACAACGGTTAGGGTTTTTGAATGTTTAGATTTATTAAGTTACACACCTTGCATTGTGACAAGAGCACCATAGTCGTCCCGCGCTGTTTCATTCAGAATTGTTTGAATTTGACAATACATTTTATAAACGTCAGAATTGAAATAAAATTTCATAATTATACATTCGAGATAAAAGCAGCTATGGAAATTACTTGCTGTGTAATAGATTGTGCCAATTCTGAAAAAAAAGTGATATAATTTATTCAATTTTCCGAAACAAATATCAACCAGCCGCTTATGGAAGGAAGATATGAAATGGCCTGGGTGCAAAATCAATTTGAAGACGAGCAAAATTTCACTTTTCATAACAGCATCTGATCAGAATGAAACTATATTTCAGGCCCATTTTCAAACAGAATATTTCAAAATCTGTTTGTGAGAATCTGCTGTTCCATCAATTTACAAAGCAGGCGATTTCGAGAACAACATTCCATTATTATCATCACACAAAATACAAAACAAAACAATCATGGACAAGAGGAAATTATTGAAGTCGATGTTTGTACCCTATACCATTGTCCATCTACGGCTAGAAAATATAACCTCTAAAATCGTATCTGACAATCAGGCGCTACTAGGGAAATTGAAAAGACAAAGAGCAGAATATATGTCTTATTCTTTTATTCACTTAAACCATTGTATTATTGACCATTCCAGAACACGTGATTTTGACATGGTTCCTTGAGGGGCACACAAACTATCTGTTGGGTTACCTTTGATGTGCATAGCCCTAGGTTTCACCATGTTTCACCAAACAAAATTATGAAATTCTTTCTGGTTCCAACTCGGATTTCGAGGAATACGATCCCACTAAATCTGGTTTCATATGACAAATCTTGACAAAATACAATGTTTGCCCCTCAGCAACCTGTCAAATGACGTAATTCTGGAATGATTAATAGAAAATAGAAAAGGACAAAAGTTCAGCTGTGTCCGAACTCTTATCAAACTAATACCATCCAGTGACAGTTAGTTCTACATCCATGAGCACCAACAATAATATATCTACTTTAACTTTTTATAGGGTGGTCTTCTCGGTGAAATATAGTTTCCGAGCTACAGGCCAAAAACTGAGAAAAGTAAGAAAATTTCGCTGTTTCTTGCGAATATCTCGGAACACTTCTGGAAATTTTGTTTGAAAACTTCAGATTCAGAATCAGAAAACGTATGAAACCGCAGAGAAACAGAAACCGACTACTTGACTGTTTTCCACTACTATATGTATCAACAGTAATATTCATTGGTGCTTTGGGTAGTGATTCACACGAGACCAACGAGACGAGACTTTCATGAAGTCTCGTCTCGTCTCGCAGATGAAATATGAAGTCTCGTCTCGAGTCTCGTCTCGCAGCGTCCAGTCTCGTCTTGTCTCGCGTCTCGTACGAGAGTCTCGCAAATGTATCGCAATTTCGTCATGCATAATGTTCTTTCAGTCTAGTACGGGATATTTACCTTTACCTACTTTTTAGGTATAACGCAGAAGTAGGACGAGAAAATTAAAACAAAAATAACATTATTCATTGAAAAATAAGTACCTCATAGGTACTAAAAGGCGAAAGGCGATGCAACCGTGGCGTCGGCGGCCCGTCAAAACAAAGTTATTCTTAATCTTAGACTATCTAGCACAGAATGACTTACTTATTTATAGATAATCAGGTAGTCATTCAATATGCGATCTGTCGTTATTGCAGAATTGCCTAAATATTCCGCCGCCGTAAGAGAGAGAATAGTCCGTTTTTGTTTCACGCATTACGTCGTTTAACAACAATCATGGATTGTGTTTTTAAAGTATTTATGAATGAAATGTTTTGTCCATCTGTGCTAAATAGTCTGAATTTTTTCTAAATATGTTGTATTATGAATGAAAGTCCCAAGTCTGCAGTCGGCACGCAGAAATATCTACCTGCGAGACTCTCGCACGAGACACGAGAAGTCTTGCACGAGACTCGAGACGAGACCAATAAAAGTCTCGTCTCGTCTTGTCCGAGTCTCGTCTCGAGTCTTGTCTCGAAAACGAGACGAGACCATGCGAGACTCTCGAAAACGAGACTCTCGCGGGCACCACTAGCTTTGGGGGAATAAATTTCTGAAAAAAATCCATGGCAAATGTAAAATCTTCACAAACGATGAAATTTTCACAAAATTCTTTCTAGCGGAACATGTTGTGTGTTTAAGAATTTTGTGGAAATCTTATCGTTTGTGAAATTTTCACAAATGTTAAGTGTTTTTTGTATTATTTACCTTGTTATCGCTGTGTTCAGTGTTGACTGTTTTTGGAGTGCTTGCACTTACCTGTCGCGTAATCTCAGGGATTTGTTGAATTTTTCTGCCTCCATTAGACCCTGTTTGCTGCATTCTGCTTGCTGCAATTCGATTCTCCTTCCGCTCTTCATCGGATAAATGCACATTTTTGCGATCTTTCCTACCGCTTTCCATTCTGTGGGTATCTTGACCTTCTTGCTTGTTTTTTCGGATAACCAGGCATATAAAATCGTCCCCAGTGATACGACACCAACAAAAATTATAACACGATTGTCTATTGAATTTTTTACCATTTCCATTATATTGAAAATGTCTTCGAGAATAGGTAGATACTTCTTTCGAGAAGAGATTTTGAATACATATTCTGAACGTCATTCATCGAATCAGTGAACATAATATAAATTATATTATCGCATTTCATAGTATCATATCAATAACAGTTGATTATTTCTTGCAAAACACGAGATAAATTTGGCTAGTCAGTTTTTGTTTAAAGAAATACATATATACAATACGCATTCGATTCAATTAAGATGACAACAAAAATATGTTTCGGAACTAAACTTTTATATAGGTACCTATAATACTTGTTATATAATAACGTCCCTAAACCTCATTCTATTTTTTTGCGTTTCCAAAACATTTGCATCAATTGTTGAATTGGTGATATATAGTGTAAGTAGGTATATCTTATACCTAATATAAATTATATACCCACACAATGCATGCTTCTTAGTTCTTTCTGGTTTTCAGTGATTTGTTGCTTGACCTTGCCCGGCATTATTCATACTCCTCTGAAGTTCACCAACAATATCTGCAGCAACAAGATCCACCTACCCTCTTTGGCGTCGGATTTGGCCGATTTGGGATAATTTTCTGATGTGTCGTTACCACATTGTTTCCATGATTTATACCTCAGGCCAGTATCTTCGTCTCTTCCAACGACTTCTCTCTCTTTCTTCCTCTGCTTCTGCTATTTGTTGTCTCCATTTCTTGCGTGGTCTTCCTTTTTTCTTCTTTGTTATGTTCCGTACTCCTTGTATCTTATTTGTTATCAAAATCTAAACCTAACATATCAGGTGGGCACTTCGAAGGCGCTAATTCATTACTGCATGGGAGACAGCCCTCAGATTATTAGCTATTCAGTGACTTGACCACGAATGACATACCGGAAACGGCAGCCATTAGGGGATCTATTGTCGTCACTCTATTTAATCAATCACGTTAGTCCATACTAGTTCAAATCCCTCTTTTTCTTATGTAAGTTATTGTTTCAGCGTTGCTCTTATTGTTTTGTTACTTATTCTATTGTTCTGTCCAACTTTGGTTTCCCATCTATTCTTTTCAGGAATCTCATCCCCATTTCCCCTTGCATTTATCTTACTCTCGTGTTTCTTTTGTGAAGTCTAATCCCCACTGGAGTATGATGAGATCGGTATCTTCAGTTTTGTTTCTTGTGTCACGTCTCTATTCTTATTATCATATAATTGATGAGTAGTATCTTGTTTGATTTTCTTTCTCTATCGGACATTTCAAGTTTTACTTATTTTTCATATACTCGTTCTGGTTTTACAATTGAAAGAGATACTATCACTGCAGTGAGAAATATACAGGGTTGGGCATATGTGTGGAGACACCTAATTTCTGACTAAACCAGAAGTTTTTTTCCTCTCAAGACCTCCATGTAATTCTTTTTGTTCTATACTCAGTAGCCAATGTTGAGTTTTGGTAGCTATTGGTATTGGTAGGTTGGATGGTGACAGATGCGCTGCGACCTAATTAGATCTATTGTGCCCCATCTGCTTCTGCTATATAGCAGCACCTCGAGATTCAATTCCTTCAAGAATTTGAGGATTTTGAGGGGGTCTAGCTGTGCATGGTATTTCTTCCACAGTCAGCTGGTGTGTTCCCAGTGTGTTCAATCTTTTGTGATGTACAGCGTCACACTCCATCAGTATGTGATGGGGTGTTTCTGGTTCTTCCTCACAGAATCTGCAGGTGCCGTCCTCCTGTATAAGCCTAGCTTCCTTAGGTGTTCTTTGAGTCTGAAATGCCCCGTTAGAAATCCCGTTATTGCTAGTGGTAGCTATGATATTGTCGTAAATATGGAGCAGTCAACAGGTTTATTAAATGGACTGCTATTCTTATAGCTCACATTGATATGAAGTTTGGCGTGTCTGTGATTGATTGTTGTAGAAATATAATATGAAATCACAGCATACACCCTTACAGTAATTTCACTCAGTGTCGGAACGTTTGATGTTGGTGTCCACGAGTTTTTTTTGCCAGACCAGTACGCATACCACCACACACAGACTTGCTCGTTTCTGGCTTGGTCGAGCCAATGACAAGCCAATGACGACTCACTCGTCATCACTGGGGAATGCTGTGAAGTGCCTGAATTTTATGTGACCAGGTCCGGCTTCGAATAAACAAATAGCTTATATACCCACTACTATACCACTCGTGAAAACATTGAAATATTGATTGAAACATCAGGTTCTATACCACACTGTTTTTATACTATGATAATGAATAAATAATGTTAATGGATAACAAACAGATCACATATGTCTATTTCTCCTTAGCTGATCTTTTGGAAATCTGAGGAAACTTAAACTGCAAATCTGTCCTACTATTATTGCTCCAAAAGAAACAGTAGGCAGCCATTATCTTCTAATGATAAACAGCTCGATGAACAATTTCAATAAACGTGAAACGGATGACCAGAAGCTGTGAGACATCAGTGACCTCACATATAAAGTTTATGAAGCACAATAATTTTACCAGCAAATCAGGAATAAGTGGTTCACAAAACAATACTAGACACAATAAATAAATCGTGATACATCGTAGTTCCTATATCACAGAATGGATCATAAAGGCATATATAAGACAAGTCAAAGAAGTAAGGGGTGTAAACAAAACACGACCTGTCCTAATAGCTGAACAACTGATGCGCATACTCCGCTACGCGTCGTGCATCAAACTTCACACGCGGGAGGAAATCGATACATTTCCTCCCTTGATATATAAATAGCTATATCTTCTATCTTCAATTAATTTCCGTTGAGAGAACAGCGACCCGAAAAAATATTCATGTTAATTTGAACAAACTGCTAACTATACCCTACACTCACAACAATATGATTTCAAGAGTAGATTAGAAAAAATTATGAATATCTTTATAGAAAGAATATCACTTCTGGTTCAGTCAGAAATTAGGTGTTTCCACACATATGCCCAACCCTGCTGGATACAGAGCTAGGAAAAAGTATGGAAACAGGTGAATATTTCAGTAACCGTTTGTTAGATTGGTTGATTTGAAATGTACTGGGGTTTCAAAACGTGGCGGATTCGAAAATGCTATCGCCATTGATGCCACTTTTCCAGTTATTCCGATGTTGTTATTAATTCCTCTATTTTGAATAGAACACCCTGTATTTTATTCAATTTCAGGATTCTCCCTGAAGAGCTGACTTGTGCGTGAGCTTGTGGTCTAGCGGGAATAATAACAGAGATATAGGGGGTAAGAAATCGATTCTTTTTCAATTTTAGATGTTCTTTCAGTCAAAACTATTTATTATTGGTACATTTAAATGAAAAAAATACAGGGTGATTCATATTTCTGAATTATAATCACTGAATAATGCTGAATTATGGAAAACCTCGATTTTTCACACCCTATATCGCTGCAATCATTTCCCGCTAGACCCCTTTCAGTGATAGTACCTGGAGATGTAATAAGATTCGGGGTGTTTTATTCGAAATAAGGAAGGTAATAGGAATTCTGAAATGGCTGAAAAAATTGCAACATTTGCGATGCCATTGTCGACTCCACCTCGTTTTGATATCACCCTGTACATGAATCCAGAAAAATCTAACAAACGGTTACCAATATATTCAAATGTTTCCACCATTTTCCTAACCCTGAATGTATGTATCTACTAAACAGTCAAGCGCAGCGGGTGAGAAATGAAACGAAATGTTATCTACTAATTTGATCCAATTACAATTCAGTTCATATAAATCACTCAAATAATAACGACATGGAACATAATGTCTGATGTAGCTTTGAATTATTTTCTTCTGGCTACGGATACTTTATCGCCAAGAAAAATTAAACCTTGTTTTATCACTTCAAGATTGATACCCATGACTGGTAAATTGTCTGGTCCATCGCTTAACCTGTACCTGAAAAAAAAAATTGAGTAATTCACCAAACTTGATAAAGCAAGATGCTGAAAATTCCCTTTTTCGGCAACCGTCCGAAAAGTACCAACTTTTTTATCTTTGAGAAGTAGCATGTTTCCGGCCTAGTATGAGAAGAATTACATCATTGTTTTTGTAAATAAGATAATCTTGGTATGCATGGTTTTGATAAATATAGTTGATCATTACCATGGCAGCGAAATAGCTATTGACAATTTGATTTTGAAATTATGCATGGTTTTTGGTCGCAATTATCATAAGTAATATCACGATGTTCTGAATATTCTAGATAATTTTGTCGCTTCATTGTTCACAAAATTGTGATGCCGAGCAACACCACGAGTACGTCAGGACGAGTGGTACTGCTGTACGATATGCATGTATACTTACTTTCCTAGCGTCTTGAAAGGTTCCATGTTGGCATTCCTGATACCGCTCTCTGGATCGACTGTCGTAAAGATGCACCTGGTGCAATCTTTGACGTTCTTCAGTATGACATCGCCTATTTTCACCCAGTGCCAGTCGTGCTCCTCGTAAGGTTTGAGGTTAGGACCGTCCACGACAAAGTTCGGTCGGAAATTATTGACGGTTATGGTGCAATTGTTCAGTTTGGCGCTCAGGTCGGTAATGGAAGCTAGGTTTATCAAGTTCGTGCTTGCCAAATCGGCATATAACCCCTGGAATCAAAAACTTGCATTATTTCGATAGAACTAGCGCATCAGGGCCAATAAATTCATTTCAGGACCTGTCATTTTATCTAATAGAGAATTCCATTCGTAAACCTTGTGGTGCACTGGTTTTGCACCAGTTTTGCACCCGCACTTTCCTCCAAAATGTGAACTGGTGCATTCCCAATGGAATACGAAATAATATTATAATAAAATTATTGTTGGAGGTTAAATCGGAAAAGTTGGTTTGAGATTATTTCTTAACCTCAATTAAAAACAAAGTAGATGTTTCATCAATTTTGAGCACTGTATTTTTTAATAAGTACCTCTCCATCATTGAATCCGCAAACTACTTCCAACAAAATTATGAATTCTGGGAAGTAATCTCTTTTTTTTTCTTGAAACCTCCAACTTGTCATCACTATTTGATGATGATGATTGGATTGCCACTAACAGTTTGGTTTTCAAACTATTCATATTCAATGTTTTTACCAATGGAATATTACTCTCAGTCATGTCTCCGAACATCAAGAGTCATGACTCGATATGTCATGTACGACAGTTCAGAATTCGGCCAGAGATAGTTAAATCAATCAATTTGAAAAATAATCAGTATTCTCTTGATATTTCCTTGAAATAGAACAGCTGACAACACAGGAAAAGTAGTAATGACGTCAGTACGAACAAATGTTTCGCCGAACGCTATTCAACATTCCAGGATATTGTAGTGTTCAAACGGTGCTTTTTAAGCATGACAGTAGCCAAAAAGATGCTAATGTTATGTTGCTGATATACTTCAGTTATATGCACATCAAAAATGAATTATTGCATTTGTGTTATTTCAATTTAATATAATTTTATCTTCATCTGATGCTAGTTTCGAAATCTTCCGAAGACAAAGTCCCATTGTTATCTATCTATGGCTGAAATATGGTTTCCAAAAGGGCTCGTTTTCTGAGTAAGTTTAAATTCAATTATATGATAATTGTATTATTGTCTGGTTGAACTGGATGAAACGTTTCCATCAGTTCAAAAAGGTATGTGTGAAGTTATTAATATTAGCGAAATTGAAATAAGATCAATTGATACAGCCAGAAAATCATTGATATTTTTACGTACAGTAGATGAGTTGCTGAGATCCTTGTAAAAATCAAGAGCAATGTTATGAGTCTTTGTGATATCTCTTCTGCTACTAGCGTCGTGGTAGCCTAATCGTAGTCCCGTGTCCTTTCCTAAGATGTATCTAGAAAGCCACAGTGCTGCCTCGTTTCCACAGTCTATTGTAGGAATTTCTTCGTTTTTGTGGAGTCTTCAAAACACATGAAATTTTTACTTCAGTTGCCCCCAATGTCCGACACAGAATATCCATCAGTCGAAAGTTGGCACAAACCTTGTAACAGAGTAGGAGTTTCCTGCCAACTGATAGTTATTCTGTGTCTGAAATTGGGGAAGAATGGGGCAAAGGTCGACTTACTTAATTTTTGTTTGGTTTTGACCGTTTTTGGTCGGGATTTCGACGTACAGAGTCCTCATTGTTGGTGCATCTATGGCCAAATGGTTTTCATCGTGGACTGAAACGTCTATTAGAGTCATTTTCGGATAGGTCCTTCCAGATCGAAATTCGTGATCTTTTTCGGAATAAACGACTAACCCTCTGAAATCAAGATTATCATTATCTCGAAAAAAGTTCGAAAATGAAGTGATAGACTGGGGTTTCGTGATTTCATCTTTATATTGCGACATTTGATTCAAATTCTGATTTGTTTTCAAGTCAATTGAAGAATTTATAAAACCACAGTCTTTATATTGAAAGGGCTCATGAGATTCTACTCAAATTTGGTACGTTGGCATAGTCTTCATGAAAAAATAAAACCCATATTATATAATCATTCCATAGACGTAGAGCAATTTTTTTTTTTCAGTAAATACACATCAAAAAATACCTACACCGATGAAAACGCCAGTATCGTTGGCTGTTTTTCTTCGTGTTCAAACAAGAGCAATTCGATCTTTGAGAAATTATTCTGGGATTACTATAGTAGGAATGAGGAATTCCAGAATTGCTTTGTTTAACCCTTGCCTATTACCCTTCTATAACTGACTCCATATAGAGTATAACACACAAAAAAACGAATAGACATAAAAATAAAACACAATAAATACAGACATACCAAGGATGCAATGGACAACCTTATAATTCAGGTTTCATGAAAACATTAATATCTCGCTGAGGCCTCTCCCAGAGTTCAATGTTACAGTTAAGAAAATCTTCAACTGAGTAGTAGGCATGTTCAAGAAGAAGCTTCTTAATATTTGCTTTAAAAGCGTTGTGATTCAACTTTTTCCAAGCTGTACCCAGCTTATTGTAGAGATCAGTGTTTGTGGAGTTTTCTTCAGAAATATCGAGTCTGAAACGGGCTTTTCTTATGTAATTACCTGACCTTATGGGGGTAATTGTGTAGGTCGGACTGGATGCCAAATTTAGAATTATTGTGAATATGTAGTAATGTGTTGAATATATATATAGATGGTATTGTCATAACTCCAAACTCAATGAAAAATGGACGACAACGCCCTTTCCGTCCAGCACCTGCAATTATTCTCAAAACCTTCATCTGTAGGATTTTCCCCAAAATAGTATTCCATATAGTGCATAAGTAGAGGATAGTAGAGATGATAGATCTATTGAATGTTTAAGCTATCGAAGCAAAAATTACACTCGATAGTTTTGTTCTTACAAATTCGATATGATTTATCGTCAATGAAGACCCCGAGCAGTTTTACACTTGACCCGTCAGTCAAATTGGAATTTGAAGACACTAGCAGTTCCTGTGTTTTGGATTGATTTAAAGCTAAATTATTTTGAACAAACCATGTTTCTGCTGTATTATTATTTTCTGCAGCTAGTTGAGATAGTTTATGTATATCTTTTTTGGTTGATAAAAGTGATGTATCATCGGCAGAAAGAACATTTGGTAGTAAATAGCGGTACAGATCGTTAACATAAATAAAATGAACAAAATTGGCCCGAGGATTGAGCCTTGAGGCATTCCATGTTTCACTACAATGAGGCTCGATTGATTGAGAAGAAAAACTCATGTGGCTTGCCACGAATACCATAATAATCCATTTTATTAAGAAGGATATCATGTGAGACACATGAAGGCTTTCGTCAGGTCACACATCGTTTGAATTGTGTGTTTGCCCTCTTCCAGACCTTGTCACACTATGTCTGTCTATGTCAGTCACAATTTGCAGTAGGGCTTTGATGGTTGAAAAGTTCTTCCTGAAGCCATATTTCGTGGGACTTGATATTTGAAAAGTTTCTAGGTATTGTGTTAGCCTATTTTTCAATATTTTTTCTAGTATTTCAGAGAAAATTGGTATAATAGAGATTGGTCGATAATTATTGTTAACTAGGTTGGGATCACCTTTTTTATATATTGGTATGACTCTGGATATTTTGAAAATTTCTGGAAAAACACCTGTTGAGAATCAAAGGTTTATTAGTTGAGCTAAGGGCAATACTATATATATTATACTGTGCAATACATATACCTATCTCTCATTTGCAAGGTCTCTTCATCTTCTTTCGTTTGTTTCAACCCGAATTCGGTACATTCGGCCCTTTGGAGTTCCAAACGGTGGCCGCTTTTCAAGGGGTACAAGTTCAGGTGCGTGATTTTCCCCACTTCCTCCCATGTACAAGGAACAATGTCTTTCTTCTTCCGCTTCTGGAAGTAATATACGCCGGCTACCGAGAGTACTAGACCAGCGAGAATCGTCGTACAGGCAGCTATTTGGTTTGCTGTCATTTTGTCAACAAAAAGATCACGCCTAAAAAACAAAAAAAAAAGATTGCACCACCGAATATTCAGTGAGTACAGGGTGATTCACCATAAATGTCCCCTCCTCCTCTAGCTCAGTTATTTTTGAACCGATCGCAAAATTTAAGAGATCATTTGAAATTATGATTCAAACGATCTGCAGGGAACTAGTTGATTTTTGAGGTATAGGGTGTCCAAAATCAAGATATTTCAACTTTGTGTCCAAACTATTCATTATTGGCATTGATTATTCACACTAGTTTATTGGTCGAAACGAGTCATATGTCCCTATCACAAATTTTGATTTACTATCTATTGACATTTAATCGGAACACTACAGGGTGGTTCAATGAATAGCTTCGACAGAACAAAATCCTTGAGTTGAAAAATCTCGATTTTGAATACCCTATATCTCTGTAATCATTCACGCTAGACTCCTAGTGTGATACATTGATGAGATCAGCTCTTCAGGAAGAATCTAGAAATGCAATGAAACAGGGTGTTTCATTTGAAAAAATCAACTAGTACCCTGTAGATCGTTTGTTCCGAGCACCCTGTATTTTCTGATGTCATCAAAAAATTATTTTAAATGATGCCTCAAATTTTGCGATTGATTAAAAAATAACTGTGCTAGATGGGGGCACATATATGGTGAATCACCCTGTACCAAAAGTCTGTCGGCCTTCCCTCACGTAACTTCTTTATTTTAAATTACAAAAAATAGAAGGTCAGGATAGGAAAGTGAAATACAGTCTGTTCCCTTTGTAACGGTTTTCTCACTGATGAACCCTGGTTCTGTAATAGTCGAAATAATAATTCACAAATTGTTCATAATTTCAAAACTCTTAACCTTTGTGATATAAAAAATTCCATCAAAGTTGTTCAAATTTCATTGAAGAATGCAATGATATAACCTATACCATTCAGAAAAATAAACTTCTTAGTCACTGCGCTTTCTTGAGACACTCTGTATAAATGAAACTAAAAATAGATGGAATGAAATCCAACAAATTTGGCATGTAACATTCTCATGTAATACGTAAAATAATGGAGTTACGAGAGGAGCGAAGGACTTTTTGGTCCTCATTGTAGTACATACATATACAGGGAAAGTCAGAATAAGACCGACAAACTCCGTATACTCTATCCTAACCTAATTTCGAGGTGGAAAGTTCCTATCAATGTAGGTCCTACAATGCATCCTCTCTGAGATACAGGGTGTCAAAATTACGAAAAAAATTGAGAACTTCTGTAGGATAAAATCCAAATATAGTATTCTATTCCAGATTCCAGAATAATTAAGGTAATTACTTGGAGTTCTCAATATTGAATTCAATTAACCAGTGACATCAGTTAGGCTCATCGATACCTAACCTTAAAGTAATAACATATAACATCCCACATGCGTAAATGAGATACTTGCGAAAAACTATCGATAATATTAATACCTGAGGGAGCAAGAAAATTGTTATTTTTTTCTCACATATATACTCAATATAAACTGTTCACCTTTGAATAATGTATGGAATGAAAAATTAGTTTTTCTACAAGCGTGCGTGATTCACCCTATACCCGCACGCAATTTAGTTTGGGAAGTGTAATATTCCCGAGAATTTTCCCGCAACAGTACGGGAAAATTTTCCCACACTAGTGCGGGAAAACAAAGATATGATATAATCGCTAGTAATATAAGTGGTTGGTGATGGAATATAAAAGTTTAAGATTGTTTGTTGCAGTATTAAGTATGTATGTTCAGAATCATCCATCAAATTGCACTATTTATTGTAAAAATTAAGAAATATTGAGAAATAAAAAGGGATTATTATAAAAATCCCCCTATAGATTTGTATTGATCTGACGGGAAACGTCAATTTGTCATGCCAATCAAACCACAAATAAGTTTGAAATTGTCGAAGTGACAGACACAGCGTTACTGTCATTTTCGATTCAGTGGAAATGCCACAATGTGATCAAAAACTTCTAGCTATAGGGATTTGATACAGATGCGTTAATATCACCAACGAAGTCTTAAGAAAGGTATGAGAAGCTATACACGCGTTTAATTGAATGGTGCAACAATAAAGAAATGAAAAAACCGAATGAAGAATAGGTATTTTTGGCTCATTCCATAGAAGTGTCTGGAACCTAGAGACCAAACTCCTAATGGGCCTGCTGGCTTCCGCAATGAACCAACATAATGCGTCAAACTGTAAGTTCACAATAGCTATTACTAATAATTAATAGATAGAGAATATATATCTCTTGTTAGTTGTTCCTATTTGCTTGAATAATTAATTGAACGATTCAATCAATTTCCTACGCTTGTAGAAAAAATATTGGGTAATTTTGCACTTATCATGCGATGGGTTTTTTTTCGAAAATTTTTTTTGGTACTTACGTATTTTTGTCTGAAAAACACGAATTTGATAATGAAAATGTGAACAAATCATTATTTATTGAGATATTTCACTATAAAATTACAAATTTCACCTTCTTTTCCGCCTGTATTTGGGGCGCATTTAGAATAATTTGTCCTTCTTTTTCCATCATTAGACAATTTATATATATCACACAATGTTGGACACATATTTTTTATTATATGAGTCAACTAGAAATATGATTTTCTTGTGATTTATCCATGTTTAGTGAAAAGAAGGAAGAATATCATTTGAAATAATGGCGTGTGTGATGTCATTCCAAAGCAATCTATTGACATTTGACATCTCCTATTTGGATTACCCATCGATTAAATGGCGGTCATCTGGTATGCTTGCTCACTAAATAGGAAAAACTCACTATAAAAATCATATTTCCTGTTGAATTTTCTAGCTCAAAATGTGTCATTGAAGTACATCATGAGTATATGAAGTGTCCAATGACAAAATAAAAAGAGCAAGTACCTGTAAATGCATCCAACACAAGGGGGAAAATAAGGCAAAAACTTTTTCTTGAAATATCTCGATAAATAGTGGTTTGTTCACATTTTCAATATCAAATTCGTGTTTTTCAGACAAAAATACGTAAGTACCAAAAAAAATTTTCGAAAAAAAACCCATCGCATGATAAGTGCAAAATTACCAAATATTGTTCCTAACTCATGCGGAAAGTGTCTTTCCGCACTTGTTAGGAAAATTACTATTATCAATCTACTTCGGACTTACCAGTACCACCGAATAGAACTCTGTTTCTGTTGGGTGCCAGTACCATATATCAGGTAGAGTACGCAGCAAATTGGGTCTCCACTCAATATTACCCCAATGCATATCTTTATTCTTTAGGTTCTCGTAAATAACTCAGGTTTCTTTACATTCTACATTTAGGCATTTGGAATGTTACTACTTTCAGTACTTTCATATTCAGTATCAATGAGTCCAACTGATGATGTCACGCACCAATTTGACATTTCATCTATCTACGATGAAAATCTGTCAATGAATATATTGCGGAAATCACAGCCTGGGGAACCAACAACTTAGTTGAATTCAACGCCCCCAAAACGCAAGTCTGTATTTTCTGCAGATAGGCGGAACTCAGTATGCCTGATATAAAGATTTTTATAAGAAAAAACAATGAAAGTCCCAAAGTCTGTCGACCATTGTTTTTTCTTATAAAAATCAATTTGACCACTTTGGGAAATATGGATGATTTCCATGATTTGATATAAAGATGTCCGGTACCACTATTCCCACAAGACCTAAGAGGCACTTTCGACTTGAAACTGTTGAAAGATCTTGCCCATAAGCTATGGGAATAGACTCATAGAGTCACGGGACAACATGTAAGGCAATAATACCTCGGAATGAATTAATCAAACAGGAAACAGGAAACGGAGTTTGTCGATGTTAATAAGATTAATACTGATAGTTCGTTCCTTTCTCATTATACTATCAGGATCTCGTAATGTTAACTCCAAAGCTGAAATGAATGCGAATTCAAGAATGATTATTTCAACTGACCTTGTTTCATCATCTCACGTTACAATAAAAAATAAATATTAGCTTTCATAAACCCTATATTTTTAAAGATTAGTTTATGATGATTAATTATTCATACTCCCTACTCCATGATTATATACTCTATGTATACATTATTGTACACTCATTGCATCTTATAGTATAGAAGCAAATAACAATAACTATCTAATTTTGACTTCATCTGAATTTCGTTTTATTTATTCGTGATAACGCAATATTTTTTGCTAGGAAGAGTAGGTAGAAACAAACTGGGAAATACTATGTCTTTAAAAAACAATCACTCATGTTATAAGCACATCAAACTGAGTCTAAAAACTATCGAAAAAGAATCAATATCTGCGAAACACATATAAATTCTATGCTGACAATGCTAAATTGGATTGTTGATAACTTTCGGAAAGGTTTTAAAGTTCGACATCAGGGGTCGCCCACTGTTGTGATTTACGCGAGTTATATCATGAGTTTCATTGAAATCCACCCAACAGGAGAGAAGTTAAAATAGTACATTCCACACTTACCCCAGAATATTACACGAGACACAGTCATTTCATTATTTTTTCATAAATCGAAACTATGGTGTTTCAACTCAAGAATCCTTAATAATTATTGAGGCTTATTGATAGCGGGAGCTGGGAGCGTCGGGCAGAGCGTTGCGTTTGCGTCACGTTGGCGTCGCGTTTGCGTCGAGTTTGCGTCGCATTTGCGTCGCATCGAGAGTTGCATCGCGTAACGTCTCGCCTGCATGCTGTTTTCAGAGTGAAAGTATTCAGAAATTTAGAATTTTTGAATTCTAGTTTCTTTGGATTGACCTTTGATTGACTGTCACGTGTGACACGTACTATAGTCTAATTTGCTAACGAAGGGGCCGCCGAAATTAAACCGAACGACAGCAGTGATGCCAGGTGATGCTGATGCACGTTTTTGTTATTGTTGATTATTATTAGTGGTACTTTTATTCTCGATGTCTTTTATGTTTTGACCTCCGAAGTGGCCTCCTTCTTTCTTATGCAGAAGGGATATTTCTTTCGGTCGCGCATGGTGCGTGATCTGATTTCGACACGAAGCGCTCTAGTTCTTCTACCCAAACAGACTGGTGGTTAGTGCTGTCGTCTCTCAGTCTGAATGTCCATGGTTGTGAACCTGGAATTTTCTTTCACAACTTTTTTTTTCACCGTTGCTTTTTCACTTCATTTTGGTTATCCTTCCTCAGAAATCATTTGAAGTCAAATAGGTTAGTGCGTTTAGGATAAACAGTGTCATTTTTAAATTTCCAATTTGTTTTCTCAATCAATTTTTCCGAAAACCGTCTTCATGGTTATACAGAAAATATATTTTCCTTCTTCATATTCGATTTCAGTGTTGTTTTTATTCAGGAAATTTCGTGTAGACTTGAATCCACGAATTATTGACTTATTTGGCATCACTGCCGTCTTTCAGTGTACGTTCGGGTAATTTCGGCGGCCCCTCCGTTAGCAAATTAGACTCTAGTGTGACACGTAAGCACTCCATTTATTTCTCTTAGATGAACAATGTTATTTGTAATGTCTGGCACCACCATCCCCACCAAGCCCACCATATCTATGCTCAGTATTTCCATCAGCAACACTCTTTCATGGGATAATCATGTCAGATCCATCGCAAAAGCTACTTCACAAAAACTCGGATTCTTGTTCCGTGCGAAAAGCTACTTTACACCTAAACAGCTCCTATGATCTACAAAGCGCAGATACGGCCTGTTCCAAAATTTCAAAAGGCAGCCTGTGAATACGTACCACAATTCCAAATAAAGAATGAAATATTCACTAGTATAATGTCTCCCACGCCATTGTTAGTAGAAAAAATTGCCAAACAGCGGAATAATTCATACAAAGGTTTCCGAGTTGATGTAATCTTGATATTTCGTCAATATCTAGAAATTTTGAATTTGTCAAAAATTATGACGTATTTTTCAAACCCATCATTTTCTCGAAATTTTCAAATGGAACACCCTGTTTTTCATTTCATCCTTGGATAGAGCTCAGGAAGACGAGTTCAATGATACATGATAACATGGCTCTGAGAACAACCGTTTTAACACCCTGGCAACCAGATGACGAATGATCACGTCACTGTGACGTCCCTAATTGGTGATTTTTCATCAGAGACGTCACACACCAGTTTATGACGTCACTATCACATACCTTCTATGACGTGATAATCACGTCATCGTTTCGACGTCGAGTGAACGTTACTCAGATGGGTAAAAGAAGACGTCAGTTTCATGACGTTGCAGGAACGTCCTGTCGACGTCCATTTTTCCCAGACCTTCTCTAAACCATGGATAATATCATGTGAAACAGAAGTATAACTCATGAAAGCAAATCAACATGCAAGTGTTATTAATATTCCCGAAAAACTTTGACACACTGTATATCTCGGAAACCAACAAGCTATGTTTATATACAAATGATTGTTAAGGTATACCTATTTTGAAACCGTTACTCCTATGACGTTGCAGTGACGTATCTATGACGTCTAAAAATCACGTCGGTGTGACGTACCAGTTTGGTGAGCTTCGTCATTCAGAATTTTTTTAAATAATTTACTATTTAGATTTTTGTTGGGTGACAAAGAATGCATCAATATACATTATTCAACAAAGTGAAGCCAAATTCGCCAACATCCTTTCTATTGCTATCAAACTAATCTTTGTTTGCTTACATCTCGCCGACACAAACTACATAATTTTTGATACAAATACGAGTAACTGATTGCATTCTGATGGAGATGCGTACTGAAGGATAGCGCTGCTGAATAGGCGATTGAATGAACATGACACGACAGGAGGGACCCACCAAGCAGACTCAACAACGCATAATCAATATTATATAATGTCATCAGAGGCCAGTGGTGTGTTTTATCACACCATGTTGAAAGAATGTTTTTAACGTATCATCGCCAAATTCAATCGTCATTTTGACGTCATTATGACGTCAGTCGGACGTCACAGTTTGGTGAGTGAATGACGACAATACGACGTGAGTAATATGACGTCATTGTGGCTTATCAACGTCATTATCACGTCATGCGACGTCATCTACTGACGTCACCTTGGTCATTCAAGTGACATAAAAAAGACGTCACTGGAACGTCACCTGGTTGCCTGTGCCTCTCGCTGCGCCTCGAATTACAATATTCAACCCTATCCGTTATTTATTGCTACATATCGGCCTTGTAACATTGATAACTATCAATCATATTCACACTTTGAAAAATATGAGAGATGGTTATTTGCAAGGGTGCATGTGGTCTGCCAGGTCATGGTTTTCGTACTCAACACTCTTTGATTCAATCATCACTAAAATTCTAGCCTCACAAACAGACCGTTATACGAGCTCTTGGACATTATCACTACACTTTCAAAAATCAACTTCTAATTTGGACATATATAATATGACACTTTTCAAAAGTCAACGTAAAGTAAAAGGTTTCATAACTGGTGATCTGATAATGTTCATTTTGTCATCCAAAATCCTCTTCTCAAACGCGATATAGTCAGTCGTACGAAGGAAACTTTCAAATTGACATGCAAAAAACGGTACCCACAAAATTCTCATTACAATTCGTTAGAATTATCAATTTGATCAAGATGGTGAATATTTTTCTCACCAAAATTTGAGGGCGAGTGGACTAATATTGATTTATTTGCATTCAATTACTCTACTTGTGTCGTTACTTCTTACTTCAACCAAACTACTTAGCAATAAGCCACAACACATGAGGGAACATGTTGAGACAATTGATTTTTCAATGCTAATTAGGAATATAACCAATACATAATTGGGAATTTATGGATTATTGGATAACTGATATTTCTGAAGTTTCCAATCGTATTTCAACATATGGCAACTGTGCTATCTGCCCCTACTTACGGAATCGTGACGTCATAGTTATTACTCCCGGAAAATTTCTAGCCGTTTGAAAATTACCGTGGCATTATTGATGATTTTGGCACCTTAAAATCGACCGGAAAATTCTAAAAATATATGAAATTGAAAGGTTATTTGAGTGATGATTCTATTTAAGAAATATTCTTCTAAATAGTCTTGGTCATGGCTACTAGATTTTGATTAGAAAAGAAAAAGAAAAAGAAACAGAAAAGAAGTACTTTCATAGTGACAATAGTCCAATATTTCAGTTTTACAGAACTATATTTATTGAAACATATTGCCACTGGTGGAAACAATTCAATATTCACCTTGGTAGTAGAGAATACTATTACCACGGGACCTTTATAAACCTCGGCAACGGCTGAAGCCTCTAGACATGATCTTGGTCCCTCGTTAATAATCATAATCTTTACTACCTTGGTGTATTAATTACTATTGAATATTTTCTAGAGCCCCCAGCTAGGCTGGGAGGCACTTTATTCGTGTATTCCATTAAAACTTGAGCGCAAGATATTTACCCGTATTTACCCATCATTTACCACGGGAGATATGATATTATGTTGAACGCCCTGTGTTTTGTTTCACACCATAAAGAAGCAAATAGATGTAGATATAATGCCAGTAGAAAAACGAACTTACCTCCAGACTATTCATATCACATGCAAGGTGCGACTATTCCAGGTAAAATTTGATATACCAAAAAACAACCAACAATACACGTGATATTTGTACAAGGTTTTAACACCGCTGTTCAGTGTTCATAGCAGAAACAATATATTTGGCAACACAATATTAGACATTTGAGAAAGTTCACTAGACTAGAGCACAGAATACAGATTAACTAATCTGTGACTAGAGAAACACAATACATACGAAGTAAGAATACTTACTGTGTACTTACTAAGAATCCTAAGACAATAAACGTCTTTATTCATCTCTGTGGGGCAATCTGTGTGATCTGGTAAACAGGCAGTACCGGTTTTACGAGGGGTGTTTTAGGTGCTACAGCACCAGGCGGCAAAATCTTTAAGGGGGCAATGAAAATACGGATTCAGGCAAGATTTAGTTAGGCACAACTGCATATATTTTGTCATCATTATCTGAATATAATGATTTTCTACGCGAACAATTTGAACACTACGAAACATTAGGAAGGTCATTGACAGGAACTGAAATTTATATTTAGAAGCGAGTCATCCCAAGAAACCTGCAATTAGGACTTGAGAAAAAAATCTGAAAAAAATCGAAACCACTGAGAAAGATTGCGTAATGATTTATTTTAATAATACAGATAGTTTCAGATCTAAATAATTCATCGGATTTCCACCTTCAATCCTACAAATAATGTTCAGAATAATTTGACTTTCTGTTCAAGTTAGTGTTGGGAGATGACGGAAATTCGATCAAATTGGCTACTGAACTACAGAAAGAGGATCTGGATCTGATCTGGACCATTTTTTCTTTGACGAATTCTATTAAATCTATTTTCAGTATTTCTATGGACTTAGTACACGTTCTACACAAGGATGATGTAATTTTTTTCCAATATAAATATTTGTTTCCGAAATTTTTGTTTAACAATTTATATACTCTCAATCAAGATTTTCTAAATGAAATTAATGTAAAGAGCTTGTAATGAGTATCATACATGAATTAGCTTCCATTGAAGCAAGAAATAGTCATTCATACACCAAGGTAGTAGAGAATAGTATTATTTCCCATGGACCGAGATCACATCCCGAGGTTTCAGCCGGAGGGTATAAAGTCCCGTTTGTAATATAATATTATCTTTCTGCAATGGGCGTGTACACCTTAGTAGAACTTTTAACTCAAACCATGTTTATAATAATCCTTTCATACATAAATAATGATTGACGTATTGACGACATAATTCGATCGAGAAATTAACTGGAATGTTTTATTTTTGGACATAAGTAATAGT